GCAAATGGATATCAAGTGAATCGTTTCCAATTATCTCAATGTCAACGATCGCATGCTGCATCTGCGAAAATCCACTTTGCCATTGTGAAAAATACTTGAATGTTATGAAAATGGGTTGGGTTACAAAATTCTAACTGGCAAAGATCTTAGTTGAGGAGTGTATGGAAACAAAAGAATCCGAGGTTGCAATGATGAAAATCCATGTGAAACAATGCAAACCTTTGTGATTATGAAAACAATATATTCCAATAATATATTTGCAGCATTGATGATCTGATTTGAGAGGATAAATGTTGTGAATTTTTGAAAATGAATGAAGAAAATGAATAGAATGGATTGAATTCATGGACTAACATAATTCATGCGTTAAACTTTCGCTCAACTTCGAATCTCAAAATTTTTCACGACAACAACTGTTGCCCTAAACGTATTGAACGCTGAAGATTAAAAGATAAAACAAGAACTTTGTATGCTGTAAAAAAAGTAAAAGGTGCATCGAAGACATTCACTAACAGTGAAACATTTGAATTTTCCTTTTAACCATTGTTAACTTTGAAAATGTTATAGGGTTTTACAGGTAAAGAGTAATTAATTAATTAGATGATCTGTTTGCAAACTTCGCTGAAGAGTTCATTTCAGCGAAAAACAAGAGCCATGGCTGGAGAGTGCCAGGTGGATAGGAATAACTTCAAAACAAGTGACGTGACACTTTGCACTTGCGCAAAGACTGCCTTTGCTTCCGATAACGATTATCATAAGCTTAAGCTTCTTGCAATGTTGAAAACATCAATTTTTGGAAAAAAAATTCTTATGCCAAAGTTCAAAGAATGCAGGAAGAATACCGAATGAAGCAAAAAGCAATGCAAAATCGATAAACTGCCTCATGTTTTCAGGGATGATAATTCTCCCTGCTTGCTTGCTTGCTTTCTTGCTTGTGCATGTTTCAATATTTTTACAGCCAGAGGCTGGAAAAGCAGTATAGAAAATACTCAAACAGCGTGTAATTATGCCAAACCTGGGCTAAAATTGCTCTTCTTATGAAAAATATTAGGGCGTGAAACAAATTATGATGCGGTTGAATAGTATTTTTGCCAGTTATTTTCAGCAAAGAAAATGTCGTCGATACTGCTGTAACATGCACTACGAACTTTATTTTCCACGAAGAATAGTAGGATATGGCAGGGGAGAACAAAATTCGTCTTGCATTGGCAGGAAATGAGAAAAATATGAAATCTTGTTTACAGTGCATGGGGCAAATAGAAAAATAAGTGTCAAATTCGTAAATTCAACACGGTAAATTGGTAACTTATGATAAAGGTGAGCAGCACTTGGAGTTAAATGGGAAAATGGAAGTCAAATTTGCAAAATTAAGATGGAATATTGGTAACTCGTGACAGAGGGAATTCAAGACTGACTGGAAACAAAAAAATCTCAGTTTGTAAACACCCGTGGAAATGGACCTGTTCATTCGATTTTTCGATACCAATTTGCAAAATTAAGATGGTATATTGGTAACTCGTGGCAGAGGGAATTCAAGACTGACTGGAAACAAAAAAAATCAGTTTGTAGACACCCGTGGAAATGGACCTGGTCATTCGATTTTTCGAAGGGGGACCCCCGGTCAAGAAATTCTCACCGGGGACGGTTTTTACTGGGTTTGTTACATATTTTTGTTATATGTTACATAACATAGAGTTGTCTATGAGTAGGACTTTCATGTTTAATTGTCGGCGTTAGGTCATCAAACAAGGTTCGGTGTGCAAGTGAAAAGAAAGGAACAGGTGTTCAGAAAGTAGGCGGGTAGACTAAAGGTAGGAAAATTAACAATAGAAAGCTTAATGAAGAGGGTAGGCCTAACTGCTGATAAGAATTGGTTGGTAATGGATGGGGCAGGCTTGAGAGAACCAAAGGCAACGTTTAACGTAACAGTTGGTCAATTTCAGATTTTGACCTGAAATGTGCGAGGAAATTCTTTGGAAATAACGCATGTCGCTAATAAAAAAGAAAGCGATTTTGCATCCAAATTTGAAAATCGACAGCTTTTGATAGCTTTCCAAAGAGAGTTTTGTTCATTTGCTGCCAACCACCATCTTTCGGTCATATCATCTAGCTAAGCAGCTTTCTGCAGCTAAGCCTATTGGGGAACTGCAAAACAAAACCTTTTCATTTACTCGTGCATCAGCAACACCAGAATCCTTTCGGGAAAAGTAAATATTTAGCTATAGCAAAGTGTATGCTTAGGAATTCTTCTTTTATTCGAACGAATTCAGAAAATATTTAAATGTCAAAACTTTATTTTCCATAAAGCTGGGGCAACTGATTGAATATACTCAAATTTTCCTTTAGGTTGACCAATACAGCAAAAACCCGCGTGTAAGAACCTACTTTCTTCAGAGTTTGGCAAAATATGTTCTTGTATTATAGGGTATTTGATGACATTTTAGGCTAAATAGGTTCTTAATTAGGTTCTTAATATCTACAGTGTAAGTATTGTTGTTTATTATCAGAAAATAGCATTAAATCCGGACTGTTCTTCGTTCTAGATATTTATTAGTGCACAAATGTTGCCAAAAGTCCACCAACAATGATATATTCTATAAACAGTTGTAATGATTTTTGATAACAACAGTTCAAATTTAACTAACATTGTGCATTTTGAGTTTCATTCTAGCAATTCAATTCTCTTTCACCTTTTTCGTTTTTGGTAAAAAGGTATATGAATTAAAAGGTTAAACCCCACATATAAGAACCTATTAATTGTTTGGCTAAACAGGTTCTTATACTTTGGAGTATTAAAAAAGCAAATTTCTGCCAAAAGGTTCTTAAATCCCTAGGTTCTTACATGTGGGTTTTTACTGCAACTGCATTGAATGAAGATTTAGGGTGCCTCCTGTAAACCTGAGTACCAGGCACTTTGCTAATTTTAATTAAGCAGATCTGCAGACCGAACTAAAAAACAGCCAATATGAATGGAAACAGCGTGAAGGGTTGAAAATAATTCTTATCATAAAAAAGGATTTTTATATCAGTTTTATGTCTTTCTTGCTTGTTAAAATAGTATTAAGCACATCTCAATTTTTTGGTGTGTATTTTCTATAGAAAGATTTAGAAAACATTACACCACACCAAGAGAGCATAATGAAAACTTATGACCAAATAGTAAAGTCGGATTTCTTCAGTTCAAATACAACCAGCGATGGACAGCAATAAACATGAAACGGAGGAGAGGAAGAAGCGTATGAATAATCTGGAGATTAAATCTGAGTGAGGTAAAGCCAATTTCAATAGAAATTGCTCATTTGTATACTTTAAGCACTGGGGTATTATTCCCAACTTGGATGCATAACTAAACGTTAACTCAGAAATAAACAGTTTTATTTGCCGTGACTCCTAAGAAATCACCTGCATAGGGTACCGCTGGTTTAACTTGCTTTTTGAAGTGACGTCAACTAGGAGTTCAGACTCAATGCTTCCATGACATTCTTAGTTTCATTTATAAGATACAAATATAATTCCAAAATTTGCTCTGAAACCAAACGTTGACTCAGAAATACACAGCGTATTTAGCTGTGATAATAAAGGAATAAGCTGCAACTGATGTCGTTTTATTCGCCGTGACGTTGGAATTAGCGTCCAGACCCTATAATGGCAGAACCCGCGTCTGACCAAATATCACTCATTCGTAATATAAAAGTAGCATTTGGGGCCACATGGTAAAGAAATGAAAGACTTTTCATACCCCAAAGACCTAACCCTGGTAAAAATCCCACAAAATTACAAATCAAAATTTGTAATATAAACGTCAGAAAAACAATGGAGCCACGTAACCATGCGATCAACAATCATACCACAGAATGAGGGAATTATTCTCATTCTGTGACTATACCAACCATAGCAAGATATAATTTGCTATTCCATACCATACCATACCATACCATACCATACCATACCATACCATACCATACCATACCATACCATACCATACCATACCATACCATACCATACCATACCATACCATACCAGACCATACCATACCATATCATATCATATCATATCATATCATTATCATATCATATCATATCATATCATACCATACCAGACCATACCATACCATATCATATCATATCATATCATATCATATCATATCATTATCATATCATATCATATCATATCATATCATATCATATCATATCATATCATATCATATCATATCATATCATATCATATCAATCATATCATATCATATCATATCATATCATATCATATCATATCATATCATATCATATCATATCATATCATATCATATCAATCATATCATATCAATCATATCATATCATATCATATCATATCATATCATATCATATCATATCATATCATATCATATCATATCATATCATATCATATCATATCATATCATATCATATCATATCAATCATATCATATCATATATACTGTACCATACCATGTACCGCACCGTACCGTACCGTACCGTACCGTACCATGCCATGCCATACCATACCATACCATACCATACCATACCATACCATACCATACCATACCATACCATACCATACCATACCATACCATACCATACCATACCATACCATACCATACCTATTACAAATGCTTCGTATAAATACGTGAATTAATTTACTTTAAAGAACGGTGAACAGCATGAAAAATAAAAAAATGGCAGTTTCTTCTCCGACTCAATGTTCTACACACATAAAACAGGAATTTCTGTGCTGGAGATGCATCAAAACGTTATACTTTACCGTTGCAAATACAGTGCCAGAAAAACATCTTTCAATAGATTTCTTGACTAACTGTTAATCCAGTACAGGCATTCTGCTGTGCTTTGTTTAATAGAAAAGCAGCAGCAAAATACAGAAAAATTTAGTTTTAGACGAATATTATAGGAAACTGATGCAGCGACATCCACATTAACGCTCCATATTTTGGCTCAAACAGGTTTAGTTTCATTAACACAGCAAGAAAAATATTTTTAAGCTCTAGAATAAAGGCATTTTGTAGAATTATTGATAAATAAGTAAGGTCAACTTGATAAATAAGATCCACTTTGATTACAATCATGAGATGTGTTCATTTTTAAGGATGAAAATGTGATTATCTCTTTTTTACACTAAGACTGAGAGAATAAATTAAAAAATCACACTGTCTAAGAGTTCCAAGCAGGGCATACCTCATAGCAAGGATTGGCCAGTCATTTCTGCAGGCTTTTCTATTTTCATTACATCAAGGATAGTGGGTGCAACGTCACAAAGAGCAGCATTGTGGGTTATCTTGCGGAACTTCAGTCCTTTTGTGATGCAAAATGGAACTATGGGATAAAGAAAATGATTTTCATCATCAAGACAACAGCTTAATCTTCACTTGCTTTTCAGCTCTTTGAAATCGATTATTTCAGCCTTACATCGAACTCGATACAAAACACCGATGAAAATATCTCTTTTAATAGAGGCACCAATCTTAGTTCTGTTTTACAGTTAAATAATATCGTAAATAATAAGTTAAATAAAAAGTTTAAATGCAAGTTTGAGTTTGTATCATGAATGATGCTTTGGATACGGCATAGCTAACAGAATAACAAAAAAGAAATTACCCTAAAACCAGCAGCGATGAACAACAAGCATTGGTGTCGAGAATGAATAAGAATGTAGCATTATGAACACCGGAGAAATGGTCAACTACTTTAAGGAAGGTAAAAGATAAACAAAGTTGAGTAATCAGTACGGGATACCAAACGTTCAAGATTAATTTCAAAAGAAGGAAAAAATTTCAAATAGAATTTAAATTTTAATACAAAAATCCGCAAAACAACGGGATATGACCCTCCCTTCACAGCAAAGATCAAACTGCAGGAATCAAAGATAATACAGGAAGCTGAAAATCGTCATCTAACAGAAATTTATGCAAAAACTTGGTGTGTTTCCCACACAGGATTATTAAACGAAAAGCTAATAAATAAAACAAGCAGCATAAATTAATAATAAGTAGCTATCAAAAACATCACTGAAATGACAGCTTTATGTGATCTTTAAAGATGTCGTAACTGAAAATACTTCTAAACAACGTAGCAACCCTCTTACGCAAAGTCGAAGATATAGCTGAAATGATGTAGAAGATATCTACTTTAAATCTCTTTAAATTGAGTGATTCTAAGAAATACTTCTAGTTCAACACAAAATATCAATGAAACGGCAAATGAAATAAGACAAAGGAGGAGATTTTAAGAAAAATTACAACATCCGAAGATTATCAATACCAGTTTTGATATCTTTACCTGGGAAAAGCTAGAAGCTTGTAAAGTATTATTACACACAAAAACCGAGTACGTATTATTAGCAGGGCCACCATTAACAAGTCATGCGAACAATATCAAACCAAAGAAGATCTATATGGTAGTATTCTTCCAATAACCGATACTGTAAGAGAATGGATAATCAAACAGGCGGGACACTGTTACAGATCTTCACATGAACAAGCGAGAAAGTTACTTCTATGGATACAGACTCGTGGTGAAACGAGCGTTGGAAGACCAGACGAGTAATACATAAACAAACTGAACCAAGAGAACAACATGACAGCATGACAACCTGCCGTATAGAGTACCGAAGTGATGACGTCATAAATATCTATTTTTAGAAATTCTGAATTTTGATTCCAGAACCTAAAAGAGCATCATGAAATACCTCTAAATATGCAAAATCAGTTAAAGGCATTGTGAATTGGCTGAGATATGGCCACATCAGCACAGGCTCTTGCCCCATCAAACCTCTGTAATTTTGGTCTTGGTTCATAACTTTATGAACCAGGCCAGAATAACAGAAATCCGTTAGCAAACTTCAAATCTTCTGTTGGCCATATCTCGCCCAATTTGGAACGTATCTAGCTAATTTTGCACATTGAGAGGTATTTTATGCCGTTCTTTCAGATTATGGGGCCAAATTTAATAAAAATTCTAAAAGTATATTTTTGATGACGTCACACTTCGGTACTCTATGCCTTCGTGCACTGCAATACCTGGAGAAGGCAAGTTGTGATGGTTTCGGTTTCATGCCCGAGATGATGATGATGATGATGAAAGACGTTATTTGTAAATTAAGCATCTTCAGTGACTCGTGCCGCTCATTCCTTGATATGTGTCATTCTTTTTCCATCGATAATCAACACAAACGATATTTCATTTCTAAGCCTTCTACAATATCCATTCGTACCACCAATGACATCTTTAGCTGTAGGAACAAAACAGGGACTGACCCAGAACTATTCCCCTTTTAACTACATACATAACTATATGTGAATTACGTTTTTTTATTATTTCGTAAACCAACACTAGCCAATTACAAATTATTTGTACTGGTGACATTTGTAATCGTAGATTCTAGTTTCAATGAAAATTAAAGTTCTAATATGAAAATAAATTAAACCTTTGTTACAATTCAAAATAACAACATTCCTTTCTATTTTATAACAATTTCTTGAAAAGAAAATAAGCATTCCATATATAGACGATTCAAAAACAACTTTGTACGAAGTCGAAAAATGATTCAATGAGGGGACGTGCCATTCTTTAGGGGTACCTTTTTCTGAAAAAAGCGGAATTATCGGTATCAGTTTTGAAATATGTGCGGAACTATGGGTACCATTTGAAGAAACATTCAGAATTATGGGTACCATTTTGAGGAAATGTTGCAAAATTATTAGGAGGGAGATTTGGCATTAACAAGTAAATGTCCAGTTAGAAATGAAAGCATGATAAATGTGAAATAATGAGATTTTAGGGCAAAGGACATGCAAAATTTGGTTGATGATTCTGTTGTGCTTTAAAAATGTTATTTGCTTTGCAGAATTATGGGTATCGTTTTCGTCATATTTGCGGAATTATGGGTCACATTTCTTCAGACATGCGGAATTCAGACTGTTAGAGGTCTGTGGTAGGCTGATTAATCTTATGCACCAACGGCTTAACTCGCTCTCTTGATGATGTGAGAACTCAGCCTTACGACTGACGTGCTGATATTACCGGTATGATATGTTTTTGGGAGGCAATTTTCGCCTGTACAACTTGTAATGATTCCACTCACACGCTCACTGATTGGCATGTATTGATAAGGCCACTTTCATGTCTGTCGATTGTCTTTAATTTCTCTGAAATACACTACTGCATCTAAATTTCCTATCAACAGTCAATTGGTGTCAAGAACTACGTTTACTGTGAAAGCAGCTTTGTCTTATCTTATTTTCCGAAAATGTATGTTTGAAATTAAGTTCACTTCACTGTAAGTTTGTCCCATTAACAAGGTATCCGAATTATGTGTATGGCCAATTACAGCTACTCAAGAGCTCCCCTGCCATGAACAGTGATAGGCTTTCGAAGGCAGGAAAGCTCTCGAGTAGTTTTAATTCATTAGAGCTTAAAGTGGCAGTTTTTCAGGACTTTGAATACTGCGTTGGCGAGCTGCAGGTGACAACTGGTTTATTTATCTAAGCAACATTCTGGACACACCCTGACAGGCAGGAACATCGCCCATGTTTTCTCGAATATAATAAGGTAAAAAGCACAGGTGCAAAACTGTATGGCGTTGAGGTGCCTAAAATAGCTAGCAAATGCATACCAAGAGACCTCTAGCGAGTATCCTTAATAGAGATTGAGAATAAAAGCACTGTCGTTTATAGAAGTTTATCCTAATGATTAAGGTTCTGCATACTGTGCAAAACGCTACGAGCAGGCCTCATACTGAAACATAGACGTGCTCCATAATAAGATAACAGCTCTTTAAGGTAATGGCTGACGTTAATCAAAATTCAATCCTCAAGAAATCAAAAGGCCACTGCCCGTAATTCTAAACAGATCATACTGTTACATTTGAAAAAACTAAATACAGACGTCAACAGTCCTTCAAAAGAAGAAAATGATCTAACATAAGCAAATGAGAACTTTCCTACAGATATTGCTTTTGAGTTACTTTTGTAAGAATTTTCTACAATTATATTTTTTCTATAATTCATTGTATCGTAGTCAAATATAGCTTAATTTCAAAAAATACGAAATTGCTTTCAAGATGTCTCAAAACTCCAGGAATACGCACTCAGTTACAAAGCACTATTTATTCATCAGTAACAGTAACAATTACCATGCTCAAACATTCTAAAATGCAATCCAGGCCCATTTATCTATCCAATTACACTATACATTAACCCGCACTTGGGTATTACGCAGAATGGTGAGCAAAATTAAGGAAAAGTGAAACTATCAACTGAATTAAACAAAGATGAAAAAGGTATTCTAGCAGCTTGACCCCTAATGAGGGGTTAATTGGGAAGTTTGTTGATTTCTCTTATGGTACGTTCTTGTCCTTGGGCTGATTGTCTGTCTACAGCCACTGACCCTTACCCCAACCCCAACCCCAACCCCAACTCTAACCCTAACCCTAACCCTAACCCTAACCACCCTAACCCTAACCCTAACCCTAACCCTAATCCTTTTTAGCAAATGGGAGAGGTTGAGAGAAAATTAGGAAGCAAGGTTGTCGATGCATGCTATGTAATTGTGTGTGATACGGTCACATTGCTAAAATGCTTGCAAAAAAGAAGTGCTAAATAAAAGACTATCAAACGTCTTTTTCAAGGAGTCCAGTGAGTTCTGGGCTCTGATATTTTGATCTAACGAGTCCCAAGTGTTAGTTGCACTTGGTTTAAAAGATAATCTAAATGTATCTGACTTACAGTATGGTAAAAGAAAAAAAATTATACGGTATCCATGGATATCTATTAAGCTGCTATCAATCTTAAACATTATGATGAACTTTGCCTTTTTTTCTTTTTTCAGCTAAACTTTCCCATCCTTGTCATTTGTTTACAATACTAAACTTTGAGGACCATTCGACAGACAGCGAGTCTCGCCACCAAAGACAACAAAACTGACTGATTGACCAGCAACTGACTGACTAAAGTACTAGACTTTCATTCGAAAGTATAAATAATAAAACAGAGAGCTTACTCAACTGAAAAATACTACAGTACATCGAGCCCCAATAATCTATATCATACTCCAATGTAGGCTTTCTAGATTCATGGCAATTCTTACAGTATACAACAGTTATCATGCAGAAAGCCTGACTTACCTCTATAAGTGGTGTGTGCTGTGTGTGGCCCACCTTTCTCACTTATCATTTGTTCAGCATTACCATGGTCAGCGGTCACCATCATAACATAGCCATGCTCATCACAAGCCTTCTTTACTCGACCAATAGCCTCGTCTGCAAAAGGAGACTGAACATGCATACATTTTATCACATGTAGAAAACAAATCAAGTTGTTTTTCGGTTTATGAACAAGTCTGTTCTTCACAAAATTAACCAATTTGAGTATGGTAAAACATCAATGAGACTATTTCAATTCTATATCAAACTGTTTCAGCTTAGGTTGAAGCTCAAAAGGATTATCACCTGAATTCTAAATTTAAATGGTTATAATACTTTCAAAATTTTTTAACCAATAAAATGTTCATTTTCATCAAGCACCAATTTTTCAGATTAATAGATTATGCCCAAGAAATCAGTAATAAATTCATTTCTACATAAATGGTGTACCTGTAGCCTCGCATGCCTTTACGGCTGCCTCGTATACGCCTGTATGTCCAACCATATCAGGAGGAGCGAAATTCAACATAACGAACGGGTATTTCTGGGTAGCAATTGTCTTTGCCATCTGCGGGGGGATGAAATGTTATTATTCAATTTGTTTGAATTGAGTTATAAGAGAGGCAGGCAGTTGCTAATCAAATCAAGACTGATTTCACAAATACCCCTTAGATTAAACAAGTTTATTAGAAGCACTCAGCAGTGCCTGGTCTGACGCTGCTGGTGCATTCTCCATTCCTGGACGATTTCCGGTTGCCAGAATGGAGCTGGTCTACGAAAATATTGAATGGGCTTTCGTATTATTTAAAACAAAAAAATTCATGAAACTGCATCATCATGAATTAATATTTTTTGTCTCTTCTAACGAAGGAGGAAATTTCTCCATTTTTGTTTTTTTGAGGAACCCTCATTTCTTTCCATGAAAAACGTTTTGTAAAAAATGTGATTTCACTCATTGGTCTTGAGCTTGCAGTTAAAAAAACATTGGACATACGTATTTAAACAAGGCACAGTGCACTTTAACTCTAGTAAGTGTACTTTTCAGTCTCTAAGTTTTTAAGTTTTCAAGTTTACTTTAAGATTAGTATAATGAGCGCTTCAAAACATTTGTTTAACTTATGCAGGAAACTTCAAGGATTCCTAATGATACTCAATAAAAGGATACAGTAATGTAATCTTCATTGAATGGAAAAAAATAAGAACATTTTTGAACAAATTTGCGCATATTTTTTCTCAATAAATCTTTGAGAAGAAGAAAGTTCTTAGAATCTTACAACTAAATGAAAAAAAGAAAGTGTATATTTGAATATAGAAAATGCCTATCCCGGAATAAATAACGAAAATGTGTCTTTAACGTGTCTTAGACATAGGACTTAAACATTAAATGGGGAAAGAATGAAATATCACGTGATCTCTATCACCACAGAACCAATCACATCTTCAGAAAATAAAAACAAACTAAAGTTTGAATATAAACAAATAGTTACCTCATCGGCGACGCTGAGGCAGCTCATTTCTGGCTGGAGGTCATATGTTGGTACTTTAGGCGATGGGATTAATTTTCTGTCTTCAAGCTCAAACTGCTTTTCAACACCCCCATTGAAGAAGAAGGTAACATGGGCATATTTCTCGGTTTCTGTAGAGAAAGAGATGTGTCGAAGGAACGATATTGAGCAGTTATAGCATAGCGTGTTTAAGAATGAAATCTTTAGGTTAGATTAAACAGGGCAAAAACAGAGCATTGAAGTGAACATAACTTGTCACTGAATTGTGGGAAGAAAGGGAAAATGACTGCTTAATAGAGACGGTTGTCAGCTTTAATGATTTTGGCAACCTTGTTTTGAGACTTTTTTCCTAATTATCCCATGCTCGTTTCGTTACTCTGACAATAACACCATAGTCTCCAAGAAAGTAAGAAAATACGTTTTCAGAACGGTTTTGACTATAAAAGACTCAAAGGAATCCCTGAGGAACATAAAGAGCATATCAAACAGGTTTTGTGACCAGGTTTTGCAAAGCACGTTGCTAGCAGACACTGCACTAATATTCCGAATTCGTATTCCAATTTTCCATTTGCCGTACGATAGAATATCCAACATAAAAATGTATCTTGCATGACTGGAATATTGCAGTATTAGAAGAGGAATACATGCAATATTGAAAAAAGATAGATGAATTAAGGATATCAGTGTCTACATGATGCGTTCCTTAAAAAACCATACCTTCAAGTGTCAAATAATCTGTGACTTGCTATTTCTATTTTTGCAAAAGAATTACAAAGTATTTCTGAATTTTCTAAACAATCAAAAAAGGTGAAAAGCAAGAAAGTCTTTTAGCAAATATTCATCGACTAAAAACATAATTGGCTACCTGCAGTGTGAAACTGTGGAGTTTTCTTCTCTGCGAGCCACTCTGCTAAAACGTTCTTTGGCGTGACAGGTGGGAAAAGGACATCAAACGGAAACTCAGCTTTGTATTGGGTCATACAAAATATTTTCTGTGTTACAAATAGAAAAGAATGTATCAATAATTTCATAAAAACACATCCGCCACCAAGATAATTAAAAAATCACGATCAACTTGCAAAATAAAGGTTAACGCTTTGTGAACATTAGGTATGTATCAGATACCTATTCTTAAACTAGACAAATACAGAGAGGCTCATTGAAAAAACGAGGTCCTCTCCCTGCACAAGATCTTCTATTTTTTGTAAGGATATTTAATGTATTTTCTTTAGCTTTATTCAAACATTTAGAAAATCCTCAAGGCTTACCTCACCTACTCGTCTAACCTAACTTAAAAACGATCGTAGTTATGTTGAGATTAGGGGTGCAAGTTGATTCCTAAGCAGCAAACAGCTTAAAAACAACTTTAGCTGTCTAAAGTAACTAAAAATTTCAAATATCGAATAAAAACAGTACCACACCTTCCTATATAAATCTACAAAAACAGGCCACGTTGGTTAAAAATATTATTAGCACAGAAAGACTCATGGCCTAATTTCCTGAAAAATTTGATCATTGAAATCTTAATCTACATTTATTAAAATCTGAGGTTAAAGAAAGATCATGGTTAAAGAATTACCTACCAAATCCTTTGGGACGACATCAGTCTCGAAATGCCTCTGCACGCCAAATGCTTCCACAATTTGCCGCATTCTGTCTGCTCTGAAGTCGATGAACACCATTGTATCGCCATCTTGAAAAACGTTAGAGAAACTTCATCATCCAAAAAATTCCAAATCGCAATCAACGAATCATTGATTCTCACACAAAAGTCTTCCAAGATTTGGTGGCTTCACAGAAATACATGCTACAGGCCTTAAACCGCCTCGGAATTCCTTATTTCTCCTAGTAGGGAATAAAATTCACATAACGCCAGTGACACAAGTAGTGGTTGATACTGGGTATACCATATATTATAAAATCATATATTAAAGGTAAATCATATATACCATATATTATTTACCTTTAATGGTTCCTTCTTTATCAACTCTAATGGGTTTCAGAAATTCATCTGTTTCTTTGTTAGCATATCTTGCTTCAATTGTCTAGACAAAATACAACAGTGTTCTAATTCCATCATTAGACAACTGACAACAAAACTCAGAGAAAAAAGTTAATAAAAGCCTCAATTTATATTTTTAGTAACAAAATAAAATATGATAGGATCTCAAAACATATCAATTGAAAACCTCTGATTCCAAATACTTATGCCAACATAAGATCTGTAGAGCAGATAAATAGAGGCTAATAAATTTTGATATTTTTTGTCAAAGTGGCCTCCAAAATTGAAACTTCTGATGAAAAGTAACAAACCTTGATAAGATTATCAAGAGTCGTCTCTTCTCCTGCCCCTTGCACCAGTCCCTCAAATGCAATCTTATTTCTTTCAAACCTCTTGTCCCTATCCATAGCATAATATCTTCCAGTGACACTGGCCAAAGAACCATATTGTAACTCTTTTAGCTTGTCAATAACTTGTTGCACAAATTCAACTGAAAAGAGCAAATTGTTTTCCATCAAAATGAAGAAGAATTGGAAGAAACTTCTGGCATTGAAGACTTTTAATTCAAAAGTAATTCCTGTAAAAAGTAATTTGTCAATCAATATACGACCTTAACCAAGCTTGAAAGATAACATGATTTGAAGAGGTGGCTAAAACAAATAAAAATGACAAAAGTGATCATTAAAACCTCGCTAAAAAACAAAAGGGGACCAACATTGCCATTAGAAAAAAAGTGCCAATCCCCTGAAATTATCTGTCGGCCATGATAAGTAGATTAAAATGTAAATTCCAAGTGAATTCATTCACAAACTATTTAATAAATTTTGTCATTTCTACCTCCACTACTGGGTCTTGTATCTCTGCCATCAGAGAAAAACTGGATAAAGCATTTTGGCACGCCAAGAACCTTTGCTGCTTCAATCATTGAAAATAAATGATTGATGTGGGAGTGCACTCCACCGTCGCTTACCTGAAGAGGGTATTAAGAGAATGACTCAACAGAAAAATGACAGTAACAGAAACAACCATACAGATGATTTGTTTGAAGGTATAAAATCATTGGTATTGCATTCTGAAGGCTTTGTATCATTAGCTGAACTTGCTTTTAGCAACCTCCTAAAACCCATAGGACAAAACATAAACATCAGCTTAAAAGTCTTTATGTTGAGAAGTTGTCTGCCTTTAAGATTACTGTGTTTCTGCTATCTATGATTGATTCAGTCATCACAAGCGTACAACATGAGAAGGCAAGCAATTAAAAGGTCCTACTGTTAAACTATGTGTTAAACTATGTGCTAAATTGAAAATATTTTTGTGAGCAATAATAAATGATGTAAGTTTACATTAAATGTGTCATAGAGCAAGACAAAGAGACGACATATCAATTTATGCAAAGCATAGCAGTCCAATTTTAAAAAAGTATATTGAATCGAATTTAGAAGATTTAGGACCAGATTTCTCAGAAGTTAAAAATTCTGTAATGAGATATCAAAATGGCAATAGTCCCAACCTCAGCACCTTCTTATGCAATGTCAGAAAATTCAAAAATGCCTAATTGTTTGATAACACGAGGTTGATCAATCACTACCTGGCTGAAATTCTCAAAACCAAGCCTTCAGTAAAAAGGTTGTGTTTTAAAATATATAGGCATAAATACATACCAGTCCCAGAAAATGCAATCGACCATTTCCTGCCTTAGCACCAGCACATGCTTTTGCAAAGAACTCATTCTTTTGAAATTCTTTGTTCTCTGATGTCATATTTATTCTCACAATATCCTGATAAACAACTCTTCCTGCTCCAATATTCAAGTGACCAACTTCACTGTTACCCATTAGTCCTGCAGGCAGGCCAACAGAAAGGCCAGAGGCATCCAAAGTTGTATACCCATCACCCTGGCACAGCCCATTCATAACTGGTGTCTTACCATGATGAATGGCATTGCCTGAAATGCAACTATGTACATCAAACAAGTCTCCATTTTCAATTGGCCTTAAAGATTCATCAAGCCTGAAATCAATAAAGTTGGCCTGGTTATTTCATTTCTGTGTCATACTTATAATTATCCTATTTTTTGCTTAAAAAAATCTTTTGCAAGGAAGGTAACACACATTTTGGTGAAAAAAGTCAATAAATTGTGAAAAATGTCATGAAAATTTTATAAAATCTAAACAATGGATCATTGGTCTTTGAATTGTCTTGTTTTGAGGATTTTATATATTTGTAGGGTATGCAAAATTTGCTGTAGAAATAGATTAATAAGCTTGTTATCAGTTTGAGTGCTGACTGTATGAATTTTTCAGGTCTTCTACAAAAAGCAAATTCCTTATTAGAGAATAAAATTAAAGTGTATCAAAAGAATATTAAAATTATTTGAAGATGATAAGAATATACCTTCTGTGACATCAGACATTCCCCAACCATCAATAACAATTAGGCACACTTTCTGACCTGCCATGTTTTGCCTCTCCTAAAGAACAAGATTTCAGTTCATATTTATCAGAGATAAAGCGGAATGTGGAATTGAAAATGAAAACACACTAAACTGGACAAAAATCATATTTTGTTGAAATTTGGCACAGATGTTCCATACTTAATTGTAAATAACCAGAAAAAACCAATCAATTGGACATTGACAACTCTTTTTTGGGCAGATCCCATAACGGCACACCAACCAGCAGTGGTTTAGAATTTTTATGTCACTAAAACCACACAATATGTAAGCATTTTGAAAGATAATTCCATATGAACAACTTTTCTTTTACAAACATACCCTCAAAAGTTTGGACTATTTTCTGTATTGTGTGTGGAAAATAAAATAATTCTGATGCTTGGGTAAGGTAAATTATGATAATATTCCTGTTTTGCAATGAGTGAAGTTCCATAAATATCAATGGGGAGTTGTCTAGACTGGCTGGAAGAAAAAAACATTTGCCAAAAAGTTGGAAAATTTTGATTATGTGTCATAAAGCCTTTCTTTATATATTTTATATTTTCTTCACCCCAAAGTATCCTCTTTTAAAGCAAAGTTAATCAAATATAAATTATGTATAATTTCCAGCAGATATGTGGTTACTATAATGGGAAATGAGTAGAAATGGCTAGGAAACATGAAGACACAAGTAGAAACAACTAGGAAGCAAGTGGGAAACAACTAGGAAACAAGCAAAAACAAGTAGTAAACGACTTTGGAAAATTTTGATTGCCGCCCATAGATGTTAATATGGTGTTGTTATAAGAGGAATTAATCTATGAAAGCCTGATATGAAGTGCCAGCAAAGTAAGAGCAAATCTCACTGGCATTGGGATTAACATGGAACAACTACCGGGAAGGTCAAAATAAAGCAATTTAAAATCTCAGTTAATAATCAAGCAATATTTTGTTTTTTCCCTTTATTCAACTGTTTAGGAACTTACCAGAACACTATAGAGGCTTTGGGGTTAGGCCCCCACCCTAAACATTCTTCAAGAAGTAGATTGTTCAAGAAGTATTTTGCTAAACAATAGCGTTGTAGAAACATAAATAAACATTATCACTGGGTTTCCTTAACCTCATCTAAATTAACAGCAATCGACGTGGAAAGAACGACATGACCCAACACTTAGCTAAGCCACTGCAACAAAGTCGAAGATGGCAATGCCCACGTGGATGGATAAGCTTGCCTCCTTTTGGGGATCTAGTCGTTTCTGCTAAGTCATATATCGATTCATGTTGTTTCCTTATCATTTCTCCTGGTTTGTATTCTTTTCTTGTTGTTTCCTGTTGTTTTCTGTCATAGTAAAGGCGCAGCAGATTCACCAAGAAAAGTCTTTGTAAACTTATGTACTTACTCAAGAGCTTCCTATTTGCACATTCTAAGGCCTGTATGTTAAAGAATTGTTCAGCATGAAACTGTCATCAGAATATGTACATATAATGTGGGTTTAGAATAAAAATTCAAATACCTGTTGGTCAGTTTTTAAATACCTCTGCTATTCTCAAGGTTAATGGTAACTTTGTTTTTACCTTGCTTCATGATGGTAGGGGGAACATGCAAGTTTGTTGCCTTATTCAGGACCTTGTTCATAATTTTCCACACTATTTTCTTTTTTCAGAATTTATTTCTATCCTTTTTAAACCAAACCAGAGGTATTTACTGTTTTCTATCAGAACTCTTGCATTTCTGGTGTCTCAGAAGTTGGGAGTTAGCCACTGGAATGGCTCTTTTCATTTCCTTATGGACATGGCAATGTTTGTACAACATTTCATCAGAATTATCAAATGTTTGTATAAACTGGGTAATCCGTGGGCATACAGGTTATTGCACACATCATTTATCTACATGAAAAATCCCAATTTTTTACCTAATTCTCTGAAACTTATTACACTGAAAATATCTGGTTGTGGCTGCAACAGGAGCATCTAAAATCATTTTATGTTTAAAGGCACTTTCTGTTTTGGCCTATTCGATAGATTTTAATTCTCCCTGGCCTTTGATTCACCGCATATTTTACGTTTTGATCTCTGTGTGATTGAGTTTTACACCCCCTGATAGATAAAAACGTATTTGTATGTCCTAACTACAACGGGGGTGGGTGGGTCTGTCGTCTTGATTGAGGGACAGCATCATTCTGTCTTATTCCCTCGTAGCAATGGAAATCAGAAATTAAAAAAACAGAGAAACCTGCCACCAAATATTGCTACTAAATATCTCTGTCGCTATTTAAAAAATCTGCAAACGAAACATACCTTGATGTCCCAGATGCCAACAAGAAAAGACGATACCACTTATAGGACAGGATAGGACAGGGGTCAAAAAGTTGGAAGAAAAGTGAAATCGAGACAGCAATCAGTTAAGAGGCTAGGATTGAGGAGATGTCATTCCGGGCAATTCCGATTATAGTCATAACAAATATTGCTTGTAAATCTATGACAGTAAGCGTAGTGTAACAGTAAAAAGAGCTTAATTGAACAGTTATACATATTGGCGACTGTAAACGGATGTGTCTTTAACAGGAGCTACTATTAGTTGCAAACTTGAAAAGCGCTGTTTTAGAAACAACTGAATGGGCAATTTTTGATGTTATTAACCTTGGAATTTAGGAGTGCTTGGTTTCTGGTTTTTTAAGAATTTATATCAAATCGTTATCCTTGTTCTCAACAAGCTAACAAATTCAATTTCAAGACTTAATTTTTCTAAAATAGCATGTGTCTCTTCTTCTACCAACAGTCGATTCCTTTTTACGGTTCAAAGAAGTTCCGTTACGATTAGAATAAGAGGTAGAAAAAATGACAAAAAGCTTGGTTGTTCTCTCTGTATATGATAATACGAGTATACATATAGTTGATTAAAATAATCTCAATATTAATTTAGTATATAAAAATATATACGGAATGAAATAAATTATCTATACCCGAATTATTGCTAGCATAAAATGGGCGCAATGCATACATTCATAAAATCTAAGATCTCAAAAATCAATTATAATCATCTTATGCTTTAGCAAAATGCATACCTCTAGTTTACATATCATCTGCATAAAAGACTTCGAAAAACATTGAAGTACAGTCGATCCTAGTTCAGATGCAGCTTGAGCATCTGGTCTAATAGCATCAAGTTTGCCTCACAAGGTTGTGGCCAAAACAGGTATATAAATGCGCGCTGTGTTGAGATGCCAAACGAGAAGTACCAGCAAAAGGTAACATTTGTTGTAACAGTCGGGTAGCAACATTACTGACGCTTGCTGTTGAGTCATATAATCACAAAGTGTGTGACGTATTTCAAAAGTTAGTTAAAGCGAAATGCCACTTACACACTTGCTTAGAGCTGTCCATTGAAAGCAAGCAAAGCTTAATCGAACCAGCATTCGAAAATGTTGGCAGGTTTTTTTCAATGCTCAAACTTATGGAACATCCCAAAAGGCAATTATTGCTCTCACAATAAGATATACAGGCGTAGCCAAAATCTATCAATGATTCGAGGAGAAGGACATTGGGCAGATTAGGGTTGGCTCAGGCTGTAAAAAGTATACTTAACTTTGGAAACTGCTTTACGAGTAGGCCAGAAATTACAATAAAAATACAAGGCTAAATCCTTTTAAAATGGAGAAGATTTAAATGCATTTCTCGGAACTGCGTTCTACTACTAAATTGAAGGCATAGCACAAATGTAATTGCCTTTCGGGAATACAGTCTGCAAAATGTGTAACTGGGCCGCAAAAGAAGGTTCTTGTAAGGCGGTAACATTTTTCATTGGTTGTTAGATTGTTAGCTTCTCAGGGTCTTTTAACTGTTTCAGAAGCAGAAAGCCAGCTACTAAATGCTTCAAGTGATTAGGCTTTCTCTATAATTCATTAGCTTGTATAGAGATAGAAATACCCAAGAATTTAAAAATCACCCTAAAAAGAATGCCTACATTTAAAAAACTGCTTCAACGCGAAACTTGGAAGAAGTAGACAATATGACAACCTAACTTTGAAAAACAAGTTACAATCACAAAACACTATAAGATTATAACAATAAATGTCTTCTTCCACCTGGAGCTTATTGACCTACAGGATTGTGCAACCACAACAACACTGCTGAGGATAATCAGGGCAGTGGACCTTGTGCTCCATTCCATAAACCCAGAAGCGATATGGCTTGTCTTCCCATAAAACATGAACTTCGCTCACTGGCACTGAGCGCAAATTGTGTCTCTGCAAAAACGGAGATATAATAACACATAACGTCTGTAGCCTGTATTCGTTTGTCTTGATTTTCATACAAACGTGAAGGTTCACAATTCCAAGCAAGATACCAAAGAGCTAGGCCAGAAGTAAGTGTCCAGCCACATTGTCCATTTTTAATATTGTCAACAAGTTTCGGATTATTAGAAGTCTTTTATGATGATTAGTGAATAAAGGTAAGAAAGAAGGAAATGACATGCGTAATTTCTTGTGCCAGTCCACAACAATGGCTTTTAAAATTCTAGGAACCTATTTTGAACAGTTTTTTGGCGGTACCAAACTTGAGAATGGCTTTGATAAAAACAAACATTTTCTAAAATATTGGCTAAAAGCTCTTTCGTTTGACACTCCTCAGAGCATAAAATGTCAGAATAAAGGTCCGAAAGATCACGATGAAAAATATACACCCAATTGTGGATCGAAATAGGCTAATCAGAAAAACGCAAGCACAAGACCGGTATAGTTGTCCAATCGGTGCCGCGTGCCTAAAGAAAAATACCACTAGAGTCCAAGAGAGAGAACGTACTTCTTCTGTCTACACAATGGCGGCTTTTTAAATATAATTTTTCGTATATATTATACAATGGGTATATATTTTTCATAGTGTTCCTGTGAACCCTTGTTCTGACGTTTTATGCTCTCAGGAGTGTCAGACGAAAAGCTTTTATCCAATATGTTACAAAATGTTTGCTTTTTTCAAAGTCAGAAACTATTTTGATGGAATTTCTGGTAATGGGAACAAATTCAAGGCTTCTCCTTAATTGTAATTTCATTTAAGCTGATATTAAACCTCTGCTTGCCGCTTGGTAAGATTTCTATCAACATACAACCTTGTCGCAATTTTTCTGACATCAAACAAATCAGGTACAAAATGAATCGCGATGAAAAAAGTAAAGTAACAAAGAAAGTGAGAAATTAGTGACAAGAATTACAAAAAGATAAAATGGAAGTGAGAAAGTGGATTTAAAAGATAAATGAAAGAATAAAATAATAAATGAATCTTAATGAATGAATGAATGAATGAATGAATGAATGAATGAATGAATGAATGAATGAATGAATGAATGAATGAATGAATGAATGAATGAATAAATTAATGGAGGCAGGAATAAATAAATGAATGAATGGAGGCAGGAATAAATAAATGAATGAATGGAAAAAGGAATGAATAAATAAATGAATGAAATAACAAATCAAAGAATAAATGAATGAAAAATGAATGAATGAAAGTAAGAAGGAAAAGCAACAAAGAATAAAATTGTTAGTAAAAATAAGATAACGTAAATTTTTCGCTACGATCCTAAAGGACATAGATCTTATTAAAATGCTATCCAACTTCCCGCTTACCTGACGGTGAAGGACTGAAGATTGCGCAAAGCCTGCATGCTGATTGACCAGTTGCTGCGAGGCAGTGTTTATTTCCTGCTCATAAAAGGATGTCAGTGGAAAGACCTGGAAAGACAAGACAAGGTTAGGAGGAAAGACCATGTCAATTTAAGGAATACTGCCATTTTCACTGTTGTCTTCAATTATAAATGTCATACACGTTAAGCATGATAAAAAGTGGTAAGGCAGAGAAAGTGCAAAGTTTTATTTATGGGTAATAAAATTTGCAATGGTAACTTCAGAAACCTTATATTGTACAGCACAGGACAGGATATTAGAAGCATTTGAAAACTGTAGTTGATGATACCACGATGCAGCCCATATAAAGCATAGAGCTAATCAACTAGGACCTTTCTTCCTCAGTCACCTATACACTTGATACGAGGCCTATTCATTCGTATTTTCTTAGTTACCAGTTAAAATTAGTTGCTACGTAGAATCTCTTCAAAAATGCAAATGGCGCATGCTTAACTTGAAGGGTGCTTTTGCATGTCTTTTACAAATTTGCAGGAATCCAACACTAATGCCCAATAATTTGTTTAAGTCACCTGCACAAGTAGTTACCTATTATAAAATATCCCAAGGCAATCCAAATTTGCAATGACTGACAAACGATCATGAGTCTAATTCTGACGTACTGCTGTTATATTGCGTTCACTATATATTTATGTTTAATAATAAGACAATATCAATCGTACCCTTGGAAACTCCTGAGCAAAAAGTTCAACGCCAGAAACTTGAGTCACTAGCTCATCAGGCATGTCTGTTTTCTCAACCACGTGATCACTGGCTTTAATCTCCCTGAAAAAATAATCAAGTACTGATTCAAAGTCACAATAAAAAACACCGAGAAAGCATAACAAGAACACTAGAGTCACGTCACCCCTATGGAACGATTTCAGTAAAAATTATTTTCCTCACCTTTTATTACTCCCTAATACAATCAACGTACTACAAACAATTTGTTGTATAATCTAGATGCTTGTATAAAGCCAGTTTTATCGGCTCTTCTCTCTTTATACACGAGCAACATTACTACAGGCCGCTTTGCTCCGTGAAAAACTTAAGCCATCGCCCCTTATGGAATGACTCAAATTTAGGCATGCAGAAAAGCGCACAACGGAGAAAAACCTGGAATTATCATATGCCCTATTTCCTTCTACCTTTATCATTCATCAATATCATATCAGACTTTCGTTGAGCCATTCGTTTTAAATTCAGAGTACAGAAAGAAAAAAGTTTGAAATTTTTTGGTGCTTTAGATAATATGCTTCTGCCTTTGTTGGTCAGTCTTTATGACAGCTCTATAAACTGACAATTTAAATTCCTTTCTACAGCCAAACTACACTTTCTGTCAAAATCTGACAACAGAATTCAGTCACTAGTTTAATTAGGCTAACTTTTGTCGATGGAGCAAAGAAGCAATAATTGGGATCTCTTCATATCTCAGAAAATTATAAATCCTTTAGACCTGACCATGAGTGCCTAAGCAGGCAATTAGAATCGCTTGGGTGATTTAACGAGTTAAATTATGCGAATCTTCAAAAATTCTCAGTTTGGAGAACCGAATCTTGCGGAATACATAGAAGATCATATCAAGCACGGTTTACAGACCTTTCTCAGTCCTGTGCACATAGAAATGGTTTTTGTTAAATCTTAAATGGTATTTCAATCACACTACTTCTCCTAAACCGATTATTTAAATCCTCGCTTATTCGAGCATTCATAGATTGATATGAGAGATAAAAAGCTACATTATGTCAATAGCTTACCATTGAACCTTAAGGCGAAGATAATGCTTCAATTTGCCCTTTCCGTTACATGTTGTGCACGTGACCAGTCCACGACCATGGCAATGCATGCAGCTATAATAAAAAGAGCTGTGTCACTATATGTTACTGCAACAGGATCAAAAGAACTGTTCTGGTATCATGACATCGAATGCCGTAGAACCGTTATCATAAAAGGATTAAAATTGCCTAAGGGTGAAAAAATGAAGAAAATTATTTCTTATATCTGTAAAGATATTTTCAAAGTTACTTCGTACGATCAAAAGCGCTAACATATTCGATTAACAGAAATCAGTTTTCAGTGCACCAGTTTCTTACTGAGAAGAAACAAGTGCATACATTTCCTGGCAAGAGTGGGGAAGGTGGGGGCTCAATTATTTTCTTATGGTATGCTCTAAGAACCCCTTGTGTCCAATATATCATTTCGGAAATATATGCATGCTAATAATTCGACAATGAATTCACTCTATTACCTGACCAAATTAAATTGCTAATCACACCTAGAATCATATAGATTCATTTGTATGCTTCTCTAAAGATTCCACTACCATCCCTTTCATCCCCCCTCCCGCGCTTTCGAAAATCCTAGCCTCTGTGCTTAGTAGAATCTCTTGTTAGATGGGACCAGGTACTTTTTAAAAACGAGGACTACTGAATTTTTCTTTGTATTGGGTGATAAAAGCTATTGCCGGGATCCAAATCGAACACTTCAGAGCCTATCTGCAGCTGAAAGAGCAAGATCATAGATGCAGAACCCACCTAGTCGGCCCCGCCCCACTACATATTTGATTAAGAATGGCGGAAAAAAGATATCCTGGACCATCATACTCATCTCTTCTACTGTTTACTCACTTTCTTGTTCCGTGTCCATGACAAAATACACAATTTTCGCGTCCCTCTGCACGATTAACGTGGCCACTTCCTCCACAGCTTGTACAACGTTCCTGGATAAAGATATCAAAAGAAAATAACAGAAACAAAATATGACAGAAGTTTTCTTCTTCGATCAGCCAATGACGGAGTTTTGTGACTGTCCTGCTGCAATAGCTGTAGCAAAGTAAAAGCTGCGGTGTAAGTGACATTGGTGTCATGGAGAAAGTGACAAATTCGGCGATGGTGAAGAGAGATAAGAGCTGGCGGTGCTTGCGACTGTGTCGACAATTTGAATAGTATACAATTCTAAAAATCATTTCTAAATACACAATTCTATAATATCATAAATATCATTTCTAAAAATCAGAGTGTATTTACCTGGTTTGAGTAATACTAAAGAAAAAATCAGGCGCTACTTCCATCTGTTGTAATTGCTCTTAAAAAATCACTTAACACTGATCTTTGAAAATTGTATTATTTGGTTCTTTAGTACCATGTTGATAAGTTTTCAGTAAAAGGGATATAAACAAATTATAACGGCAAGGGAAAAATGGTGCAGTGCTGTAATAGTCATATTGTTATAGGGTACCACAATTATCATAGGGTACCACAATTAATATTATAGGGTAAGGAAAGTTAGAAGGGTCCTTATGGTATTCTCTTCGTTATCTGTTTCTATTGAAAAAAATATTTATTATTTATTGAATTTATTTTCTCAAGTATTTTAGATGCATTGTTTATCGTAAATCAGAATTGCTGAAGGGGCTACCATGCTTATATCATACCTGTGATGGAGACAATTATGTAGACAAAGAAGATGGGCAATAGAGAAAAAAAGAAGAAGTGACAAAATTGAAGAGGGAAATGTATAAAATAACGAAAATTTGAGAAAAAGCTGCATATCTAAATACCTTTCCCCGGCCATGACAATGCTTGCATTTGTTTTGCCCTGTTCCAACACAATGGTTGCACAACTAGTAAAAAAATATAATCAGATATGTCACTACACAAAGTTATGTAAAATATATTTCACTTTGAACATGCAAATGAAAGATAGATCTGTTCACGGGTTCAAGTCCTGTCCTGGTCGCGCTTCTTGCTCACATTTCTTTCAGTACATTTTCCCAAATCCTGCTCTCCTATCAATTACATTTTAGCCTGAGTAGCATATGACTTACACTGTCCTTACAAGTAAGCATTCTCCACAAGAAACATATTGAATACGCATTCTCCACGTATCAGCAGAAATTTTTTGTACATTTGACTAAACATAAAATTTGCCAAAATGTTAAACACATTACACTTGCGTGACCAGGCACGTTGAGAGTTGTTCAATGAAATGTTTAGTTCGTTTGACCGAGGCATTACCTGAACACTGGCAGTATGTGGGATTTCTTGGTAAAGAGTTGTTGGATCGAAAAATCGGGGCTGTTGAACTTGAATTTCCCATGCACCTGGAGCGCGTCCGTTCATTGGCCCATCAATTACCTGGCCTATAAACAAGGTAATGTGATTCTTAATACATTACTTAATACAACAAGGTAATGTGATCCACAAGTACCATGTTTGCAAATGATTTTTTCTTGAATACCCATGGGATACGTAATAAATTTTGATGATATCAAAACCACAAAAATTAGGCCTTTGTGGGTGTTCAAAAATTTGACTTTTTCGAACACAAGAAATGTTAATTATCAGTAAAAAACTTTGAAAAAAGATAAAAAGCACATAGTTTACAAAACTCCGGTAATACTAAAACACTCTTCAATCGGGACTAACTGTTCTACAAGATATTACAATATGGTGCAAACAAATCAAATCAGGGGACAGAAAATAGAAGAATTACCAACGTTATATGACTCTCCATCAATAAAGTCTCTTGCTCAATCGGCATGCTTTGAGAATACATTTTCAAAACCGGCTCATTATCGTACCGCATGAAAATACCAAATACATTCCATATCCTATTGTCACGGAGACTTGAATACATTTGCGAACACATTTTCAAAACCGGCTCAATATCGTACCGCATGAAAATACCAAATAGAGTCAATATCCTTTAAAAAAATCTAAAGCAGAGCATGCAGTTTGTGCAAGAGGCTTCACTGCCTTGTTAATTTCTTTTGCGTATTTGATTCCTTTGAATAGAGATAATCAATAGCAGAAATGCGATTCTCCTAAATTCATCAGCTAGAAAACGTCGTGTTATTGAAACACCTAATAAATAATTTCTGATGAGAAAAGACAAAAAAAACTTGAATACCTCCCAACTTGAAATTAGTTCTTACCGATGTATGGTTCTTGGTGCCAGTTAAATGTTCTTGTCTCCGTAAATGATTCAAGTTTGTACTAGAAAGAATCACATTTTGAATACATAATACAAAAGAAGGGTAATGGCGGTTTCCCTTCTTTCCGAGGCTCTTTTAGCCTTACCCACACAATAATCTTAAAGGTTATTTATCTTAGATCTTGCAGCATTTCTTTTAATTTCTTTTCCTTTTTTTTCAAGTTTCGCTTTTTCCTTAATAACAACCCTAATCCCAAATATACCTTCATCATGATTGTGGCCCTAAATGAAACACATACTTAACAGAAAATGGAAAAACCATAGCAAAGAAAATTTTTTTACAACCTTTTGTTGTCAACATCGATTTGAAGAGTATTTTGTTTCGCAAAGTGAACTTGAAACACTTAAGAAAGCTTTGAAAAAACTATTTGTATGGCTCTCGAGGATTCATGGTATGGAAAGATCTGCCTAGTTCTTAAACAATTTCAAAATACATGAAGAACAGAGGGCTAAACAATTTACGACAAATACATACATGGAGTGCATTTGAAGCTTTCATGTCCTTGATGTTCATATTATTTGCTGCACCTTTCCCATAGCAGCAGTGTTCACTAACAAACTGAAGCAAAGCGTCCGTCGCTTGTGCGTCGGTTATGTGTCCAGCCCTATAATTACCAGGGGGATAAGAGCAGAGAAAAATTATTATAATATATATGTATATATTGCCATCAAATATATACATCGATACAAATAACATTCCTTGCTTTAAGGATTTGTTGTGCTTATGGGAATCAAATTCAGGAAGTGAAGTGGTGTTCTGATTTTCTCTTGCTTTGCATACCTTTTGAATTAATGAATTTTATTGTGTGCCAATTAATGAAGATAATTTAGTATGTTTTATTGTGCTTAATGCAGTAAAGGCATAGCTGAACACGATTTGTTTTACAGAATAGGACAGTTCTCGGTTGTTTCTGTCAGCTGCTATCAAAGGTTGCTAGATAATTGCAGCAGGCTTGAAACTGGTCGTGACAGCTTAGAGCTGCCCTGTTCTACACACCTAAACGAGGTACGCAATGAAGCTGATGTCAAATTTTTCTAGTGGAAAATTCATGATTCAAATGAACAATGTTTTTGTGACAAACTGATTCTGGTAAACGGGATTCTGGTAAACGGGATTCTGGTAAACTGGATTCTGGTTACTTAACGAGAATAAACTTGCATTCTTGTTTATTTTGCCATTAATTTCTATTTACAGCCTCATAGAACCGATTCTTATTCATTATATTCATTATTCAATAAATTCATATCAACGAAATTTTAAAACATACGCGTTAAAATTCTCCGCGGGGCATTCTTGCGGTTGATTCGCGGGCGTGTAGGCAGGGGGTGGGCCTGCTGGCACTGCAAAATAGAAGTGATAACCAAATTGTAATAAAAAATATTTTATCTAATAAAACAGAGGCTTATCTATGTGACGAGCACTGACTTAGTTTCAACATCTTCAAATTTGTCTGCTAGCGTTTCAAGCTAAAACAATAACCTCTGAATAACTTATTTGGGGAGCTGGCATCCTTATGCAAAGAAAAATTTATACGGATTACAGATACCTGAAACAGGCCTAGCCCACGGCAATCAATTGTCAGCGTCTGCATTCTTCAAAGACTATTGCAAAATTTCAAAAAAGGACAGGGAGAGCTCGTCTGCGACAATTGCCATTCATTGAAGATCGTTGTACACTATCCCAGGTAATGGCGTGAATAAACAATTGCTTAATATTCTAAGCGATAATTAAAATCAGCAAGCAGACAAGGAGCAAAAAGCTAAGGAGCTGCGAAGTCTATGCAATCGCCTGGAACAAAGTGATATTTCGAATAACTAATAACGTTTCTATCACCTTTTCAAATTTTCCAACTTAGTAATTAATTACAGCAATAAGTTGATTTGCATAATTGATGTTATAGCCCCACATTATTGTCACTGTTTACTATCCAATAAAAACGGCCAACTCTGACTAAGAACTCTTCCTTTCCTAATCTAACCACTCCAGATTCTGCAGACAGAAACTAAGAGTCCGACCGTCAGAAAGACTCAACTGGCTAACATGTTTGAAGAATACAAGGATGATCAGTAAGTATTTAACATCAAGGAAGAAAAGATAGCGATATGAAAAAACAGAAAAAGATATTGTTGAAATGGCTTTGAATAAAACAAACAATTTAAAACATAGAGGTTTAAAGAGCTTAAATCTTGTACCACCGAAAAATTATGTATCAGCATGTTCTCATTCTTTATGATTCCTCGCATTGGCATTATTTCTCGTATGAAAATGACAAAAAGCTAATAGAAACCAAACTTGTCTTCTTGAATGATAACAATTGCCAGCTCAAAGTACTTATTCGGTCAATACTTTAGATTAGATGTGCTTCTTATCAATCTTGCTCTTAAGCATAAATGTCCTTTACGAATGTAAAGTACCTCAACAAGGTCAGACAAAGACTGGAGGTGAGCAGAGGACTTTTGACCCTCTCTCCCTTCTTTTGCCCATGTGGGCTGATTTTACAAAGAACTCTCTGACCCCTTTGCTCTGGAACGTTCCGGGAGCTATTTCGAGCAATTCTGCATCTAGCCAGTGCCCTGGAAACCAAGTAACTTTTCTTCAAGGATAGGCACCTTTCCCATTCTGACAACTCAACTTCTAATTGAGACCCCAGACATAAAGAAAACAATTCAAAGTAACACAACAAAATCTATTGTCATACCAAAATCAAATCCCTGTGCATTTTCATAACCAGCAACTGTCTCAAAGGAAGGCGGTGCACTGGGTTCTAGAAAAGAACAGAAGTCTTGAAAAAAACTTCCAATATATATCAGTGAGTAGATTTTGCAAAGCTGTACCTTGAAAATAAAAAAAACACAAATATGTATATCTAATTTCATTTCAATGTTTTGTGTTTATTCTTTTGAAAATTAGGCAAGGGAACAACGCAGTCATCACTCACGTTTCAAAAAATACTCTTTAGAGCAATAGAAAAATGCTGTTTTTGTGTTGAAAACGAGCCTAAAATTGAATGACCATTCAGCAATTTGAGCAGCGTAGGCCACAAAAATCAGTGTTACAAGAAATTTCATAAATAAACACGGGTTAAAGTACAATTAATGACGAAAAATTACGATAAAAAATCAAGTGTATTATTATTAAAAGACCTCGTTTATTTTAGTAGGAATTTCTTTATAAGCATTTAATTAATTACTACAAAAAGTATGAAATTGTTGTGGTAATTCAATAAAACGACATAGGCAACCTCAGATGCCAAAAATCATCAGATGGAGGGGTCCAATTCAAGAATTTACGGTAGCAGTGGGGGCTTATTCGAGGAGGTGGGGCTTATTGACAATTGATAGTTCTAGGGTGGGGGCTTATTCGAGGGGGCCTTTTCCGAGGGGGGCTCTTTTGAGGGTGGGGCAACTCGAGGATTTACAGTTCAGCTAAATGAAGAACTTGAATGAAAGCAAAAGCTTACCAGTATTGGCTGGGGGAGAACCTTGACCTGGAGGGTAACCCCCTTGAGGGTAGGCTCCTTGCTGTGGAGGGTACCCACCCTGCTGTGGGGGCATACCTCCCTGCTGTGGAGGATATCCACCCTGCTGTGGGGGCATACCTCCCTGCTGCGGAGGGTATCCACCCTGTTGTGGTGGCATACCTCCCTGCTCTGGAGGGTAGCCACTTTGCTTTTCGGGATATCCACCCTGCTGTGGAGGATATCCACCTTGCTGTGGGGGCATGCCTCCAGAATTGTATCCAACTGGTGCTGACATTGCTGAATTCAGAGTCTAAAAAATATAACACCATGGTAACATCGAGGAAAGGAAATAGGAAATCAAAGAGATTAAAAAACTTGGATTCAATCTAATTTCAGGATGAGAAAATGATACAACAAAGACCATGTGATGAATGGAGCTGTCTCAAAGTAAGAAAAACCTTTTAGACTTTGGACTTAAAGCTTCCCTAATATAATGGATGATAGACAAACTACTATCACCAGCATCAGGGTTGTGGTTGGACTTGGGGCTAATAATATCAAATTAAAACCTTTCAACTATGTACTACTAATTGTTGTGTAGTTTATGATGAATGGTGTGGTCTAGGATGTATCTAAATTGATAGTTTTTCATGAAAATTGAAGCATTGGTAATGAAAATATATAATGGAGGTATGCTATTGAACTGTTTGTGCACTAATGTCCCATGGCTGAGCTTCACTTCCCTGGAGTACTCTCTGGGAATTCATAGGGGTTTCAATGAAAACCCAAGATTTTTCGAGGAAAATAAAAATTGCAAGTGATTTTAACAATTTAAAATGCTAGTGGACTTTTATAGTTCACATATATATGATAAAAAAGTATCCACATTTGTATCATAACATCCCCGGTGAAAAATCTTGCAGGATCCTACAGGATCCTGTGGGATCCTAGGAGGATCCTAGATTTTTAGGATCCTGGACAAGATCCTACCACAAATCCTGCAAGATCCTGTGTGCATAGGATCTGATGCAAGATCCCACATAAGGATCCTGTAAGACAAACACAACTTAAGATCTTACACAGGATCCTACCAAAAATCTTACAGGATTTTAAAACAGGATCTTGAATGGGATCTTGCTAGGATCCAGAATGACATTGTAGGATCTTACAAGAACTAGATTAGGATCTTACACAAAACAATTCCAAGATCCTATTGAATTGTGACATGGATCCTGTCAGGATCTTGAATATAAAGATAGGATCCTGTACAAATTCAAACAGGATCCTGTTACATTCTGACCAGGATCCTTCCAGCATCTTGAATCCTAAATGTATAGGATCCTATACAAGACCTTACATAAGGATCCTGTAGGAGATAAACAGCTGAAGATCTTACACAGGATCCTACCAAAAATCTTACAGAATTCTAAAACAGGATCTTGAATAGGATCTTGCAAGGATCCATAGTGACATTGCAGGATCTTACAAGAACTAGATTAGGATCTTACACATAACGATTCCAAGATCCTATTTGATTGTGACATGGATCCTGCCAGGATCTTGAATATAACGATAGGATCCTGTAGAATCTTAAAGAGGATCCTGTTACATTCTGACCAGGATCCTACCAACATCTTGAATCCTAAGCGGTGGTGTAGTGCTATCAAAAAAACAAGGGGGGCTCTTGCACAAAAAGTTGCAAAAAACAATAGAAAAATATAAATTTGCCAAGTTTTGGCATTAACAAGGGGGGCTCAGCCCCTAGCACTACACCCCTGATCCTAAGTGTATATCAATCGATTTCGTGGACTTTTGATGCAGCAAAGCGCAAGAAAAACAAAACATATGATCATATCAATCTCTGATGTATATAAATACCACACCCTTTAGTTTAGCTTTTTCAAATACATTTCAGAATTATTTCTTCATGTCACTTTCATGTATTGGCTTAAATCGATTTACTATTTTTAGGCATACTCTTTTTAAGTTGAATTAATTCCATTTTTAAAATGGAACTCATTACTTTATGTGGCTCCTTAGATGCTAGACGTTGATTCTCTGTTGCAGTTTGCCCCCTCTTCCCAGAGGCGTCGGCATAGGGGGGTACGGTGGGGGTGTGGTATCCCAACAATTTGTTGGTCGGCACAGTAAGGATTTTTTCTGGGCACTCGCTCTGCAACCTTTTTGCAACATTTCTGTGTAGTTGAACTATCAAAGGATGGCACTAGAGTATAAACTTTGAAACAGAAAGGAATAAAAGCAGCATGCAAGAGTATTTATCTTTTTTAGAGTATTTATAGTTTTTGACCACACCCTTAAAGAATGAAACGCGCCCTTTTTTGTCGGCAAAAATCGCCTCTTCATCCCTCTAAACAATTTTCTTGGCTACACTCCTGCCTCTTCCCCAACTCTTGGGGGCCCTGGGCATGTTCAGGCTATCAATTTTCTTTTTAAGGTTCAAAAAGTTTGAAGTTTATCTAAAAGGCATAAAATTCGTCCGCCATAATTAAAGCATCAGTTTTATAACGGAGCAGCTTTCCATTTTAGCACTGCAAAAAACCGTTTTGTCATTGCACAAATTGGTTATCATTGCACCCCAAATTAGATATGCTGTCGGGTAAATATGGTTATAGAAAACGATGTTGAACTGGAAAGAATATTTTTCAAATAACTTGTTTTCGACTTATTCAAAATCAGGGACTTTCAAGGGGTGATCGTGCTGTAACCGGTGTTCTGGTAGGTACGGGGATTCATAAACTGCGATAACCATCGCTAATGAAGTGAATTGTCGCATGCCTTTTTTACCAACCAATCAGAGGACACTTGGCAGTCCAGCGGGTCACATTTTGAACGAGACAATCTGTTGGTGGAAAACAGAAGAAAGACTTGCAAAATGCGACCCGCTGTAAAACGCGACCAGAGATGCAAAATGCTGAACATCTGTCAGGCGCTTTTTCCAAAAAGTCAAGATTGAAAGCAAAAGAATCGAGAAGAATGGATCCAGCCCAGCAGGTAAATGAATATTCTTCTTTGGTACTGTGCTAGACCAGAGATTATTTTAAAAAAATTAGAGTCTGACCTAAAACTGCTGCTTGAACATGTAAAGGCCAAGAAGACTAATTTCAGGAAACACTTTAAATGAGTAGATTTTGTGTGAACCTTGAAAATTGCACTTTAAAATTTCAAATTGCTCAAAAACTGTTTCAAACCGCCAACAGCCAATTTGCTACAAAGTTTAGAAATCTTTGTATCGTTTTAAATGTTCTTAGTGGGCCAAGTTTTTACATCACAAAAGCTAACATGGGCATTTTTCATAAGAAACTAAGCAAACTACCAGTTAAAATTTTCTTAACTTTATTAATGAATTTATTATTGAAAGTTTGCTTCAATACCAAGAACTAAAAAGCTACTTTATGGGAAAAAACACAAACAAACGCAACAGAATATCAAACGTAACAAACACCTAATCAGTTGTAAGGAGTTATATTCTTTCTATTATCTATGAAAATTTAACCACAAATAGGTTTCTTATCGACTAAAAGAACTAAATTTCGAGCAGCTTCTTAAAGTTGGGGGTGATGAATACTATTTTTTAATTTTTTGGCCATTTTGGGCTCGTTCTTATGGAAAATCTGTAAAAAACTACTAAAAAAATGCTATTCAGAGAATCATTTTCTGGCGCCTCATTAGTTTCATGACGCACATCCAAGAGGCTTTCTCTTTTAAAATAAAGAGCTGGCACACATCTTTCAACCCACTGCCAAAATTGGGGCTGTTCCAAATGCCGACAAGCTAAATTCCACTCAATTATCTAGATGACACCCCATTACTAGAAATCACATTGAATTCCAATTTGTTTTGTTTCTGTCAAACAATCGGTTGCAAGGAAATGGTTGCAGTCTTCTTGAAAGGCTTGATAGCGCAGACCCAGGTCATAAATACTTATAAGCAAATGCCACCATGCTACTTTTAATATGATCGTGCATTTCATAAATAATTCAGGCGCAGTGAGAGTCAAAATTCGTATTAGGAGGTTGTCGATAGACAATATTTCCTAAAAATCTCGACAGAGTAGCAAATTTCGTACACATTTTCCAACAATGAGATGCTTTAGGGGGGCTGTAGCTTCCCTGACTTCAAGGAAAATGCTTTACACAAATGTCATAACGTTTTCAGCTTATCTCAAACAAATATTAGCTCTCTTCTATATGAAAAAAGCGTTTAGAACATCTACTTCATAAAAGACTGTAACTGAAAGTCTCAGTCCTCCAGGTTATGATAATTTTGTTGATAAAAAGGGGATTCTGACTTTTTTGTCTGTAAAAACGATTTTTTGTAGTTTACAAAAGAAAACAAACAAGTAATGTTCTGTGGAGATTTCAACCTTGGATTGTCAAGGTACGAAGATCTACCTCCTGGTCCCGGCAAGATATACAATTATAGCGATTTTAAAATATTTTTGGTTATGGCATGATTTGTCTTCAATCTACTAATTCCTTTGGCTAAAAGATTTTACGATTTTTGCAAGAAAGTCACATCTTTGGCCATAATACCAAGAGGTTGCGAAAGCAACATTTGTTGATGTTAAGAATCAGTTGATGATGTTGATAAACTGAAATCGGTTCATAAAGCGTTCTACCATACTATGATTGAAGACAAAATAGTAGATTGAAGACAAATCATGCCATAACCGAAAATATTTTAAAATCGCTATAATTGTATATCTTGACGGGACCAGGTATAGCGGTACATTATTATATTCAAAATATATAGGATTATAGTAGGGATAATACTGTAATGAAGTTCATAAATGCAAATAAAAGTTTGTCTGCCATGTAAACATGCAAAAACAAGAGTTCAGTGGCCCCCTTTGGTCCGTTGCACCATCCTTTCTTGTACTTGATGGAAAGAGGGCATGGCTATGCAAAACAGTCACCCTTCTGCGAGATATTCACTGTAAGACATTTCAAGACTTAATTTTACAATGTAAAATTAAAACCAATTTCAAATCCTTATGATTCATCTGGAACCTTCTATTTTTTGAAATTTTAAATCTTTTCTCATTCTAGGTGCTTTCAATGCAGTTTAAAGAGAGTAAAATACAGCAAAGCAGAGTGAGGTTATAAACAGAACAATTAAACAGAAATGTCTTGACAAACTAGTAAATTAAGCATAGTTGATGAAGATGTAGTATACAAAGATTGTGACTTTATCAAATGTGAATCACATGAAACTTGATTTGCTCTCTACAGATCTACTTCTTGAACTCTTATTTGGTAGAAGGTCCTACAATATCCTTTATTAGGATCCTGAACAGATCATATACAGGATCCTGATTAGATCATATACAGGATCCTGATTAGATCCTATACAGGATCCTGATAAGATCATATATAGGATCCTGAACAGATCATATACAGGATCCTGACAAGATCATATATAGGATCCTGAACAGATCATATACAGGATCCTGATTAGATCATATACAGGATCCTGATTAGATCCTATACAGGATCTTAAAAATATCCTGTCCAAGACCCGAATCATTTCCTACAGGATCTTGATGAGATCCTATTCAGGACCCTGCACATATCCTATATAGGATCCTATACAGGATCCTGCAAGATTTTTCACTAAGGTTCAAGAAATACATAGGATCCTATTAAGATCTTTTAAGGAATACTTTTATTCTTATCAGGATCCTGTAAGATCTTATTAAGATCCTATAGGATCCTATAAGATCCTATAGGATCTTGTACAGAATCTTGCACAAGATCCTGTAGGATCCTTTACCAATATCCTGTGAGGATCCTGCGAGGATCCTATACAGGATCCTGCAAGATTTTTCACCGGGGATTCCCCTTTGCCAAGGATATAACTAGTGGGATGGAGGGTGTAAGGGGTGTGTCAGCTTCCTGCAATAAATCTTCAGTTGGGCCCTAAAATCCTAAGTTGGCCAGTAAAAAATGCTAATCAGTAGGTGTACCCCTGAATGACCCTTTAACCAAACTAAACATGTAAGTGATAATTAAAAAGCTTAAAAAACTAACATGATTTAAAATATAGTTTCTAAAACCAAAAAAAAAATTAGACATGGTACATGACTAGTTATATCGTAAACAAGAAGCTAGCAAGGATGATCTCTTTGTTGGCTAGAAAAAGACCTTTCAATATGGTCTCAAGTTTGTGTGATACTTTGGAGCAAAGCGCCGGAATAGCATTACTTTGATATAAAAAGATCACCATCTGCTTTTAGGTTTTGTCGAAAACTCAAAGCTTTTTGTTTTGAAAACAATTACCAATTACCTAAAAGGTGGCTCTGTTTTCCTTCAGGTATTGTATTCCCACATTCTCTGGTCAATGGAGTTGTCAAGTGATGATGTCACAAAAAACTATTTTAGAGTTTTCCTTCAGGAGAAAAGAGTTCCAGAGATGAGGCACTTGACAGAACTGAGTGGAGGAGGAGGATCTGCACTGGCAACCCAGGCTAATGAGAAGGAAGCAAGAAGGAGTAGAGGAAGAAACAGAAACTGACATCTCTATATAAAAGTCACATATCATAGAGGCACTCATACAGAGTCTGGCAGAGGCAGAATATCACCACTGCCTTTGCAATCAATTAAAACAATAAATGCACATTGGGACCTTGGAGAAAAAAGCAATAATGAAACAAACAAATAACATATATCTTGAAGAGTTATCATAAGGGGAATTGAAAGATTGGAAAACTATTTTGTAACCATTCTCTCATTAGGCCTCTAATCTACCAGAAACTGAAACACCAAAGGAAATGTAGGCTTACAGTACTGTACTTAATTGCGTGCTGGTAAAGACAAATCTTCAATCCATCTGCTCTTTTGTTGGTTTTTTGACATCCATTGTTTCAAGGAATCATTTCTGTTTAAATTTGTTACTCATAATAGGAATATAGATACCATAAATCCTTGAATTAGCCCCCTGGGGGCATATGTATTCTTGATATTTTTGAAGGGGGGCTCATATGAGAGGGGGCTTATAAAATTATTGTAAACATTAAGAAGACATTATTAAAAGACCTTGTTTATTTTAGTAGAAATTTCTTTATGAGTATTTAATTAATTACTACCAAAAGCATGAATTTGTTGTGGTAATTCAAAGAAACGCCATAGGCAACCTCAGATGGCAAGAATCATTAAACTGAGGGAACCAATTTGCGAATTTATGGTAGCAATGGGGGCTTATTCGGGAGAAGGGTTTATTGACAATTTGTAGTTCTAGGTTTTACGGTAGGCATGGAAAATTTCCCATGAGTTTGAGGTAGGCATGGAAAATTTCCCATGAGTTTCCTGGTGTATTAAATTCAAGTATATTGCCCATTTGGTTTCACATCATTCGAGCGGCTTTTTGTGGAGACCATTCAAAACACACTAAACAATCTAATGAGATTTTTTACTAAAAACGTTTTTGGTAAGGTAAAAAGTTTGTAGCATATTGACTTGCCGCATACTGCTCTACCACATAGATGTCGGCTAGGGTGGGCAAACTCGTGTAAGAACCTTACATGAGGGGGGCAGGCCTTAAAACAAGAAAACAGATATATAAAAAACACATATATTTGGACTAAATCAAGCTCACGGAATTATAATTATGCAAACTTTTCAAAATATCATTCGAGAAAACTGTACCAAGAAGGGGCCAGTTGTTGTCAAAATTTTCATTTAGGGGGGACAGCCCCCGTGCCCCCCCTGCAGCTACGTGGCTGATACTGCTAAAAACACACATTATATGCAACATACCGCGCTGTCAAATATCAAATTTCAGTTGTGGCACAACCAAGTTCTCGTCAAAGAAGGCATGTAATGCCGCTGCGCGATAATTGATACCTGCACGTAAACGATGCCACCACGTGTAAATCGCTAGAATATAACTGACTTTCAACGTGTAAACCTGGCCTACACTGGAATTTTTGCAATATTAGGCTACTCAGATGCAGTATGTTAACACAATCCCTTGGTATGCGATTACAAAGTGATATCTCCGAAATTCAAAACCACCAACTCAGCAATTTGACAATACCTGCTTTGAAAGACTCAAGTGTATATTACACTAACTGTATTACAGTTTAGTTGATAGATACCTACCGGTTTTCCAGCAACGTTCTTGCTGTTAGACTATTAAGTCAAAAGCTAGGGTATCTTTGTGGCGTTGAACTTTGAAGACGTCACGGCGTCACGGCAGCAAGTAGGAACTACTTTTGAACGCGACCACTGTTCGAAAGATAATTGTTGTTGTTGCTCTTTCTAGTGGGGCACAGAGTAGTTTTAAACATTTTATTTAGGGGACATTTGTTTTTACTTCTATTCTAACTCTTATTTTTTATTTTATGTAAATATTTATACTGCTATAAATAGGGTTTTATATCTGTGATTGTTTAAAGTGTTATCAATTGTAATTGTTATCTTTTAGTTAGGGCCCCTTGTAAATCAACTTTGTTGAAGGGCAACCCTAGAAATAAAATATAAAAATATATGAATAGGTGAACATTAAAAAAGTTGTGACTATAAATTGTGTTCTTTCACAGAAATTTGTAAGAACAAGGTAATTGCTCGTAAAGACACGACAGTTGTGGCAGAGAACAAAGAAAAACATCGTATTACACGAAACGTTTCGCATTTCAAGCGGATTCCAGACATGAAGGAAATGGATTATAATAGTGAAGATGGGCGTGATAAAGAACCTGAACTAGTACGTGATTATAGGAGATCAAACAGAAACAGAAATTTGTAAGAAAAATTTCGCATCTTGTGGCTATATCTATTGTTTTTCAACTCACCATTTGTTTCCAAAATAAAAAACTCGACAGTCATGTCGTCAACGTCAGGACGATAAAGTCTATATCTAGGGGGCGGGGCTGCCCACTTAGTAGCACTTGGCCATGGTTCCCAATTTCAAGACAGCGGATTGCCATGGTTCCAAATCACCGGGGATTTCCACTCTTGATTTCAGCAAAGTAGAAATGTTTCAAAATAGTCATTCCAAGTTAATCTTGCTGGTTTGATGTCGAAGTCTCAAACATGTACATTTTTCGCATACACACATTTTTACAAGAACATTTGGCTCAGGAACTCCTGCTCACTTGTAGTTAATTATTAATAGGCTAAGTATTATTTCTCAGTAGAAAGGGTATTAAAGGTTCACAAATAATTCAGATGGAACGGTATTCTTAGATCTCTCGGATGAGCTAGGGTAGACATGTATCTGCAATCTGCATGTGTTGTAAAGTAGACAAGAAGGAGCATTCAACTAATTAAATAGGTGCTTGTAGATGATATTATCAATGGCCAATATTCAACATTCCCAAGAGTAGATTCTAAAAAGCCAGTAAAGATAATAAGGAAAGTATTTACGTACTCACATTTGTTAAATTGGCTGCAACTATGCTGAACGGTATTAAATTTATGATTACCTTAAAAGTTCACACTGAAACTCAGGCTAACATGATTTATATGGTACCTTTCTCAAACTGTTTTAAGTTGTATTAATTCGATGCATTTGGTCTATATCAAAAGTAATTAGGTAGACCGTGTTTTGAAAAAAGGGAGGATTGCCCCCCCATGTAACCCCCCTGGCGTGGCACTTTGGCTGTTGCTGTTGCTCAACAATACAATGTTCCAGTGAACTCAATGCAATGTTCCTGGTAGCAATCAAATGAACATGGAAGTGTGTATTGATAGCGTTATATCAGCTGTTGAAGCAGAACTAGGAGGTGAGCTGCTTTATTTCTTTTGTTGGTTACTTCAGTTCTTTCTACTAATGTGAGGTCACCAGGAAACCAGTTGCCAATTCCGTTCCAATGAAACATTTTGTCTTTCTGCTTTTTCACTAAATCACGTTTCTTTTTTAATCGAAGCATCAACATGGAATTTTTGAAAAGTTTCAGCAGGACTTGACAAGCTAATAAACTGACAGGCCAGACATTTCAAAACACCAGACAAAAAAGAAATTTTATACAAAATGACAATAATATGATGAAAACCCTTCGTCTTCGGTCAACTGGAAGCAATCAATCTTATAGTGTGGTTATTTTAAAAAAACCATGAATCATCTAATATTGTATTCCATGGTTTCCCTCACCTTAGACATTCTTTACTATATCCAACAATAAATTTATTCATTTCAAATGTAGCCTTAACAATTTTTTCCAGGTGCAGCAAGAGTGGAACTTTGTAGTAATTTGGCTGAAGGAGGAACAACCCCAAGCTTAGGTGAATTATGACTTGATAGATTGAAAGTTACTTGATAGATTGGTGAATATAAAGAGTGAAAATTATTACGTTCTATTAAATATGAGCTATGTAGAAGTGTCCTGGATCAGGGCCGTAAGTCCCGCGGGGAAGAGGGGGCAAGACCCCCCAAAAATCTGGAGCAAATTATTTTTTTCAGAAATTATTGTAATTTTCTTTTAAAGAAAGGGGTCTATGGTAACTGGGTTACAACTAAACTAAGTTTTTCTGTGTTATTGCCACAAACCTCAGCCACTATGCCATGGTGTCAAGTTCTAGTTGTCTATTTTTGATGACTGTGCTCACAGGGAAAATTGCCCCAAATATCTTACACACCAGTCAACCCTTGAATTAATCGAAAAGAATATGTAAGAAAAGAGCCATTTAGGTCACCATAAATCTTGACAAATCCAAATTACACAGATATTCATTACACGCCTCTTTTTAAAGATCCTAACTGAAAATCTAATTCTTAAGGTTCCTCATTTATGGACCTCTATTAGTCGAAATATGGAACCAAGATCTCCATAATAGCTTCTTAATTTAACTGCACATTTAGTGACGTGAAAATAGCATAGACACAAAAAAAGAAACTCAGTGTTTTGTTTTTAACTGTAGCTAGAAAAAAGGGCAAGAGACAAAGAGGGCAAGAAATAAAAATGATTTGCACAAAAGCACTACACCAATAAATAATACCTTTGCATTACATAAAGAGAGAGGCACTGCATTTCATTTCATAATGACTACACTCTTTATTATTAGAATGCTAAGAATTTTGCCCAGCCTCAATGTTATTAAGAAATTTTCTTTATTTTTTGATCCTATACTGTTTCAATAAAAAAGCTTGCTCTTGAATAGAAAGCAAAGGTTTTGAAAAAGCGAATAATGTCAGTATTGTGGTTCTCTGTAGTCAACATTGCGAAGAAAGCAACTACTGAAAATATGCACTCTGAGCCAAAGATCCCCCTTTTCCCTCCCCCAATGTCTGTCACTGGAGTTTTAGCATCTCCCCTACCTAATTTCTCCCGAGAAACAATAATCTGTGTTCTTCTGAGAAACATCAAATTGTCTATCCTGAGCTGTATAGAATTTTGTTAAACTTAAGAGATGATTTTTGGCCTCTCTAGAAGGAACGATTTTCTGTGGTATGATTTCAAAAATTTTCTTTCGCGTTAGACCCAACCATGGTGGGTCCTCCTATGTCATTAAACTTCATTCTTCACACCCTGGGTTCAATTTCATGCCACTGTCTTTGAAAATGTTATTCATCAAATTTTATGAAAGTCACGTCTTAAGGGATAACTGTAAGTACCTTCTATAGAGCTGAAAAATTCTTAGTAAATCCAATAATCTTGATTTTTGTTTTCTAAGTCGTTTTCCCCTCAAACTGTTTCAATAACATACCATAAATTGCTTGGTGGTGCCATGACCCATTGCACATGCACACTTTTTATTCATTCACTCTGCTGACCCGAAAAGCTTGTCAGTTTTCATTCAGATCTTCCAGGGCTCTTAAAGCTACATTCAATTTTTGAAACTACATTCAAAAGAAGTTATTTAAAAATTAAGCAATTTCTTTGGATTTGAGAAAGTTTGCAATAATATCTATACCAGAACTGAATGGCCTTGTTTGTTATAAGTGTTGATCTGTGATGTTGAGTACTAGTAAATTCTCTGTTTTTAATTAAATTTTTATTTACAGTTGATACACTGCAAAGCCAATTTTCCTTATCTTTCTGTTGTTTAAAGAAATGAACCATTGCAGGCTAGCTTTCTTGGCAACTTTGTTATTCTCAATTTCCAGGGTTGTTTATAAAAATCAAAGAACTAGTGAAGATCCCAGTTTTCGTCATGATAAGACCAAGAGGTGGCGATTTTCTGTATAGTGGACTTGATTTTGATGTCATGAAAAAGGAAATAACAATTTTTAAAAGTCATGGTGCTGATGGATTTGTCTTCGGGATCCTTACAAGGTTTCTTCTTTAAGCTTTTTTGGACTCTATAAGGTTTTCTCCTTATGTAGATACCTTTTTGGAGACCCGGCAGATCTTCGAAATATGACATGGGAATATTCAAAAATGTGTATTTTGTCCACAAACTTTCTATTATTTAACTCCTGTTATAATATCGTTGTGATCACCTATATGTCCTTTTGAGTTATTATTCTCCCTCTGGTTCATTTTTTCGAGTCTCAGTAAGGATGGAACTGCATATTGCAAACTATACAGAGAAAGACTGACAATGGGGAAACCAAGTTTGAGATATGCTATGCAGTAATACAGTTATTGCTACTTTTTTGACACTGCAGGTCTGTGCTGGTAAATGCATTTTAAATCTCAAAGAAACAACTTAAACAAATCTTGCTAACATGGAATAAATATCAACCATGGTATCACAGTAGAAAATGATTTCCTTTTCTGCTACCTTTTCTAATGGTAAAAAACGTTTGATAGTCTTTGTTTTTAAGAGATGGATCCATTGATGTTACAAGATGCCAACTGTTGAAAGGTAAGAGGTTTCAACTGGCTTACTCAAACCCTTTTACGCCCAAACCCAACCAAGCAAGCATTTGATCGCTTGCGCAAAACAGTCAATTTTGAGGAATAAAGGTCTCATCAATTATCCAGATGTCCAACCTAAGAATATTGAAAATCGGCAGATATTTAATAGATTCCTATTAAGAATTCGAATTTGGCCCATTAGCAAAAATTGATAACCGACTATTTTTGTAAAAAAAATTCACAAAAGCTATTGTTCTTGCAAAATTAATTTCCCCAAGACCCTGGGAAGGTGATAAACTTGAAAAGTGAAGTAAAACTTTATCTCTTTACACCCAAATTCAAGATTAATTTCTTTATTTTATCTTTGCTAAATTGAATACAATATTTTATAGAAAGTATTTCTTTTTTGAGAGCCATTTACTTATCATAAAAAACAAAATGTGTCCTAACCGCTGGAAATATGCCCCTGCTCTCATATGGAGTTACCAGAAATACTTGAAAGCTACAGGACATTTCTTGAAACTGCAACCAAAGCCACTAGTGATGTGGAAGAACAATTAGCAATTATCATGATAGTTCTGAGTCAGTCACAAAACTGGTCCTCAAACAAAGCAGACCCTATAAAAATGCATCCTCTTTTCGTTTATATTGCCATCTATCCTAGACTAAACTTTTTCCTCTCAAAATTATGCTGATATCCACAAGATGTTTTCCCGACCTTATTGTTTCATATTTTCCTTTGTTCTTGCTATTATTTTTCAGTCATTGAAATAAAATCTGAATTTTTTTTTGTAGATTTGTGTTCTCCTTCGCCTGTTACATTCCACAGGGGTAAGAGACTTGGATTTTGTAAAATATCAAATAAAATCTGCAGAACAGGATATTTCTGAGTAAATTACTATATGGTCAGTGGGGGGAAAAAATGCGCATTTTTGAGAAATTTTCGGTTTCCCCCCGATTGTTCACACATATTGGAAAAAATTATGTATAGTTACAAAGTAGCCCTGATAAGTTCCTTTAGCAACAAAAAATTGCTACCCATTCTTTAAGAGATTATTTTTTAAGAATGAAAAACTGGTGCGCATTTTTTAACCACAAAAAGGAGAAAAAATGCGCACATGTGGCAAAAAACTGCGCACCTCTCAATTATGAAAGAATGTTGATTTGATTCAATAAATTTGTTGATATTTGCTGTAAATAATTTTTTTAAATCAAGATTTCCATTTAATACAAAAAATACATATGTCAATAAGCTAAAAATACAGCTAATAAAAAATAGTTTCAACATCCGTAGAAGTCATGTTTTCTTATTATACTGAATCGTGAGTGTGCAGCTGAATCTTCTTCGAATTTGTATCCTTTGCCACTGACGATTTGCGATGGTTGACATGGGCCAAGAAACAGGTACTTCACATCAACGATTTCAACATCTTGCAGTTTAGGGAAATCCCAAAATCCATCACCTCGATAACGGAGGAAGTTCATCTCTACTGTGTCAGCATTGTCATCAGGATCCTGTGCAAACGTTTTTTGTACTTTCCCCCAATAAAACTGGTCCCCGTAATAAACGCAATAGAAAAGACCTTTCTTGTCATCATCCATTTGTTCCGTTATCAGGCTGATCTCCATAGCCAAACTTTCTTCAGTGTTTCCTCTGTTTTTTGCCGCAGATTCCTGGCCTTTTTGCTCTTTTTGTATTTCTCCGACTTCTTTTCCATTATTTGTTTCTTTCCAGTCACTCTGGGAATCATTACTATCCGTTGAATCGTCTGAGATAGCTTCGTCATTTGCGATATTTGATTCGGTTCGTCGTCGCTTCCCGGCTGAGATGTTGCATTCTGCGCCTCCTTGAACAGCGTTCTTACTTGGTCTTCCTCTTTTTCTGATACCTCCTTTCTTTGGTTCATTCTCTTCCTTTTCCTTAATTGCTTTGTAAAAATCGTCATCGGTCACAACTCTTGTCTTCAGGTCAATCTTCCTTCGCTTCTTGGTTTCCTTTTTTGACGAGTCCTTAATTTTGTGCAAAATAAGTTCTTCAAAACTTGCTGAAGTTGAGGGTGAAGAGTCTGTAGCGACAACCACAGGGTCGTTGACTAAAATCCAGGATCTTATCCACTGCTTTCCTTCTGGTGCATTTGATGGCATAGGACCAAGTTCCTTACAGGCAGGGCAATCTGGTGAAGCTTGTTCTTTAAAGGATGCTGTTTTTTTTGGAGAAAACTTCTTTGGTGTTGATGTCTTCTTGGGGGTTGACATTTTCTTTGGCGATGCTGCTTTTTTTGGACTGGTCCTTGCTTCGTGCAACAGGTTGTCAAGAGCATTTTCTGGTTTACCAGATTCAACCCAGGTCTTGTACTTTTTAAGCATGTTGGCATCCAGCCTTGAAATTGGGTATTTTGAGCTATCGACAGGAAAAATCCCAGTGGCTTCAAACCCTGCTTTTATATTTTGAGAAGATAAACCAAGATGCCAAATTTCCGACAACAGGTTGACAAACTGCGCTTTTCTTACTGGTTCTCGTGCACCCCATTGGCTGACCCAATCATTCAGTTTCTGTCCCCATAGCCTTTTTAGTGGTCCGAAACAGGCAACATCTAGTGGTTGAAGGAGATCTGTAGTATGGGGAGGCAATTTGACAATAGTAATGTCTTCGGATCTTGCCCTCTCTATAACTGGCAGAGTCACATGAGTGAGATGACCATCATAAACAAGCAGCAGTGGACGCTCTGTGACCTTTTTGGCAAATAAGTCAAACCAAGATGCAAAGAGCTCACTTGTCATCCATCCGTTCTCTGAAACTCCATACCAGGTGTCCTTCAGTGCTCGTTCTCCTCGCCATGTTGACTGTAGATTTTTCCCGGAAAAAACCACCAGTGGGTCGAGAGCACGGCCAGCAGCATTGCAAACTGCAAGTGTTGTTGTGTTTTCCCTTCCGGGACCACATGTAATTCTGAATGTGCGTTGGCCTTTTTTCCCAATCACTCTGCATCGCTGGGGGTCATTCGGGAAACCAGATTCGTCGCAATTCCATATCTGATGAGGCTTAAATGCTTTTTCCTTGACCAGTTCATCAATTTTTTCATAAAAGTCATATATTACGAAAGGGTTTCCTGTTGCTGATTTTCTGGCCACACTGATCATTTCTGCCTTCTTCAGAGAAAGGTTGTTCCTTTTCATAAAAGCAGCCAGCCAAAATCTTCCTGGTTTGCCATCTTTAAACAGAGGTACCACGATGTTATTCTTGGCTACATATTCAGTGACCAGCTCCAATATTTCACTTGTGCAGGGGCTAAAACCAAGGTTACACATAACATTGATGCATTCAGCCAAATTTTTTTCCGTCTCTTTGTCCAGCATCGGATTTCGCCCTTGGTGTGTTACGGGCACTCCAATCTTCTCTTTGCCAATTCGACGGCGGATGTTCTATGAGATTAAATATCAGGTGTTAATTTCTTTCAAAAATAATTATCAAGCAAAGATTTATTCCATTTTGTTCAATTTGATTTAGCTACTACAATCTTATCGAAATTAATTCGGCCATGTAAAAATTACTCTGGTTTTGAAGATTGATAAACTTTCGAAAATAAATTGTTCACAAAATATCTGCCTGTTGAATCAGTTGAATAAGTAACTTACCGATTCTGACAAACCATATGTCTTTGCAGCTTTCCTGATGCTTAAATCGCCCCTTGAAACTTCTAGCAAAGCGTTCTCCATATCGCTCTCTTGCCAAGATTTTGCTTTTTTTACATACGTCCTCGGCATTTTGCTTTCAATCTATGCAATGCGACTTAATTTGTAGTCTTCTAAAATAAACTGATCTTGTCTTCAGTGGAAAAGCTTTTATAGCCATCAAGAGACACGCAAGACATAAAATGGCCCATAAATAGCATCTATTGTAATTCACTTATTGCTGTTTCAGCAAGGTAAAATTTAAATATTACATCATAGTCATCTGACGACAGTTAGATCAGCTGACGGAATCAAAACTTTGACATCCCCCCGAGATAAGGTATTCCCCTCTGCCCCTCTGCACAAGATAACTTCTTGGTATATTCCATGCAAAGCGTCTTTTGATACGTTTTTAAAAGAATTATTAGAAAGGCAAATGCTCTTATGAAAAGGATCCAAAGTCTTTTTAGAAAGTTATAACTTGACCTTTTATGTAAACTTCTTGGTTTCTAGAAAATAATTTTCCCAAATCCATATGGTTGTGAAATATGGTTTCATTCTTGCATATGTCACATGTTTTAAGAACAGATACAGAGCCTTTTTCCGACGAAAATATAACTTTATGGTGCGCATTTTTTCCCCTCACTACAGAAAATTTGAGGTTAAAAAATGCGCAGGCCCCTCTAGACATGCCACTTGGGAGGAGCAACAACATCTGGTTATGGGCAATGACCTCAACACTGAAGTAGTGTAATGCTGTGATAATACCTTTGGAATGCAGTCAATGAGCTGAGAAATCGAAAAGTTTACCGTTGTCATGGAAAACTTGATATCATCATAAATTGGAGCTTCCGCTTTTCAAATACGTAATGAAAAACAAAAGTGCACTATTTTTGGATTTGGTATTCATTGAAACTATCATCAAAGGTTTGGTTTATCATGCCTTATCTCCAACTGTTGGTTACTCCTCCACAGCGCTGTAGAAATGGGTGCGCATTTTTTACTCCCAAAATCGCCATGCGCATTTTTTCCCCCCACTGACCATATTTTTGCAAAAATTTAATACTTTGCCATGCCTGCAAAAAATTAACCCATTTTTCAACAACTGAGTATTATTTTCTTTCGATGCAATGTGAATATTTTTAATTCCTTTTAGCTTTTGATATGGTCACAGACTACAAAACAGCTCTGGAAGAGGTCATTAGTATAGGATGTGAAAGATTGCTTACAAGTGGTCTAGAACCAACAGCGCTTGAGGGTCTTGACACATTGAAGTCTTTAATTGAACAGGTCAGTTACTAGAAGCTTAATAAAGTAAAAAGCAAAAACTTCATTTGACAAATAATGTTTCTAGAAATCAATTTTTTCATCAGTTTCCTTACTTGCCTTTGACAGAAGTACTTGAACAACTGAGAAAGATAGTTTTAACAGAAAGTCGTTTAGCGGGAAATGCTAATAGCACAAAACCTTACTAATATATAATAAATAATTGGTTATTCTTGTTTTTCCTTAGGCAAATGGAAGGATCCAGGTCATGCCAGGTCAGTGTGTATTAGATTATTAGTCTTTTATTATTAGATTATTAGTATTGTTAGTTTTTCCTAGTATGTGAAAAGCAACCTTTGGCTAAAACATAGAGGCAAGAGTATTTGTGTGAAAACTGGTAACTTCACAGCAAAACACAATTGACAAAACCATAGATTCTGTATCAAGACCAATATATTGAGGTAAACTTCTGCATATAAGCCTTTTCATCATCTTTTGAAAAATAATGTTTTTCAATTATTCATAAGTAGAAACCTCAGAAGCAAACTGTCCTTTTTCTAGATGTTAATTGTTTCACTCACTATCAAGCCTTTATATTCTTTTACATGATACAGTATATAAAAGCTATTTATCACAACATCTCATGTCTAGGTGGTGGTATCAACAAAAGAAATTTAGAAAGAATATTGAAAGGTTGTGGTGCACAAGAGTTTCATTGCTCTGCAAGAAAGACCCAAGACTCTGAAATGGTAGCAAGGACCAATACAATTCATATGGGGGCTGCTTGTTACCCTTCAGAATACTCTACCAAAGTAACAGACAGAAATATTGTTAAGGAACTTGTTAGTAAATGGAAAAGTTTTAAACACTGTTGATTTTAAAATATTATGCTGCTATAGATTGTTGCTGAAGATTATTTTCACACGAAATTAAATGACAACAACTGTTAGTCCTGCTAAAAGCAACATTCTAAAGTCACTTGAGACTCAAAAAAGCTGTTAACAAATACATCACACAAGGGAGATTAGTTTTACCTAGGTTTGGTTTTACCTATATACTGTTTATTTCGAAAAATTATTGTCAAGTTCAGATTGTCAAACTACTGAAAAGTATAAAAACCAAAGTTTGACCATGGCTCTAAAATGATTCCAAAATGGACCCGAGAATACAAAATATTTAAGGTTCGCATATCTCATTTTCTTTTATTTCTTTGGCAGCTTTATGAAGCTTTGACATCATTTCTGAAATGCCTAGAGAAAAAAGCAAATTTCTTAAGGAATTTAGTTTGCCATTCTAAAACGAGACAGATAGTGAGTAAACTTGGACCCAATGATGGGGGGAGGGGGGGGGTGGATGTCTTAGAGAAGGGCAAAGAAAAAAATCATTGGCAATTTGTATATATGCTGGGAATATCCAGGTTGTTTTTGGAGTCCAATGAATTTTGTTATAGTGACAGTCCATAAAAACCAAACTCAAAAGGTTGAAGCCTTTTGAAATAACCAACTTCAATTTGAAATAAAAAATTAAATGCTGTTTCTTCTATCATAAACAGGGCTTCAAGTATATATTACATGATTTACTTGCTACATTGGTACCTTGAATTTTATTGCCCCCTTCAAACTAAAGTTGCAAAAATAATTAAGGAAATGGATATGTAAAACATTATCAGAATTTTGTATGTAAATAGATAAAGAAGTGCATACTGTTTCATTATTGTTGATTTTTGCTTATATAGCACAGGCTTTCATTGGAAAGGCATGCCATCGCACGCACACACCCTGACGCACGCCTACTGCTTTCAAGGAGTGCAAAATATCACGTGCCTTCTTTTATTATGGAAGCAAAATTCATAATTATTGGTTTTGTTGGTTTTTGAGATTGAGGTAAAATATTCATCCTTCCTTGCCACTATTACTTTATGCCACTTCAAAAAGGCTTAACACCTTATCAGGATTGTGGATTAAATAAAAAATTTTGAAAAAACCATAGGACTAATCTACAGTGGAATCCCGATATTATGAAACCCGGATACAAGTATAACTAGTTTTTCGGTATGACAAAAAATGTCTGGCCCCTTGAATTCTGCCTCCGCACAACTTCCTTTGGTATAACGCATCCAGTATATATGAACAAAATATGAAATACTGCAAATATGAGACTAACCTGAACTTGTGATCATATCTAGTATATAGGAAGGTAGGGCAGTTTGAGGGTCATCTGAATAAATAAGTACAAATTCCATTCCATTCTGTAAAAAACAAACTTTGTAAAAAACAAAGACTGGAAACATTATTTTGATGCTAAAATATGAAAACTTCAAATTCTTCACCTGTTGCTGCAAAAATTAATATACAAATTTCTTTGTAGGTGAAACCTTTATCATCCTTACAGTTTCCAAGAGGTGGCTGTGGTATAACATATATATTTAGTTATTGAATAAAAGTCACACTTTGGCTCTTTGATAGCAAAAATAGCGAACCTAAAACTTTAGCATTCAAAAACCACTTTAGAAAAGTATCTAATCCATTCTAATACAAAATATTCTGCCAAAACTCACAATGAAAGATCAAACAAATATTGTGAAGAAGAAGCTATGAATCGAACATGCCTTATGTATGGATTCAATTAATAACACACCCAGATAACAATATAAACAAATTTTAGGCTACGTTCACACTGCTCTGTATTCATTTTGCTCCGTTTTTTGATGAAAACACTGTTGGTTCACACTTATTTGTTTTCAAATGAATACGACCTGAATACGGTAAGTCTTCACACTGCTCCAAAAAAACGCTGTTGGTGGCCTCATTTTTGAAAAGAAGCGTTCACAAATCCTCAACAAATTGGCATCATTATGATGAAATTAAATAAAAGCAAACAAACTTTGTTGTAACAGCTACCAGTCCATTGTGAATTCTAAATTTCAAAATTTTTTAGATTTGGTGTGCTAGATAGCTTTTATTTTGTTGCCGTTGTTAGTGTATTCAAGTGTCTCCATTTTTAGTGTTCACCTATAACAGAGCGTATTCAATACGCACCGTATTCGAAAGTATCCATTTTCATTTGCGTTTTCTAACGACTCCGTTTTCATAGCAGAGTAGTGTGAACGCAAGAGAAAAACGGATTAGTTTGACTCCACTTTCTTTTGAAAACAGAGTAGTGTGAACGGACCCTTAGAAACAAGCACAATTACTGAAAAGACAGTGACCTTGTTCTTGAGTTTTTTACAACGCCAAGATTTAATAAAAAACCTCATTCAATTGTGGAGAGTATTTTTAATTATATACTACTGAAAAGGAATTTTTCACACCATAATGTTAGCTAGCCCTTTCTGGGAGCCAGCCTACAAACATTATATAAAATTTTTCAACATTATTGTTAATTTTTCTTGGCTCAATGATTTTAAGATTTGACATATAACGCTTGATTATACAAAACAATTACAAAGGGTGGATACCAGAATGCTATGATTGATGTGCATATTTTTATCAAGAGTACAAATCTATTCAAACTACCAAAAATATCTAAACCCAACCCCACAATAAAGGCAAAAATAGGTAGGCACATGATAATTTCCTATAGTCAAGAAACCTGCATTAATTCAACCAACCAAACGCATAAATTCTCCTTAGTTGAAAGTCTTGTCCAAATATATACCTACAAATACACTTGAGTACAAACACATGAGTAATACATTTGAAAGTGTATAATGCAAAAAAGTCCTACAGAACGTACCTGATCAAACTTTGTAAATGGTTTAATTGCCATTTTTGACTCATAAGCACAAACTCTAACAAAATCATCTGTTTCTGGATAGTCAGGATGTTCTGTTGACCTACACAAAGAACAGTAACAAACATTGTTGTATTAAAATCAATAAAAATAACTTTGTCTATAAAAATTTAATATAAAACTGATATTGTCAAAATGCTCTACAAAACCCTAATCTAATGCTAGCTATAATATTAGCATCACATTCAAGCCAAGTTGCACAGGCATGCTGATCATAGCCCAAACAAAAGTTATGTGGATTAGCCAAAATATGCAAATTCACAGCCAAAAGGAAGAGAAGCTAGTTGAAACTAGTATACAATACCTTGAAAGGACAACAGCAACATTTTCATCTTTATAAACCTTAACATCAATAAAACACTTAATTAGCATGCAAACAAAAAATCAAATATCTTGATACATGAATGTCATTGCTACATTAATATGTTTCCGTTCCTTTTATTTTCCATCAATTCATAATTTGTTTATGTTGTTTACTGCTAAATACAAAAAGTGGTCACCCATAATGTAGATTTTAGAGGGAATGTATCCAGCTTAAGCAAGCAACTCTGCAGGGGTTTTCAGAAAAGTGATTTTTCATGTCATTGCGCCAGCTGTTACAGCCGTTCTGTTTATCTGCCCTGCTGCGAGACTAACATTTCATGTGAGCAGTTTTGCATGGCAAGAATACTGACCAATCACAAGTTATTTTGATGTAACTTGACAAGCTGGGTATATGCAATTCTCGATCGAGCGCGCGCGCCTAGAGCGCACCCAGAAAAAGCCTTGGAGAGCGATTTATAGAGCCCCTCAAAACGTAAAAACAATATTACCACGGAGCGAAAAAATTTTTTGGCCTTTGTTTAATAAACTTTATCAAGCATAAACAATCTTCCCAATAGACCGCAATATTATGATTTGCGTAAGATTAGCCCTTGAGAAAAAAATTCAGCAAATTCAACGTTGGGTTTTCGATACCATTTTTAATCTAATAACCCTCTAATAACCACCAAGCACACAGGCCATCAAGCGTATTCTCCGGTAGATTTATTTGATTTTCGAGCAAGCGTTAATCTTCTGTTGAAGTATTATTTTCTGCTTTTTCTTAATAATTTAAAATCACCTTTGCAAATCAGAGATCACATTTCCGTCTAAATTACCGCATTGCTTTTCAGTTTTCATTTGCTTTTGCGAGTAGTAGATGTTCTAGCGTGTCTTATAGAATGGATAGCATAAAAAGGGAAACAAAGTTAATGTTCGACTTAAAGCCATGCGTTTTCCTAAATTTCTATATTTGTATTAACATAGTGTTTGCTGCATGTTTTGTTATTTCATATTATGGTGCTTTTTGGTATCACCATTGAATTTCTTATTTAGCACTCTTCCAAAGCTTTCAATATGAATATCTCCATCTTCCAAAGCTCTTGAAGGATGCTCTCAAGGATATTTTATTTAAAGGTGCGAAATAGAGCGCCTAGAGTTTCAAAGGGCTCTTTTTTAGGAGCACCTTCATTTTACTTAGAGCAAGGCCTGTATATGGATACATTACCTTTTAAAATGGTGCCCATTTCTTTTTGAACATGTCAAAACTCACTTAGTACATAATTACCCAAAATGGTAACAATAATTTAAAATCTCTAGAAACTTTTTCAGAGGACTCTTGCAATCTAAGATCCAAGTTCACATTCTTTAAAAATATTTCTTGCTTTGAAAATGCAATTAATTGAGAAATTAACTGCTGGTGTTACCTTTGAGTTTCTTAAAAATAGGTACTCTCTGCTTTTCATTGGATACTAAAAGAAATAAATAGAAAATTGAGATATATATATAAGATACACATGGAAAAAATATCAATATTTAATGTTTTTTTATGCATGCTACACATTTTGTGAATTATAATAAAAATGAAACAAAAGGGATAAAGATAAATTGGCAGAATAATAATATCAACCATAGTTCAATAATAAAATATATGTTTATCCAAAGAATCAGTTTTTATAATGCTTTATTGTATGCTTCATGAGATGTCACTTACCGGGCACTTTGTTGTCCAACGCACAATTTCAGACTCACTAAGTGGATCTTTCAACACAACATCAATTGCCAATGCATATGAATCCCATGAACATCTATACTGGTTGTCAATCTAAGTAATTGAAAGGTAGTAATTAAGGAATATCATACACAGAAAAATATATAACAGATTTTTCATAATTAATTTCTATGGATGCTGTGTGAATAACGGACTCAATAATAAATTGATTTAGTTGAATCTTTGCATGGCATGTAAAGTAAAAAGGATAAGAGGAAATGCAAAAGAGCTTGTTTTCAGCAAAATGAAGGTGCTCCCTAAAACAAGCTCCTAATAAACCCAGGACACTTTACTTCTTTGGGAGCATCCTTGGGAGGAGAGCTAAATAAGTAATTAAATAGGGAACAAAAGGACCACCATATTTGGCTGTAAATAAGACATCTTTTGAAGTAATATTGGTTTTGATGTAGGTTTGCATCCTATACATGGTGAAATTAACTTAAATAAAGATTCACGAACAAAGCAAAACGGCGAGGAGAAACCAATGTAATTCAAAATAAAATAAGTAAAACAAATACTAATATATTGCCCTGGCACACAGGGCTTCATTTGAGTGAATGAAACAAACCAGACAAGCCCTGCGTGCCAGATGAAACATTAGTATTCATTATATTTAATTTATTTTGAATTACATTGGATTCTCCTTGTCGTTTTGTTTTGTTCCTGAATTTTATCTTTGTATTTATACTCATTGCAAGCATCACAGAATCCAGTGGACAGCCTATCTTGTGGTTTTACCTTCTTACAAATAAAATTAACTTTTCCATCATTACCTGGGCTCTGGTCTAACCATACTTAAAAAAAGTTCTCTTAACTAAAGGTGATGGGGTTGTATTTCCCTGTACAATAGTTAGATCCCTAGACTTGGGAATTTAACAGGATAAATCAAAGATGATCACCAAACCAAAGGTGACATAACTTGAGAAATCAGTTGCATTCATTGAACATAGTTTGACCACAGATGACACATTCAACATAAGACACTAGACTTTAGTTAACCAAAAACATTTAGTTAACCAAGTATGGTGAAATAAGGTACATCTTATTCTATGGAACTGGAGAAGCTAGTCTTGGAAACTTGCAAAGTAAACATTCAAAGGTGGTTGAAATCAAAGGATGATTTATAGGGTGCCTAAAGTCAAAGCCTGCTAATTATGGGAAATTCGCTGTGCTTCCTGAATTTCGCAGAAACTAATAAGCAATAGCTGGGTTATCTGAAAAATACTGTAAAGACCTTTTTGTTGAATATGACAAAGAAGAACCTTATGGATATTGAAACCTGTCATCTCTAGTTGATACTTCAAAATGGTACAAAAAACGTAGGTTTGAATAAATTTTTGTCCAAGGGTTAGTTTCTGTTATTTCATTTTTTCACTGAAACACACTTTACAAGTACGAACAAAAATGGGGGGTGCATCTTTACTATTCTTAGAATTTAAACATAGAATTAAGGGTACATCTTATACACAGCCAAATATAGTAAATCACCGGTACACTGAAATGCAATTGATACTAATACTAAACTTGGTGGTAAAGTAACTTTTCAGGATGATTTGAGAATACCTGTGTTTGATAAAAGGCCTTTGCACAGACATCATCAAATGTACCTTGAACTGCAAGAAAATTTTGATTAAAATACTTACAAAATAAACATAAAATGATAGGCAAAGTGCTTGTACAGTATCTCTAATCAAAACAAATTTTCTTAACATGTTAATTATACATTAAACAAGATGCTCACTCAGACGTGGCCATTTGAGATGGGCGTTCATGCGCACGCCTCCACACTCGTCTTGGGTTAGCGAGGTGAGCTATTTATCATCAGTTTGCACGTTAACCACCTGCCTTGGTCTTCCTTACATTTCTCGACACCTCTTGAGGTTAAACTAAAGTATTGATAGGAACTTGATCCCCAATGTTTTATCTACTCCTGTAAATTGGTTAACTACTTAACAAACGAAGCATTTTTAAATGCAAAAGGGAAGAGAATCCTTTGAATGGTTTCATTTACACCAGAATGCTATTTCGAAGGCCAATTGAAATGTCACTTGATAGGGTTGCCTTTTAAGGTATTCAAAATATTCTTAACACATGGAACATGAATCCTTTAACATGGTGAGTAACCAGAAAGGATCGACTGCTGAGCTAAGAGCTTTTCAAAAATACGACAAAGAAGCTGTTCTTGGAAGAAAAATTGAGGAGATAGATGGAAAGAAGATGGCGACGTTCCTTTGGTGCAAACTTGGCAATAAATAACTTTTAGTAATTTATGAATAGCTGTGGTTTCTTATAACTGGCTATAATGTTAATTAAAGTATACAGAAAACCCCCCACTGATAGATATAGATAGCTCTTTGAGTACCAGTACGAAACTGTCATCTCTCAAAATCTTCAAATTTCCAGTACTAGCTAAATTTATTATTTTCGCTTAATAAAATGTGTATGTTCCTGTGACAAGGAACTCAAAAATAACAAGCCTTCAAGTACTTGAACATCCAAATGACAGTTTTCGAATGAATGCTAGTTTGTACTAATGTTATACAAAATCAGACTAAGTAATTTAATTTTGGTTCTGTTCAAACCTTGTTAGTGAGAATGTTGTTGATTTGCGACTATATGAAACTATCGTTTTATTTCTGTCGGAGAATCGCAATCTTGTCTTCTAAACTTTTATTCATCTACTTTTATTGATGATTTTTAAGAGACTAAAAATTGCCCGCCTGACTTTACCAAGAAGAGTGATGTACCGTGCTAAAATGCCCACGGTCAGGTCTGCTTACTTTTGTACTCATATTTTCCATCAGAATCTGCTTTTCGTCTCCATACATGATACATTTTTGACTTCATAAACAGTTTCCAAGAATCCTTGTTACTAGAAGCCATTTCACTTGAATCATCATTAAAACTTGACGATGAAAGCAGGGCAGCAATCCTGAAAGAAAGATTTCTGTTAGATTCCAAAACAGAGGACCAACTGCTTTTAATCTGGTAAGTAATTCCGAAAACACTGGCACCAAAGCAAGTTACTTTTGTACCCTAACTGAGGGCTCTTTGCCCAGGAGAAGTATTTAAGATTATCATAAAAAAGATGGCGAGATTTGGAGCAAAAAAACAAATGCACCAATTCAGACAGAAATTGTGTTGTGGCTGGAAACATTGAAAATGGAACTTGACATGTAAATATAATGAACTTGAAGTGCCTTGCTATTACAAAAAGGCCAATACACAGAACTTGTACTGTAAAACTTATCATCAATGATAAAATATAAAAATTTTGGGTTTTCATGCTTTAACTTTGACTTGGAAAAGGAGTTCAATGAAGATACTCAGCAAAAGGGTACATGTATCCTTAAAAAGGGGAGGGACAGCAAATGACAGATAACGGCCAATTTTGACAAAATCTTAGGTGCACCAACTGACTCGCACCTTGGGTTTGGCAGGATAACTTTGTTTTTTAAAAAATGGAAGAACAAAATTGAAAATGACTGAAAAAGCTAATTCAATTCCTTCTACCACGCTCTACCAGTCCCAACAACAATGAAGCCCTGGGAAGTTGACAACCCTTTGTCTTTCTAAAGGGGTGCCTCTTTTCCAACATGCAGTGCATGGCAATTGCAGACCTTAGATGCAGACATATCACTCCAGACTGGAAACTGTGTTTCTTGCGCAGAAGTTTTTGAAAATTTGAAATTGCGTGCAAGAAATCATACAGTCCTAGTTATTTTTAGAGTTAATAATGTTAAATGTTGTTATCTAAGGTTTTATCATGGCTGATATGCAAAAGCAAGCAGGTGTTGTGTGCCGATGGGCAACAAAGTTTCCATCTATTATGCACTGGAAAAGTTGACAGCACTGGCACATTCTCCATTTTTAGATGATATTTTGGCTAATTGCAGTTGTTGCAGTTTGGCTAATTGCCGAAGATCTTTGGGCCTAAGTACATAGAGGGTGCATTCCATGTAGTTTACGCCGGAGATCTCTGGCGTGGACTTAGCTTTTTCCTCGGCGTAGCAGCGTGAAATTTGCTATTTGCGAGCCTTGGCGCATTGGCTTACGTAATAAATTTTCGTGATCGGTACTTGTACGGTACTTGTACAGAATACCTGGACAGCCTGATTATATTGATATGGACAGTAAAAGCAATGCAAACTATAGATTAATCGAAAGGTTGTATGTTTTACACTTGGCGTAGCAACTAGAATAGGTTGAAATTTCTCTGGCGTGGGTCTAACATGGAATGCACCCTGGAAGTACATGGAATGCACATTGGCATTTGGGAAACTTGGGACAGCACTTCAGGACCATAGTAAATAGAATTTGCAATCGCAGTTCTATGACTGCACAAAAAATTCCTAAATTCTATGAATTCCTAGATTCTGGATATTTTATTCTGGAAATATATATCAAAACTGAGCATTTCATTTTCATCAGGTCGCGGTGAATATTTGTCAGACCTTGTAATTTTGTAATGAGATGGTAATTAAAATATATTAACCTTTGCATTTCAGTTTCTTTTATCGTTTCTTTTATCGTTTGACTTTTCCACTCAGAACCCCACTGATCAAGCCCGCAACTACATAGGTCTGGATCCGGATCAGTCTCCACATTCGGCAAGTTTTGGGCACAGAAAGGCTCCCATTTTGAAACAACTGAGTGTCCATTGAAATCAAATTCATGCAGATTCCTCTGAGGAAAATCAAACAAAGGAACAGTAAATTTCGCAAATGGGATTTTTCTATCTTTTGCTGCCTGGCCTATTTTCTTCAATATATCTGGACAAGAATTACGTAAGTCCGCCAAATCTTTTCCAGTTGTTTTGTAAGTAACATGGCGGATCTCGTGCCCCAAAACACGCACTGCTACAGACATCCCTTTAACATTGAATCTTGGTGGCATATTTTCTTTAGGCTTCATCCTTTTTAGCGGAACTTTAAGTGAAGCTTTTGTGGCCGCAGCTAACCGAAGGAAGTTTGGGTAACTTTCCGCCCAAACAGAATTGTCATCGTCCAAGAGCACCATGCTGGTTGCCCGTTCCGTTGTATCTCGTGTAGCGTCTTGTCCCAATACTTGAAATCACTAGAGGAAAATGTATATACAAATGAATGCGAACTGGTAATTGTCTAAATCTTCTTAGTTTTTCAAATCCATGGATTCCTGGAACGTTCCAAGAAAACAAGAAAAGAACAACACCACGCTCTCAATTTTACGCGCAAACAACAATTGCAAAAATGAACTTTGGACCTTTAACCGCTCACGTGAAAGGCTGGAGTCGAGGCTGAGACTCGTTCGTAGACAATGATTGTTCGCAGTCGCAGACATCTTCGATGATGGACGGAATAAAGTTTGACACAGTTGTTCTATGGCTGTGAGAGGATGCCTATTGTACGCTCACTGCAGAAATTAACACAGCTATAGTATAAAAGTAAAACTGGCCCCACACGTCATCCTCTTTAGAATTTATTTTTGCAGCGAAATCCAATGCAACTTTAAAAAATAACTACCTTCTTCGCTGCACCGTAATTAAGATAATTCCCAAAAACACAGGCCTTTCGAGCGTTGGGGCAGAAACACTGAATTTTCAGAATTTCATGTTAGAGTGACCTATAAATTCTTGTACAAAATATCCCAATTTGGATTCGAAGACTCGAAGAAACAACCAGCAATTGACGAAACAACAGTTTAATACTGCTATCAGGAAGAAATTCTCCAGTTTAAGAGTAACAAACCATTGGAATGGTCTCCCGGATTATATCATTGATTTTACCAGATCTATAGATAAACTACTGACATCCCCATCACTCCAATAATTGATTGGTAAAGAACAATAACTTAATTGTGTTAATTTTTAGGCCAGGGCCTGGTGTTTTAACGAGTATTAGGCCGTGTTCCAAACCCCTAACTTGAAATAGAAAGATCTAGAACACAGGCCATGCTGAACTGATAGGGGCAGTTGCCCCAAACCTTTTGGTCACTGACACCACTAGTTGCTTACAATAAGCCTTCAAGCTACAAATTTTTGTGATAAGGGGAGGGGGCAAATTTGTCAGCAAAAAGAATTTTAAAACTTTCATATTCTCATCCTTAAATAAATTTGAATCAAATAACCAATAGAAATTAACTATTTGAGAATGTAGACTTCAATGCTCGTATTTAACTGTTAAGTCCATCGAAATGTGATTAGGAAATGGCTGAAACTATGGAGAACAAAGTCTTTTGCAAAAAAGCTCTGGACAGTCAAAAACTAAAAGCACAGGAAAAGAATTAAAAAGGAAAAACAATACATGCATACTCTGAGTGAGAAGTATGATTATATGTTTGAAAATAGCTACAGTTACGATTGTTAATTGAAGTCCTTGACTATATTTTACACAATATTCCAGGGACGGTGTAAAACTTGCTGTAACTTATGCATAAGTAAAAACTTTATTCTCAGTCTAAGATCAAAGTTCTTAATTGCAGAGAATGGAAATCGTATGACTCAAAGGCGAAGAAGCAACATTTGCTATTGCTTTTGCTTCATTATTGCAAAGTGATGGATATCAAAGGGAACAAAACGCGCTTCCATAACAGAACTCAGTATTTTATTCACTGACAATTCACACTGCCGACAGAAAACTCGTTGTCGTATGAAACTTTTCGTGCACAACTTGTTTAAAAAATATTTGGTCATTATCAAAAAAATTTCCTTCCGGCAAAGTACAATCTATCTATATTTTTCAAGAAAAACGCAATCAAGGCAAACTTTTCATACATTTGGGACGGAATAAAACTATTATTAAGGCACTGTCCGCAGGCATCATTCTATCACAGACAGCAGGGAATGAAGTTTTGGGCAAAATGATGCCCTTTCTCGACACGACCAGTTTCAAACTTCATTGGCATTCATATCAACCTTGCCTAAGATTTTAAAGAAGTTCCAAGCCAAGGCTATAGTAGTTTACGGCAGGTCTTTTCAAAGATTCTGTCAATCCTTGAATGCTCATAGCACTCAAGAATCGTATATCGATCTACACGTTTGATGAGATACTATCAAGATAAGACTGAAAGAGATACTTTCTTTCTAACCTCCACCTGTTCGATTCCAAAATAAACATTTTATTCGCAGTAATGAGTAAATGAATAACACTTGTTACATGGTGCGTGAATTTGAATGACGATACTAATAAATATTCTAACTGTATAATCTTACTTTTCTATAAATTACTTTCTGACCTTATTTTCTCTACAATATCTGCAATACATTTAAGCATATGTACAGACTTTTTTCCGGTATCATTGTCTTTTTCATCAACGCTGGGTGATCTTCGAAGATAAATTTCATATATTTTCTTTACCTCGGCTAAGTCAAGGTTCTCAAAACTTTTTAACTTTGATCCTTTAGCTGAGAAAAGCAAAACAAGGTCTTTTAGAATGTCTCGTAACTGTGTGTTCAAAAGGAATAAAGTTCTATATAGAGTTTCTAAAGAAAAGTTGAAACCAGGTAGAAAGATTTTGCTATTGATTTTTTCTGAGGTTGATGAAATTCCTTTCTTTCCTTCTATTAGCTTCTCCTCCGCATGGCCAACATATGCACACTCGCAATTCTCTCCCATTTCTTCACTCTCCAAGATACAGGCACCTTTTCTGAGGACATCAATATTTGATTTCTTGAGAACTATAGTCAATGCTGCTTTGAGTCTTTTAACATTCGTGAAACTACTAGAAGCCTTGCTTTCTAACTGCGAATGCAATGCAATGTGCTCTGTTAAAGTTGAAAGGTACTCCAAGAGGCCTTGTTCATCTGTAAGGTGACAGTAGGCCTTTTCATAATGTAAATCAGCTAGTGATTTTAACTTTTTGGCCGAAGCGGTTTGGTCCTAGAAGAGAAAAAACGTTTCATGTAGTGAAATTTCAAATATAATAGGCTTGAATCTCTTATTACTTTCTAAAATGTAGTCGTACTAGTAAGATAATTCTCTCATTAACCATACTTAGATTATATTTATGCGTAACAACAGAAAGGAAAATACGGAGCGATACAGAAATTCCATTTTCACGTTGTAAAGAGGGGGCGACGAAAACAAAGTTACAAATAAGGAAAAACAAAATCCTTAATTCATTATTTTGTTTATTTGAAAGTAACTGAAATCATTACAAAACATTCAATATTTCCTGGACATAGCAAGCTTTGAAATGAATGAGTAAAACAGTTAGGACAAGGAGGTCACTTTATTTACTGACAAAGATTTTCGGTATTAATGCAGCTAGAAGGAAGCATATCTATAAATAAATAAATTCAGACAAATTCTTTGAGACAATCCAAGACAAATTTTTTCGTTTACCAAACTGCCCCTCGCTGCCAGTTGAATGTTGATACCTTTGTTAAAAAGATACACAGGTCCAAACCTTTTGATGTATAGAGGGGATGCATTTCGCAATTGATGTGCCCAGTAAGTCTTAAAGAGCATTCATCTCAAAAGCTGTGTCTACGATCAAAAATTGCAACGAGATCTTTAGCTCCAAGACATACCTTGTTACGAAGAGCATGGTGGTACAATGATGCAATGCGGTGGTGAATGGTGCCTATTCTCAATCTAATGCTTTTAGTTCTTGGAGATTTTGCATCGCATTCCTCGTCTTGACAATAGTGCAACGACTTCATCATAAGATTCTGGACTTCTTTAGAAACCTGTCAAAGTGTAAAGAAGATATTGATAGTCAATTCGTTAGAAAAAAAGTTGTCTGGCGTGCTGGTTATTATTAAACTGGCAGAAAAATGCATATTTGTTTGGGAATCACAAGGTTGGTTATAGACTGTCAGTGTGCAAAAAGATTCGAAGTCAAAGAATTGAAGGAAAATATTGAAAACCAACAATCCACCAATAACAGGTCCTTGGTCCTCTTTTTGAATAAAAACTATGCGTCTGGTTACTTAAGCTGAAGAATATTTTGAAGCAAATTCGGGAACTTTAGTCTGCAAGATAATTTGAAAAAAATCTTAGAACTTGATCTGTTTCTTGAAGCTAAGTAATATTTTCGATGCTGAATAATTTGTTCAAGGCTGATTGTAATTTTTCGCTGTGTCCTTTGAGCCTGGATGTGGATGAAAACTGCTCTGCCGAAAGTCAATGAAACAGCTTAATATAAAACATTCTCCTTTGAGTGTCTCTATCTTCACAAATTGTCCATTGAACGTAAATACAATTCGATTCATGACTTCTGCTTCATATTAGCAACCATAGCAAACCAAATAGCCAGGCTTTGTTTTCGACCAACCTGAATGTTTTCTGTATCCACTGACTTTAGATCTTTGCAAGAGACTCAGTAAGGGCAGCCAAGTTTCCATCTGCACTTTTACGTTTTCTGACGAATTAAAGAAGCAATCTAAAAACTGAGATGCAAGGGATTGAGTATCGAAGACGCTTACCTCTTCAAATGACACCGTATTCAATGGAGCGTAGTCTTGTAGTAAACAGGCCATTGCGAAATATGCTCCAGACAAATCAAATGATATTTGATTCCAGATATCTTGGCTTTTATCTTTACTTCCCAAGCATGAGAGCGCTTTTTGGTAGAACTCGAAGGCCTAGAGACAATGTAAAGAGTATCATTAAAATGTAAACAGTGAAATGATTAGAATCTATTTTAAGTGCTTAGAAGAGAGAACAGCTAGCCACTGGTAGACAGAAGTTATAAGCCTGAGCTCAAATTGAATCAATAAATTCGTGCTTATGCTTAACTACAAAAATTCTTCGCTGCGCTACATTAAACATACTTTAGAATATTCTACACATACCCCTTGGCCTGAGAAAAAACATCAATAAGGGAAAATTCCAGAGAATTTATATTGCTTAGTGAGACCCTTCTGGGAAATTTTGGTGACAAACTCCTCAACAAACATCTTACATTTTCAACGCTAAAGGGTTATTATTTCTGTTACCTTCAATGAAAAAAATGAGTTTTTCTTCAAGTGTTTCTAGAATTTTCTTTGCTCAAGCAGTTTAAAGTCGGCAAAATCAGGATGCTTAATCTGGAACAGTGGCTTATCTTCCACTTTCAGAATCAAGCATTCAACCAGGTTGCAAAAATGCATTAATTACCTTATTGAAGTACAGCCTTTCTTGGTGCGTGAATTCACCTCGCTCCTCCTCTTCATTTTGCCTTGTACTGTTGCCATAGGCAGTGGCACAGAGACGCATCAACCTTGCTCTATTCGAATGTAACAGCGCTACATTTGACCTTTTTTGGAGTAAAAAAAAAATTTTAAAAGTAATTTTTAGAAGAACTATAAAATGGGAAACAACATGAAATCTACAAATATACAGAATAAGATTTTATAAGAAACCAATGCCGCGCCATTTTGTAAAAGAATGCGTCTTCAATACAATTATATGATCTTTAAGGAAAATTTTCAAGATGTTAGTCTACCAAGCAAAAAAGGGGTAAAGGAAAGACGTCAAAAGCAGGGGTTCGAGAGGCACATAGCCCAACCTTTACCCTACTTAGAGATGCCACTTTAGCTTGCCCGGTTTCCCAGTTTGTATGTATAGCCCAGTTCGATATTTCCCTTCAACATTCCTTCTCTGCACCCTTTTACCAACTTTTAAATGCACAGGCTGGGGGTACAAACCATCAACCCAAAAAAGTAGTTTACATCAAAAAAAAATTCAAATTATCTCTATTTTTAAACTTTTTTCATATTCGAGACCAAAAAATAATTCAGATTTTCATGAACATAAAAAGTAATTGTAAAATTGATTTTTGATCAAATACAAGATCCAAAAAGGTAACCTGAGCATCCCTATTCTGAAATATATGAAGATCCTCCTGGATTTCCAAACGAGTGACTTAGATATCACTCAGTTGACCTCCACGTCGACTAGAGAACGTACCATTTGCTATAAGACGACCTGTTTGTAATAAGCAGAGTCTTCCTTTCAAAAGAAGTACTAATATAAATAATCGTAGACTTACTTGTCAGATACAACCAAAAATGCTTCAATTCCAGTTTCAAAATACTGGTAACTCTTTTTCCAAAGGCTCTGCTCTTCGGCTGTTGGATCCCCGTGGCTTTTTAATAAAGAAGAAGCAACGTTCATGTAGAAGACTCCGAGTTCATTCCGCACATTGCCAAGCCTGCCAGTCACTGCAGAAACCTTGTAATGTAAATAATAACACAGAGTTTCAGGCAAACATATCGAAGTTATCAACCAGACAGGAAAATTCTAATTCCCCAAATAGTCGGTGAAGAATTGTAGGTATATGCTAAAATCTCATTTTGCTGAGGGCCCGGATTCGGGCTCGTAACTTTTCTGAGGCTTTAGAAATCCAGCGCCCCTGGATTAAGGATCACCTCTTGGACCAGCACGGCAGCGATTTCACAAATCCGGGAACTTAAAGTTTAGATCACTATAACGCGATCAGACGCAAGGTTTCATATCACTATAACTTTTGCAAAGCCTTAGGAAGAGGCAAGGAGCTGGTTACACCTAATCCCTTACTTTTTCTCCAGCAATGGTCTATTATCTTTATAACAGTGTATTAAATGGAAAATACCCCATCCTCTTTAGCTTTTGGTCTTGATTTGATAAATACAGATATCATTTTGGAATCTTTCAAAGTATTAATCACTTATTTGGGTAATTAAAACGTTCACTAACGATTCTTATTTCAAATAATCGAAATGCATTTCATTGTAGTGAAAGCGTAAAACAAATTAACTGAAATACTTTCTGCTCAAAATTAAAATGGAATTGTGACATCTTGTACCCAATACTTTCTAATTATTCAAAAACTTTGCTGACAGTCGAAAAAATTATAGATATTCAGAACATGGCAGTCCAATAACAACACTGAATATGCTTGTTAATGGTGCTAAAAGCTTCATTCAGGTATACAACTGTGCCTTGAAGGCTTAACATTGCCCTTTATAAAAAAAGCTTCAAATATCAAATCTGAAATCTTGCAGCATATAGCTATCAAAATAAGGCGAGGGCACTATTACGATTCGTTTAGTTGGTTAAATGCAGGCTGATCTAAGATAGAGCGCTTATTTTGGTGAAATTTTCGAAAAACCAACCTGCTCCACGTTTTCAAGATCCGTTTCGTCCGAAGGACTAACTGCAACACTCTCTTCGTACCAAGAAACAGCTTTGATGAGTAGCTCTTCCGATGACAACATGAATATTTCGTCGATGTTGCTACCTCTCGCAAGCTCATTCTCAGGCATGCAAGCAGCATCATACGAATCACAAAGCCTGATAAACTCAGTATCATCCTCGCTCAATGAGAAGTAGTCTTCTCTGGATACTGTTTTCGTTCGTGCAAAAACAAGACATACGTCACCTAGCAACATGTTCACTTTGGCATGTTTGCGTAATACTGTGTCTGGTTGCGGAGATGGGATCTTTCCTGTAACAAACACGCATATCAAAGCGATCAAATATTTTCAACGTTTCGTAAATGGCACAGCAATGAAAATAGAAAGTAGCGAAATAAAGACCCCTACTTAAAGCAGGCACTCTGCTCAGTTTTTGGTAGCTGGTTTTCTGCTATGGCGGCTGGGAGGCCATCCCAAAAAATTACGCAACACGACAGTTTATCGGTCTGTCATTAAGATCTCAATGCCGTATAGGCAGAGCTGTATACGCTTTGGTGTATAGAACTGGACGGTTTTAGTTGTTACTCCGAGTTTCACGCTTAATGCAATCATCAGGGAACGTTGTAAAATTACTATGTAAGATGTATTGAATAATTTTAAACTTTAATTGAAAAATCTTCTTCGTGTTGGCCTTTGTTAGCCTTTCGTGTCAGTACATTGTTACTCAAGCATGACAGGCAACGGCTACTACCTTAGGAGACTTACCCACAACATACTTGGTTACTCTCCTCCACAGAGGCCATTGGGGAGGGAGAATTGGTGAAGCTGCGGAGAATTGGAGGGGGCGGAGGAGAAGATGAAAGGAAAAATAGCGTCTGCCGCTTTTTTTTATCCTCCATCTCGCTCGCAGTTCCTCCACTTTTTCCTTTCTTCTGCAGTTCCTTTTATCCTATCTTTTTTCCCTCCCAATCTCCCGCCCCAATAGCCTCTGCGGAGGAGAGAAATACTTGGCATACCATGCGGAATATCATAGCAGAAAAGATCTAGGGTTGTCAGTCCAACGAAAGGGACCTACGATTTGCTAACATTGGCATTGAGAAATAGAAAAAAAGTACGGCGAAACAGCACAAACAGAAACAGGAGTTAAACCTACCTATGGCCTGAAGAGCGATCTTGAGAAATCGCAGTGCCCTTCCATATTTCTCTTTGGATATGCTCAGCTCAGCAAGTGAAGAATATGCATTAACTGCAGCGATATTGAGATTCCGTATTATCCGGCCATTTTCCGGGTTTTGCATATCGTGCAAACCATAGTTACTGTATATGCGATCTTCTACTGTATGACCAGTTTGCGTGTCTCTGAGCGAAATAATTGACCCACTTTGCTCGTTGCTTGCAGACGAAGAGGAAGTGGCGCCTTCGAAGTCCCCATACGTCAGACGTTTTCCAGCTCTGCTTGAGACAACGTTATAAGACTGAAGTGCCTGTGAAACAAAGGATGTCATTTTAAACAACTTAATATAACCCTATTCAAATGTTATTGTTTTATTTTACCTTAGCTTGAGTGGGTTAAAGAGAATAAAAACATACCCATTTTATCCAAAGAACGGAAAAAAAATAAATGTGGCCCCTGAGTTAGGTAGCGCGCCGCAAAAGGGCTTAAAAATAAGCATCTGTCTTACACAATGAAGTAAGTAAGGCGTTTGGCCTACAAAATTTGAAGATAACGTGGAAAGACGGATTGCATACTAGAGGACTCTTCATCTGACAATGTCAGAGAGGTGTCGTATAATGGCCAAACGTAAGCGGAAATTCATTTCCAGATGCGAATTGAAAGTAAAGTGACAGGGAAAATGGTGTCACCAACCGCTAACTCCTTACTAGCTGAAGACTCAAAAAGATAAACTCTTTCTGTCTACACAAATCGGGATCCTCTGCTTTGATGAAGGCAAATTCCAAGGCACTTCAATTGAAATACGACCTTGCCTGTCCAGTGATTTTGAAATTGTCGTCACTATACGTTTTGGCGCACTCTAGATTCTGTTGAAAATGCCAAGAGAAGATTGAATCGCGTTTTTTTATCTTTACAAATACGCTCTGAATTTTCACATTTTGTAACCGTTTTTGCGTGGTTTGGGTCTACGCCGGGCAATGGTTGTATCCATGACGTGATAGGGAATTCTTTCAACAACGATCTACTGAGGCAAATCATCAAAGAGCAGCATTGCACTCTAAGCTTGCCGGGTCTCAAAATAGGTAGCTATTTCAGATTATTACAAAATTGCTAAAATCTTACGACTTCAAAATTAGATTATCTGCAAAAATAAAAGTTCTGAATAAATAAGCTTGATTGTTACCTTGACAATGAACTTGATTGTCATTCTGCATTTCTCCTCCTTAGTGGCATTTAACCACGCGTTAGCCTACAAAACAAGGTGTAGTTTTTTATCAGTCTCAAAAATCGAGTTATTTACTGCAGCTACAAACGATTCCAGAAAATATCTGGCCAACTTTTTCATAACCATTCCAAATTTTTCAAGTACACAATATATAAAAAGTTCGTGTAAAGGAGCATACTGGCATCTGGAAGGGGTAGGGCACTTGGTCGAAAGCGGTCCTGGAGAGAAGGGCGCAAATAACAAATACCTTTGAAGATAGGCCTCAGATTGGACCCGCTCTTGGTTGGAAAGGACTAAAATTTTCATATCACAGCTAGCAAGTAGATAAAAATATATTGTTTGCAGCAATCAAGCCTGACTTTGAATTGGTACGTATTCATTTTAATAGCAGAGATATCAACATTGAACATGGGGGCTTTGGTGTAAAACCTGTATTGCAGATTTAATTTGTACCTTACGAATGGGTAATAAAGGTTGACATAACGTACTATTAAAGGCTACCTGGTAATTTTGTTTCCTAGCATCAACAAGCACACGATAGCCTTCATTAACCTTGGAGAAAGTGAAAAAAAGAATTGTTTGTCCAGCAGTCAAAAAACGTTAAGCAGCTGCAAAAATGTCATGAATGAGTTGGAGAAGATTAAATTTATGGATGACAGAAAATTCACAACACTAAGGAACTGAGTAAACGAATGACCATGTAAGTTGACTGTAGCTCTAGCAATACGATATAATGACTAAGCAACAATAACACAAAACGCACTTGCATACACATTGCAAAAATATTCATGGTCATAGCTTGTAAAAGCATACAGTAACAGTTTATGACTAAAATCTGCTTTGGTATTGATCGTCCTTTACCATTTTGTATTCTATTGAAGCTTTATGTTAAACTGTTATTTATAGTTATGGCAAATCAAGGAATAACTGATAAATACTTTTAACAATGTGTTGGGATAACTATAAAATGACTTTATACTTTGAAAATGAACCAAATCTTGGAATAAAGTAGCTTTAGACGGACTTTTTCGCACATACAGCACATACAATAAATTTTATGTGAATCAAAATTAGATTATAGATGCCGTATATACCGTAAGAACCTCATGTAGAACATTGACTCTCCATTTTGAATATGTAAATAAAAAACTTCATACTTCAATAAAGACCCAAGTATATATCACTTTTGAATTGCAGTCTTTGTTGCTGGCATACACAGTTCACACGAAAATTCTCTGTTTTTGAGGTTTGTCACATTGAAAAGTATTCTCCGAACATATACAGTAGCTGCAATTTAATAATCTTTTAATTAAGTTCAGACATACTCTTCTAGTGATAAGGTAGCCTTTAAAAAGACTTTAAACTTGATGACACATGAACAAAAGGCTGAAATCTCACCTTTTCATCGTCAGAAGCCCGCGTGAAACCTTCAGCTTCGTTTGCAAAGTTGTCATCAAAACCCTCTTCCTCGAAGCTTGGTTTTCCATCATTAGAATCGTCATCAGCAGAAAAGAAATCTTGCATGTACAATTGAGCAAGTAAGTAGTGCGCAGCCAATGTCAGCTGGAAATGAAAACAGAAACATCGAGATTTACATCTTCAAGTGTTATTAGCGAATGTTATACAAAAACAAAGTTGCTGTTCCGACAAGACTATATCAAGGTTGGAAAATTATTAGCGCTGATATTTAGGACGATATGTTTTTATAGCTAAAACCTGAATTAAAGAAAACAAATATTCTGCAGTTTATGTGGTTTTTATTGTTTTCCAAAATCAATTATTATCATTATGAATGATAATTATGAGCAGTGATCAAGTTGAAGTCGTTTCGAACAAAGTGAAAGAGCCAATGTATTTTAATTTCATGGATTAAAAGAGTAAAGAGATATACAGATCATTAGTATAATATAAAGCCCTGACATTAGCCTAAGCCTGTAATATAAATTTTAAATTATCTCGATTTCTCTGTTTTTGAAAATTTGGCTTGACTATTCTAACTTTTCATCGAAATATTTTACGCCCAGTGTCATAGAGGTTTCAATCAGGAGCAACTTACTTCGGATTGATTTGAATTCTCCAGTAGCAAAATGCAATTTTGTAGCAAGCATGAGGCAGCAACGGCATCCCTGAGGTATGCAAAAAAAGGCATTAATTCTGGAATAATATCTTTCATTAAAAACTCCTGCCTCCTGGATTTTTCAGCATATACATTTCTTGTCCTGGCAACAAGATAACCTGTCCTGACACCCTCATATGCACTCCAATAACCTTGAAATAGCTAATTCACTATTTGAAAATTGCTTTGAATAAAGCAAACAATTAGATTCGTACTTGAGCATTTCGTCTGACACCCTTTTGTCTGATATACTCCTAGGGTTAGGGTTATAGAGTGTCAGACGAAAAGCTAAAGTATGATTCCAAATGTTTGTTTATCTCAAAGGCATTTCTAAATTTTGTACCGCAAAAAGATTATTTAAAGATTATCTCAGAACCCTGCTTTTGACTTGCTGATGAAAATAAAAGTTGGCCTGTTTTAACCAACAAACACGACTGAGATGACTAAAATGAAGACAATATTCGCCTCTTTGGAAGCCATAGCTTCAGCAAAAGCATTACTTAGAAAAAGCACGACTAAATGTTCTTTTGCGAGGGTAATGAAAAAATTCAACACCTAGAATCTATAAAAATTATGTCATTCGAATCTTTAATGCAATGCAATGGCATGTAATGTGATGTCAGTTAAGGTTTGGTCGTGTAGTGTCGCACTATGTCATGTCGTTTAATGTCATGTCGTTTCACATCTTGTTATGTCGTGTCGAGACGTATCGTGTCATGACATGTCGTGTCAAGCCCTGCCATATCATTCAATATGAGCGTATTGTTGCTACTAAAATAACCTACAGCTTAGTAAGACAAATAAGTTGTGAACTCACTTCTTGCGGTTGATTCCACTGGCGATCATGTTATTTGCAATCCTAAAACACATGAGAAACCAGGTAACAAAAAGACTCACTTTATTCGTCTGTAAACTCTTTGCTACGAATGGATACTGCTAAAAATATAATGCCTATAAAAGCTCTTTATTCATTGCACTAGATTTTCTGATTTCAAAAAAATGCGCCAGAAAAAAATTATCATATTGAAACTCTTGGCTGAAGACAGAGTCAAATTGCCAAAATAACCACGCGGAGCTACTCACCGAAACAAAAGACTTGCGACTGGCAACGTGAATGGGTTCAGCGAACTATCATCGGCTTCCTAGATATGTATAAATTAAAACTTCATATTGGCATTTTGCAAATCACAAATCACGACAAAGGGATTTTTCACATAGTCTTGTTATCGAAAGCTAAAAAATGTCTCATTCTAATGAAAACTTCAAATTTCCAAAAAACAATTTTAAAAAATTTGAGATTGACAAATTTATAATGACAATTTTCCAAAGAAAATGAGCATTTGCATTTTCGTAAGTACCAACCTCATTGCAAATTGACGTCAGATCATATAATTTGACGATGTCACTTTCGCTGCCTTGAAAAATGGAATGACTAAGTGAGTGGAAGGTCATAGGGCAAAGCGACAAGTTTTTCAAAGTTATAAATTAAGTTATTTTAATTTGGAAATGTCAAGACCACAAAATTGCAAAGCGATCTGAGACTTTAAAACCAACAAAGAGAAAGAGGAGTAGACCGACTTTTGCGAGAATGGGATTTCAAAAATCTTCTATAACCGGTCCCCCACAAATAGGCATGCGCAATATATGCAGCAATTCTCCAGTTTGATAAAATCTTAAGAGATATAAAGCAAGGGATAGGGTAACCTGAAATTAGACAAAAGAAAGGGGATATGGGTTTCGGTTTCCAAATAATTTAATGCTATATGTTATCAATGTACTGACATAATTTAATGCTACACGAAAACTCATGCAGAGCCGATAATTAAATCTCTTTGCGTCCAAATCGTTTTCACAGCCTCTGAATGAAAATAAATCAATCTTGTTACCTTTGAAAAGCCAATAAGTATGCCCTTCTTTTGTACACTTCGATTTCAGAAAAGACAGAATATCTTGGGCGATACTTTTGACTACCTATGAAAGAGTACAAAGGACTAAGAACAAAGTGACTCTTATACATTTTTAGCATTTTGATCCATTCTATCGGGAAATGATCAATTTACAATATTGAATTTCTTGTTAACAAAAGCAAAAATCATAGGCTCACACTAAATCATAAAGTTTATACGATAAGCATTGGTAGAGGAATTTGAGTGATTGTAAATAAAAAAAGAACGCTTATATGATAAACAAATAAAGATTTACAAAGCTTGATATGAAAAATATAGCAGTTTTCATCTAAAAGTTTTCGAATTGATCTACAGACAAACGAAAAAGCCGCTTTTGTGTAGACAGAAGGAGTTCGTTTTCTTTCTTGGACTCCATTGGTAATTTTCTATAGGCACACAGTACTGATTGGACAACTGTACCGGTCATGTGCTTGCCTTTTTCTGATTGGTCTATTTCGACACACAACTGGATATAACGTTTCAATCTTGTTCTTTCGGAATCTTATTCTGACGTTTTATTGGTCTATGTTGGACGATAAAGCAATTTAGTACCGCCAAAAAATTGTCCAAAGCTTGATATATGAAGAAGCTTAAAATTTGCATCAAGTGATTACCTTGGGTGAAAATTTGCAGTCTTCCAGTTTTGGCAGGTCTTCTGTTAAAACCATTTCATATTTCTGCAAAAATTCGGAGATATTGTTTTAAAGGAAGGATTGGATAATATGCAAGTGAAATGATCTTCGAAAAACCGAACCGAGGCAGATTATCACAATTTATATCATTGAAGGACACCCACGATTATACATGGATTTGTTTCATCATTCTATCAATAATAGCAAAACTGCAACAACAACAACAACAACAACAACATCACTTAAACACAACAACAAACATCAACAACAACACAGAAACAACAATAACAACAGCAAAGTGGAACAACAACAACAACTTTAAGAACAAAACTAATTCCAACAACAAATGGACAACAATAACAGCACCGAAATATTTCCAACAACAATCACGGATATTTATCATGCATAAGTAAATTGCTATGTCAAAAGAAGTCAAACATTTGAATTAGATCTAATGTCAAATGCCAAAAAACTTTAAGTGTTGATTTATAGTGATTGCATTCTCTGCAGGAGGCGGGGATCTGCTTTTGATATGCTCAGAACAATTCTATGTGATCTTGGCAGCCATTTTTCAGAAAACATGGTGCTTGACAGAATCTGCTTCTAGAATCAGTACGCGGTAGCTTTGTGTCAAGTTTTAGTTTTGAAAATGAGTGAGTTCTTTGAAAATGAAGGGAAAATGTTTGGTCGTTGCCCTAGCTGAACCCCCCTTTCGGCGCTACTGTTCAACTGCTACCCGAAACATCACTCTCGAGAAAATATTAATTTGCTTTGATGCGTGTGAGCGTGAAAAAAGATCAAAATGCGCGTGTCACACGCAAAATGCACGACTTGGTAGGTCTGTAATCAGTCACAGGTCCACCAATAATATTGAAGCATGAAAATAACGACGCAGAAAATTTTGGTATATACTTTTCTTTTATCATGACATAATGCTTTTAAGCTTTGCAAATCGATAGACTTTGACAAGGAGTGATTAAGCAAAATTGATATAAATTTATAGAATCTTGTGAATTGATTTCTCGAGATAATTTCTGCACTTAAATCAGTAAATATGACAAAAACCTGCACTATTCCTTCCGTATGATAGCACATAGCGAGTTCAGGAACATTGCATATTAAGTTATCAAGCCAGTAGTCAAGACCAGTGAGAATATTGATAGGTTTTGTTGCGTCTCTAGAAAGCAAGTACAAAAAGCATTAACGATTCATGATAACATCTCATTGTTAGCCCCTAGCATTTAGCACTTGTGTAAGGTAAAGCAAAAACAAACCGTTTACAAATTTGAAGGTGCACCTTTATTGACACTTTCCGTTTCAAGTACTCTCCTCTTATATAGATCATTTTTTTAATTTTTAGATTTATATCAACTAAATGAACAGGGTCCTGCATTTGCACGGCTAAAGTACTAAGGTACCTCCAAAGCAAATTTTTCAGATAGCCAAAATAAAACTATAAGAATTACATTTTGATGTCAAGATAACTTTAGGTAGGCTGAATTCTAAGCACTGCAATAAAAGTATGCTGAATTTCAATCATCGGTGGAAGTTTAACAGGGTGAGAATAATTTATTTGCTAGAGCTGCTGTCACAATACAATGATACATAGCGATTTGATTGGTTGGCAGATATGCCACAGTCAATCAGGTTGACACATTCTACATAAAAGCGTAAACAGTTTCAGCATTTATTGTCTCCCCAATATAGTTCACATAACTAGCCATCTTCCATTTTTACCTCAATTTTAGGCTAACAGCTGGAAACAATCCCCCTCCAAAAATCGGCATATCAGAGCCAACAAGCATTGTTATGTCATCCAGAGACCAAACAACATCTCGCTGGAAGGGTGACTGTTCAAAAGAGAGGATAAACAAATTACATTGGCAAAACGGTGGCGAGCAGTTCTAGAGTTCGGTCTATGAGAGAATCCTATTTCAGATTCTACTTTTACTGCTACAGATTCAAAATCAACCAAAACTATAAGATACATCCGCTGATTTCGAAGATCCGAAAGATTTTCCACACAAATTTGTAGATGGTGTCCACGTGCAAATATCAGCATAAAGATTAATTGAAAAATAAGAAATAATACAGACAGCCACTTGGAAACTCAATGTCCACCAGCAATTGTTATATCAATGTGCAAAATTGAAGATTTTGTGAAACACAAGGTTTCCATGAGCGACAGATGAAAGCAAGTCTTTGATTCTGCTGATTTTATTTCGAGCTGAAGCATCTGTGGTCACAAGATTTTGAATTGATCAACTTTTCACACTATGTATAGAGTTAGTCAACCCATTGTGCTACATGACTGACAAAAGATAGTCGAGGAAGGATGAAGAGAACCTTCCTCAATAGCATTCCATGATGATGAAGCTTTGCACCTAGTACATAGCTACTTTGCCTTGCATGTAGCTGCTTTTAGCCATAAAACCAAAATCGAAAAACTGACTTGGTTGCTGAAAATAAACTACAAGAGGGGGGGGGGATTTTTTTCTTTCTGGGACCGCGGTTCAGATAGCAAATATTTTCTGCACTGTAAACAAGCAGCAAGAAAAAGTGCCATGTAAAGTTGCGCCTTTTGAGCATTCAGATGTACAGTGACTCAACCAGTTAGGAACTAAAACCAGCGTGGTATGATTGAAGAATTTACAAATTAGAGAAGGTTTAGATACCACTGATTCGAGCTCACTTCTTCTTCCATCAAAGAAAGGAGATAAAAACGTTTCTTCTTTACACATGACTTCAAATGCATCAGTATCAAGCTCATCGCTGATTTGTTGAAGAAAACTCAACTGATCTGCTTGCATATCTTCACTGCTGGAGGCGGTATTTTCAATACTAAAAACAAAACAAAGTTGTTACTTTAGCAAAAAATAGTTACCTTAAGAGGACAAGTTGATTACTTTTGCAGCAAAACATACTCGAATAAGGGAACCTGTAAGGGTATTGGTCTTTGAACCCTTTTCCCGTGGTGACCCCCAGAACAACGAATCTAAAAAACAAATCATACTGTATGTCAGCATCTGCCCTTGCTAACATAATAATTTTTTATCAGTATTTTCACGGTGAACCTCCGACTGACAGTAATTAAAAAAGACTCTTACCTATAGTGAAGGAATTTTGATAGCATATTTTGCGCTCGAGCATATTCTCTGTTCCTTTTTTTCTTCGGAAATTCACTATCCTGAAAATGACGAAATGATGAAATTCAATATGCTAACAGTATATTTGCAATAGTGGCATTCTAATATGTGAACTAGAGGAGAGCGTGACGCTTGAACAAAATAGTAACAGTAGCACATATTTTTATCAAGAGCCAAAGTCTTGTCCTTCAACGCTCTAAGAATATGCTTGTTTTTACAGAAAAATAAACGAGCGGACCAAAGATCTCTTTGAACGAAGTCAGAAGTAGTGGGAAGCTGAATATTTCAGTATGCAATGTTTTCAAATCATATGTCATGCAAAGGTAAGTGGAAGAAAAATCACTACCTGAGGGACGCCGACAACATTGCAATAAAATCTTTTCAACCAGTCCAGTCTCCGGCAAAGATCAGGCTTCTAGTGAGAAAAGAAGAACACTCAGTATGAAATAGAAGAACAATCAGAACATCAATTGCAACCCAAGGATAATAAGAATTATAACCCAACCACTGAAAAGCATTTAGCAAGTGATGTTGTTTTTGGACCATACCCCTTTTTTAGTTGTTAAAACGGTTGCTCTTTATCGAGATAAATAAAACTGCCATTAACCAAAATCAAGGTTACAGAAAACCCCATTGTATAAGAAACAGGCCTCTTGTCCTTCAAAAGAGACTCACTTCATAGGAAACAATGAGAGACCGGAAATACAAATGTTTCTTATTTTCAAGTATAAATAGTAGTATTTTCTCTTTATGCTCTAGGATATGGTTGTAGTGTTTGTATTCTATTGGTATGAAAAATTATATTGTAGCTTATATATCATACACTACTACAAGTAACATTGAATACACGTCTATGGACTGTACTGTCATATAGCTGGAGTTGATTTGACTAGACAGTACCTATTGATAAGAAACTTGGACCCTGGTGATGAAAGGTCTCTGTCCCCGTTAAAAAGCAAGAGACAAACCGCACTTTGTACTAGAAACTGACTGGAATAAGATTGTTTGATGAAGAGGCTGGTAGAGGAAGTTTTGGCACACTTTATTGATCTGTAACAATTAAACTTTTGCAATTTGATGGCTTGAAAAAGATATGATAAATGAAGCGAAGCTGCTGAAGGAATTGAGAGGGCATGAAAATATTGTCGATTTTCTCTCCCAATATTGTTCTGCCAATATTCTGCCAATACACATCCAACCTGGGCCTCAATTTACTGGCTTTTATATAAAGGGAGTTTATTTTTGTTTGGAATGAAAAAGGAAAAAAGCACGAGTCTGTTGAACAGATTGCCCCTTTTCTTATGCGTTAATTTGTTCAAGGTACAATCTACTCTAGCCAAGACTTTTATCAAAACAAAAGAATTTCTTTGGTTTTCCAGATAGAAAAATATGATTTCCATCGAATGATTCACCCGTCTGATTCAATGAAAAGAGAAGCTGAGCCTTCGCCCTTTCACCTTCGAGGGTAACAAAAACATTTTTATCGTCCTCCTCATCACTGCACAAGGTCCTTCATTTTGCTATTGAAGGTCTCTTGAATTTTCTAAATTAAGTTGATCGGTCAATAAAAATAAATTATTTCGATACGATGGGAGATTGCCGCCAGCATCTTGGTCAAGACATAAAACACGTAGGGGCGAAACTATTCGTAAAAATGAAAAACGCCAGGCTGAAAAATTGATTAAGTGTTCTTATAATAAACGTTTAAATTTCATTTTTGCGACATAACTTCCATTCTCTTTGAACATGAGAAACAAATGCGGTATTCAGGGTCATGAAAATGCCATGCAGTCCCTCAAAGCCGTCTCAGTAGATACCAAATAGTAGTTTGCTTGAGCTGTTTCGTTAAGACGTGATATATGGTTTAAAAAGTGCCTCGCTGCCAAATTAATGAGTTGGGATGGGGGTAGTCGTGGATGTCAATTTTCATTTTTTAGCCGGAGTTGGTATTTCTCAAAATCTAACCAACTGTATTGCGCTAATGTGCGTTTTAGTCTTAGAACTGAAGTATTTACGCAAAAATTCTTCGAAAAAGGTATTAAACTGGTAAATTGGCTTTTTGGGCTCGATATTCCCCCACTCCCATATTCCCCGTTCATTGTTTTAGTAATAGCCGATGCCCTTCAAATCACTTTTCCTTACATGTCCAGGTCTCTACACATAAAACAAGTCTCCACATAAATGTGTCTACTACTCTACAATAATTATAGATTTAAAATCTTTGAAGTACCGACGAAGCAGCAGATATGATTTTTGGAATATCCAGTTCACTAATAAGCAATGTATTTTGAATCCTATGAACGGCCATACTCAAGCCTCCATCACTACGAAAAAAATCAAAAGTATTTTTAAAGAATCATCCGGTAGAAATTTGCCTTTAAATTGAAAGTTTTAAGAAGCACAAACCTGTCTGGAGTTGATTGACGTGGTGTTTTTGAATAAACTTTTAGGAAAGCTTTATCCGAAAAGTTCTTATTTTAGTTCGATTAAAAAAAATAGAAACTTTAAAAGATCTTTTCTAGAGCCTGAACTAGATACAGGTTTCTGGTTTGAGATTGCTTTAAATAGCAGACAGCATGGCAGACATCACAGGGCCCTAAAGGGGATTTAGGAACGCACCTTTACTGCCATTCATAAACGTTTAAAGATGATTCAGAACAGATAATTTATGGGCAACCTCAATTTTAGTCTAAAACCTTGATAAGTTGATCAAAACTCCCTTTAGCAAATAAGTCTGCTCAAGTCGAAAAGAATCGGCAAGTTCAAAAGAACGCAAGCAATTTTTATTGACAATTTATTCATTACAATAACAAAACTAATTAACTAATAATAGCATGATAACTTTTAATGTAAAACTCAATTTGAAGAATAAATCTTATCTCGATGCAAAAGAAACGCCAGTCTTTGATAAATAATCAAATTCTTACCTGTATGGACTTTTCAGGAGTCGCTTGATATTCTAAAAGTATAAATGTAAAATGCATAATCTAAATGTGTAATGTAAAATGTTTTAATGTTTAAACATAAATTCAAATCAAAATTTCTGTTTACCGGCCTGTCATAAAGTGCTCTATAAAATATGTGCTGTACATGCCATTTGTGCATATAACAGGTTGGTTGTAAGTTGCCACTCAAAGTTTTACGATTCATACAATCATTGGGCAACTAATTGTTCATCGTGAACTACATGCATCATATGCCTACTTTAAAACTTTGAATAACATTTCTGTGGTTAAAAATTTATTACCTTTACCAAAGATTCATCATTTTAAAAAGCTTACAATTTGTTATAATGGAAATTCACTAGTTTTACTCAGTAAATACTTATGGTAGTAGTTTTGCATAAAAATACCCTTAACAAGAATACTTTCATAATATGCTACACAAAAAGCCTTCATGCAGAGAATATAAAACCATACCTCTGCATCTGAAATGACATCAACATTTCCAACATGCTCTAGATATTTATTTGCCATTTTGAAACTAGAAACACAATTAAATCTCAAGTAAAATCTTTGCAATGAACATATAAAAACATTGGATAACATTAAAATCAAACAAAAACAGGCAAGGCTTTTCTTTATGACAAGAGATACAAAACGATTCTTGTTAAAACATTTTAGTTTTTTCTCACATGCAGGACTATGAAAGTTTTAGAATGAAATAGTATTTGTTGGAATTGCAGTATATAATGGATACGAAAAAGTGGTGGAGATAAAGGAAGGGGTGAAAGGTGGCAACTTTCTTGGATGTGCCTTGGAAAATTTACTCGGAATATCTTTATTTTTTGGCCAAAGAAATCAAAGGGGAAATAACTCTCAAACAGCAAACTCCAATGTCTCTTGTCAGAAATAATTCACTCTGCTGTCCCCATCACTCAAAAACTTAAATTTCCATCACTGGTCACATCAAACAAATTCCTGAAACTAAGAGAAAATCAAACCTTGACAAATTGATTGGCCTCCTTTTATCCATGCCTCCCTCAAAGAATTTCTGAGAAAGGTTACTTCTCAGCCAATTTTTTGGTGGAAAATTCAAATTTGTATCCTGTAACGGCAATTTCAGAAACTATTAATCAAGAAGAATTCCATAATATTCAATGGAAGTACTATATATTACAAAGATAAAAACACAAATTGAATTGTAATGGATTTAATCCTAGCCGCAAAGGTTATGGACATAAGGTAAACATTTCCTTATTAAAAAGATTGACACATGATAATGGCAAACAATTCTACCTGTAGTTAATCATGAAACATCTGAGCTGTTTTGACAGACATTGAATCAGTACTGTCACTTTATGAATAACGTAAACTTATTCAATATGTTTTCTGTGTGATAGAAATGATCACTTGTGTCATGTCAGCACTAAGGCAAACAAAAACGGCAAACTTGGCCACTTGCATGGGCTACTTTTTTTACAAAAAGGCCTGGAAAGCTTTCATTTCTGCCAATCAGTCAATCCTTCAATTGATCTACCATGCAGACAATCAATAAATAATTTAAATCTTGCAAAAATAGCTATCCCATGCTGGTACCTGTGCTAAACATTGATTGTTAATAAATTGTTGTTAAATTGTTGTTTGCCCATTTTGAATAACGGTTATTGCTGTAAAAGCTTTCAAGTTCTAGAATATCTACAAGAAGGATGAAACTTTTCAAGGTGTAGAACTTTTATGAAAATTGAGTCATGGAACAATATAGATTGAAAGTAGTTAGTACAAAATTGTATGATCCTTGAAAATCACTTTTCCATCAACCTGTTTAGGCAACTTAAAACTGTCCTGTAATAAACACAAAATGTGTTATGCTTGAGAATTGAGATGTATAAATGATATTGATAATTCTTATTGTCAGTTAGCAGCTTGAGTCACAGTGATCACAATAAACAAATATGTACTTACTTCATCAAGCTTTCTGAATGGCACTGGGAGGGCTGGCTCTTTAAACTTAATGACTGCAGTAGATGATACATCAGACTGCTGAAAAATTGATTTATCATGAGGAAATGTCAAAAAAGTGCTTATAAAAAAATGAAGAGTTTAAGCAATTTGCCTACTATTAAACTAATATCACTCAAATCAAATTCAATCTTAAAATAATCTTTACGCTTTTGTGTTGAAGACAATTCTAATGCAAATTTTCTTTTTTAAGCCTTTTGTGGTAGTGCAGAGGTACAGTAAGCCTACACTATTGGCATGGCAAATTGATCTGTGGTAAGCCATTACTATACCAAATTGCTCTGTGCTACGCCATTGTTATGCCAAATTGACACCATTGACACCCCCAAAAGGTAGGCCAATGGCCTAAGGCCACGTTTTTTAACAACCCAAATATTATGCATAAAGATATTTACACAAACATCATGAAGCAAAAACATCATTGCTAACCTGTTCACTCAGGCAGCCTTCTGAGACATTCAGTTTCATTGAGATATCCATGGTACAAATTATTAACTTTGACTTGAAAGTCAGATTAACTGAAATAAATTATGAAATTTTATTAGCACTAAAGAATGATTTTATCTAGAGAAAAAAGCAATTCAACTAGCATGTGTTCAATTAATCCCAGATTGAAGCTGATTACAAGGTTCCTGAAATATCAAAGTATATTTTAGCTATTATAACAAGATGGCTTAAAAATCAGTGACGGATCAGAAAAAGATTAATAACTTAATGTGCTATGTATATTCCTGCCAGGGCACATACCATATTCTTTTTTGTATTTCTATTGCGGGCTTATTGATTAAACCTCCAAATATATTGCACGAAAAAAGAGGTCGGATTATCAGAGAGGCAGGATTAACTTTTCAACATGCTTTTACACAGCAGGCTTGAACTTTCAACCTGTTTCACTGTGTTTTGGTGCAAAAACATTGCATGAAAATTTTGAAGAAAGTTGATGACAGTTGGTCGGAAGGTTGACACTGATTGGCTGAAACATTATTCACACTTGCTGTCATTATAAAGACAACAAGACACTACCCTGAATGTAAAAATTATTATTTGTTTCTTTCTTCTATCAAACAAGTAGGCATCAGATCATAACAGAATTTCAACAAACACCCAAGACAGCCAAGAGGAGGCAGAGGGGGCAAATCGCATCTGGGCTTCGAGGTGAAGGGCCTCAAAAAGTAATAAATTGCATTTTTAGAATGGAATTAACCAAAGGTAACCAAAATGTGCCTAAAAGTAGACTAGTAAAACATTTAACACGATTACATGAAAATGACCTGTGCACAAGAAACATCATGAAATGCACTTTTAAGCTAATTTAAGGGTGAAGCTGCAAAAATTTTCTGTTCGGTTCACTCGCAGGGGCGTCTAAGTTTTTTAATTGTAACTACAATATACATAAATAAAAAACTACTGCATATTGAAAAAACTAACAGTGACAAACATAACAAAAACACATAATAGGCCTAGCTCGGCCCTTTCATGTAAACTGTTAATCTTACCTTTCAATGCAGAAAATTTTCAGTTTCTAAAACCAAAAGGCTTTAGAAAGATCCTGTCTAATGCTGCTATTCGATTTTTGTGTCAGCAGATAACTGCACATTGTTGAAACATATAGATAAATGCTTCATCGCAAATTTCGTTCTGGACTTTTCTAGTGCTTTCTTATCCTGTTGTTCTAGCCTCTATTTGGAATCATAGGCAGGCAAAAGGGCATCAATAACAGAACATTTTTTTATTCTACTCGAATCGTTATTATATCATAAACATTAGAAAGAAAGAATAAAGCTGTAGTAAATCAAAGCCTGTGATAGAAAGAGAAAAGTCTTGTATTACTGATAAGAAATGCTCTAACCAACTCATTTTCTGCAGTTGACATGAAGTGTCAGATAAAGATTATTATTGAGACCCTTCTTTTGAAATGATCCAGACTACAGGGCCCGCGCCATGAATTTGAAAGTGAGGGGCCCAAGGCTAAAAAAGTTGGGGGCCAAGGCTTCTTACCTCTTTTACTGCAGCTTTGAAACTACTAGCTTCGCAAAAAGTGGCGGGGCCATGGCTACCCCTCCCCTCCCCCCAGTAACGCGGGCCCTGGACTATAACGGAATCACTCAGTGGCGAGGAATAAGGTTGGGGCCTCATTGAGCCTGACCTCTCATTTTAATGCCCAAGACCAATATTCTTATATTTTTTAGAATTGCTTTTGGAAATTTTTGCGAATGCCTCACCTGCGGTTTTCAAAAGCATTATACAAATTTTGCATTTTTCAGTTTCATTACTATACCTTGATCTCAAAACTTTTTTTTATCTTGCTAAAGCAATTTGATGTTTGGTTTGCTATAAAACTTTTGCGGCGGTGCTGCCAATTTGTGGCGGGTAAAGCAATACTTTTGCTCACCAAGTGTATGCAGTTTTCTTTATGACAATAAAGATTGATAGGTATAATAGTAAACATATGGTACTAAGGCTAAGAAGGACACTTTATAACCATGTAGGGCTTTCGGTGTTTTTTTCAAAGTATGAAGCTGCCTTACATGATGAAGCTAATCATATGACATGTTTTATTAAATTCGAAAAAATGGCAAGTAACTTTTTGCTACGTGCTTTTGACGAGGCACCCTTTTCTTTTAGTTTGGCATATCGGTTGGATTGCCTTCAAATTTCTTGCAGGCTGAAACTCTGGGGATGTTTAGAATGCTTTCCTCGTCATGGTTAGGGACAGCTGAAGATATCTCTTGCATTTTGCCGAACTTGAGTTGATCAGAAAAAATTACCCAAAAAAATAATTATAAGATCATAGACAACGTTCTTTTTAAAAAGGTTAGTGACATGACTTCAAAACTAAAGGCAAATCTCATGTCTCAATGACAAAGAAATTCAACAACAGGATGTTAAATGAATTTTAGAAGATGCTCCAATCTGTAATCTGCTTAGAATACCACATCAGATAATAATTCTTGCTATAAGAATGAATTACCGTTTGCTTTGTTTTCAAGCTTTAAAAACAAAAAAAATCAGACAGAAATTCACTGCAAAAGCAAATCATTCATTTTATCAAACTAACAAGCTTGGCACTGGAGTTACTCTTGCCAGTGGTAACAGGAAAATATTCTTTACCACGAAAGTTAATAATCTCACTCTAAATTGACTACGAAATTACAATATTTTTAGCAGGTAGATAAAAACTTTATAGAAAAATCCGTGATTAAGCTGTAATGTATTCCTTTTGTAAGATCATCGCAAAGATATATTTTTGAGCATCAAGAAGTTGTATGAAACCGATTTTATCTTGGCCGGTTGATTTAAATTCACTCAACTCCTAGAAATCATCCTGTTTCGTCCTTAGAATTGCTCTAATCGATATTTGTGCAGAAATCTGAGACTTCATTCAAATTAAGGTAGAGTTTTTTCACACAATATCAAAGTTGAATGTTATTAGATACAGTAAGGACCAGGAGACCAAATTTCACGCAGTTTGATAAAGCTCAAATTAATTAGAAAAATTTGAGTAACTTAACCCACACGCCAGATGATTTAGTTCCACCTCATGATAAGATTTATAATACCACAGTTTAACTGAAAGGTTTCCTGAATAATTGAATTAAAATCATAATAACCATCTAGAAATGTCAAAACAGAAATTTCTGAACCTTTCAACAAATATTTTCAGGCGTAAACGACTATTTTACTACAGTAGAGAAGTGTACCAGACATCTCAATAAGAGATACGTGACTGAATTACTACAAAAATTACAAAGGAAGTTTCCTTTAGCAAGAGTACAAAACCAGTTTACAAAAATTACTAAATCTATTCTTTTTTATATCGTCAAAAATTTAGCAAAAAAATAGAATTATAGCCGAGCAAATGTTATAAAATATAGGAGCTCCGCTTGCCAGTTGAGTCAACCTTTAAGCGTTTGTGGTAGATGCCAGGGTCTCAATATGCAGCATCAGACCCGGGATGGTGACCTTTTGAATACTTCAAAAAATCTTGTGTATATGACCATTGCGAAAAAATCAAAGAACTCGATGTATGTAAGGACACTGGAACCAAGAAAAAGCCCTAATTGACCACCAATATCACCTGAAAAAAGCAAAGGATGGCATTATTTCAGAAATATCATCAAAAGAAATTATAGAAAATTACACTTGAAAAATTTCAATAACACAGAGACAAGGAAATTCAAATCAAGCAAACAGAGAGAAGAATAGAGTTAATACATCCAGTTTTCAATTTCATTGAGAAATTAAGAAAATATTAATGTGATTTTTTATGAATATGTACTGTAAGAAAACTAGATTTAAATTCCAGATGCAAGAGGTTTAAAATCATGGTTGCAAACAGTTTTATTGTAAAACAAAAAACCTATGCTTTATTGTAAAACAACATAATGCGAAGTAAAAGTTGAAAGATTCGTAGTGAATTGATTAATAGATATTATTAATGAATTCACCACGATCCATAGATAGATAGTAATCCATAGATAGTAATCAGAGAAATATTGCATGCAATATTAGTAAAATTTTAATTTCAGGCTGGAAAAGGGTTGCCCCAAATTTGCTGCCTTCTTCATGAAGTTGCTACCAGTTACTCATTAAAAGAAAACAGTTAACTTTTATCATCGATTTGCTTCCTGGTTACAGTAACAAATCCTGAACAATTTATGTTGAAATATCTTCTGTAATGTTACGAAGTTACTGATCTAAAAGCAAGGCATTTTGAAATCAGTGTACCAGCCTTGTGATCTTAGACAACGTGTTTTTTTTTCCTTAGGGACTTTATCTCAAAATTCGAAATGAAAATATGTTGTAATAAAATGGAATGTGCATTCCGATCTCACTTTATCAAGTAGGATACCTGAATAGAGAATTTCGACTGCTTTAAATAGAGAAAATGAACTGTACTTGGCAAATCTCAAAAAACCTTTCTGCACTAGAAGGTAGAAAGCTGCATGAGTTGACTGAGCCCTCTCTAAAAGAGCCCCCTTGAGATTCGAGGCACCTTTCTAGTGGAGTTCATAAAAATAAGAAGGCACTCACCCAGTAGCACCATTAAATCGTAGCTTGGAATTTGTTCCATGTATTCGTAATTAAGGTCTCCATAATATATAACCACCTTTAAGAAATTATCTCTGAAAAAGAGGCAGATATATGTTGTGATTGTAACTGCAAATTGTCAGGCAAGAAGAGAAACAAAACTGTCTTTGAATACTTCCTTCGATTAGCTGTCTCTTGATTGACAAGATTGTTTTAACTATCGAGCTAATTTATCAGGATAGTGGCATCCACTCTTCATTGGCCATTTTAATTTGACATTGCACTCTGTTTTTATAAGAAAAACCTTAAAGGAAGACCGAGGCTCGATTTGCTGGAAACATATAAGAACAATGTAAGATCATGTCCAAACCCAGATTGAACATTTGAAGATGAAAAACAATGTTTTTGAAAATTTTCTCTCGTGTTAACAAAAAAGGGATTTTATCAACTAATTTTCTGAGCTACTGAAAATTTCATAGAAAAATCTCATAGCCTAAGAAACAATTTATAGTATGTAAACGTTTGAAAAATAAATGTTGAAATATAAAAAATATCAATATCAATTTAATATCAATATCAATTTGAAAAATAAATGTTGAAATATTTATGATCCAAACTCAATATTTTTTGCATAAATAAAATTGACAAGGCTAGTCTAAGAAGAAAAGCTCGAAAAATCTGCTTTGTTTATCCCAGAACTAAGAAAGCACAAATTCTGTCATGGGTAAATTATGTTGGCTATTTTTCTTTTTAGGCTTTGGTAAGCGCTATACCTAATCCATCCGCGCTGTTCTGCTTTCGTCCCAGAGATGTTCAATCTTTTTGCCATCTTGTCTGCGAGGTTGTTTGCTGGAAATCTTGCGAATGACAATGTTGGGGTATATGAGTCTATAATACATGGTAGCGGACAGCTGTAATTTTGCGTCAAGTCGAATTGAGCTGAAAGAAAATCAGGATTATATACAACATAAGGTTTAAATCTTTGCAAAGCTTTAGCAAATAGCATTGGGATTGGTGTAGTCTACACTAGATGAACTAATCTTCCGAGTTTTCATAAAAATATTTTTCTAATAAAAATTCCCGTTAACTTGCACCCTCGACGACCCGAACATTTGCTCAGTTGAACTGGTATTGCATTCCCCTTGCACAATACATTCATATAAGAATGTCAACATAGATCGAGCATTCGTTATCTCGAGCATTTCATTGGTCCCTGTATAAGAGGTTGAGTTTTGGGAGTCTACTGTATAAGATAACAGAGAAAGATGGGAATATATAACGTTGCCAGTTACTTGACTTGTTTATCATGTTAAAGGACAGAGCAATAGCCATAGATAATAATCCATCATATAAATTGTAGTTTAGTGAAACCTGATGATATTGTCAAAGCAATTCTGTCAGGAATACTTACACCAATGAATCCACATACAGTTCATTGATTCATTCAAGGTGCAAACTCTGTGATCACCTGGATGCGGAGGAATAGAAAATGATAAATAGAAATAGAATAATAGAAAGAATAGAAATAGAACCTGTGACGTAGATATAGCACAGTATATTTTTTGACACAATATTGTATTGCATATGCAGAGTAGTCCGTTGAATGGCAAAACATGGGGCTTATTTGCGGGTGAAGGTTCGTTAACAGCATTCAATCAGGGGTAGGTGTCTATTGGGAATGGGAGGCTTGCGCGAGGAAGGAGGCCTAATTCAAGGATGTACAGTTAATTTGCATTGATACTTTAAAGCGACATTTAATTATTCATCGGAATTCTGTCAACTGTAAAGACCATCGTTATATGTACTTATTGTTCGTACATATTTCAAATTTGCTATATTGCTTCAATGAACAAGAAGTAGTAAGACACATACCAGGCATGAACCAATCTTTGCACCCACAAAGATTAACAACATGGTCAGTCAGCTTTTCGAGCCAGCAAAGATGCTTTGAATAGCTACGGAAATACTTCAGCTTTAGCTTTCCACAATTAGTTTCATACGGATGTGGAAGATTCTTCACCTTTAAAGAGAAAGCCTGTGTCAGTTGTGTTCTGTTCAAATGAAGATGAAGCGTATATTTGCAGTACATGTACTGTTAATAATTATTTGTAAGGCAACTGAGTTCCTGGTTTAAAATATTTGAATTTGGATGCATAACTTAAAAGAGCATCAAGGATTACCTCTAAAAATGCGAAATCAGCTATGTGTGTTATAAATTGGCTGAAATACGGATACCTAACCACAGGCTTTTGCTTATCAAATCATTGTAATTTGTAATACCATTATGTACCAAGCGACAACAACAGCAATTTGTTAGGAAACTTAAAATCTTTCAAAGGCCATATCGTACACAACTTTTAGGAAATTTAACCCAGCTTCCATATTTTTAGAAAAATTTGTAGCTTTTTTCTAGGTGATGTGTTCAAAAGTCTACCAATATCCTGACGAGGTGCGACAAATTTAAGAAAACGAAAAACCATAAAATTGTTTTCCAAAAACTGCAATTTGATTTAAGTTATGGGAAATTTTTAGCATCAAACTGAAATATGTTACTATCAGTAATTGGTAAGAGAAAGCTTTCCACGGCAGATCATTTTCTGATAAAAATCATAGAATTGCTAAGGGGCCTAGGCGTTAGAGACGTGAGAAGTGGGGGCTGCAGCCCTCGTAATCAGGCAGAAATTATCGCATTTTAGGCCCCATTTGGGCATTTCTACCTTAATGATGCAGAAATGTACGGGCAGGATCCGAACTAAGCCCCCTAAAACTTTAAGTATCTACCACGCCCATGCCAAGGAGGGCATATGCACCCACGCACCCTCTCTGGCTTTACCGCGATATGTTTCTTTTTCCATTTACCCTTGACAAAATTACAAAATTATTTGACAAAATGTCTAAAAAGTGAATTATTATCCTAACAAAGCAATTAGCGAGCTCTTTGTTCAAATTGATAAGATTTTCAATGATGATTTTCTATTAGAACAAATTGGCATTTTAATTCTCCATTTAATTACTCACTCTTCGAGTTCGTTTTCATCATTTGTAGCTCTTTGAGCTCGAGAGACCCAATAAAAAAGTTCATAAATAAGATGGATTTTTCGTTAGAATAAGTAATAAATGGTTAACACGATCAATTATGTTAATTAACTTTTACTGTGTATGGGACATTAAACTAGACTTCTTCCCTGAAAAGGAGCTGGAAAGCAAAGGAATTTATCGTGATACGACATAGAAGTACTCATCTTCAAAGTCGAACAGCGAAATTTCCCATGAAATGATTGCCTCTGTTTAGCAAAGGATGTGGTCTCTACTAGAACCCTTTCGATGAAATAAAGTGATCCGTTTCCCGTCTTAAATTAACTTATAAGCATTTATACAGCTCATAAAAGATTTGGTTGCCACAACCGCTACTGCCACAACCTGTAAAATATGTCCCTGAAGATACTTAAATGAATTGAATCTTACCTTGCGTTTTTTAATCTCAATGTACGACACAAATCCTGGGGACAATATTACACCTTGCATTTTGACCGGTGTCTCGTCCTGCCCATGCAATATCAAATGAATTCCTGAATGCTGCGAGTCTACATAATAATCATGATGCTCGATATTGATAAGAAAGGTGAGAGCTTGGCTCAACCCTGTGTTGTTCACAGTGATAAGAGGCTGTCCATTCATCCCAGAATTAAAAGTGAAGCATCTATCACCCTGATTATGGAAGAACTGTGTAAAGTTCTTGTGTGTACATATTTTATTATTCATTGTGCATCCTTGCAACATATCCTCTAGTCGGTGGTTTGCTTTCCTAATTGTATCTGTGTACTCCTTTCCATCTAGTGCGAGAATATTGCCTCTTTCTTGAATAGCTTTATGCAGCTTTGTACCATTCATCACTGAAAGGCGAAAGTCATTCAAGTTGCAAATTGACACTGCCGGGAAAACCATTTGGTTGACGTATTTAACAGTTGTTGTTGTGCTGAAAGGATAACTGAAAAAGTACGTCGTGCTCTCGTATAACTTCTGCACAAGCAATCCAAGGGCAACAAGGATTAACAAAGTCCAAAAAATGCGTCTGAAAAAATGCTGTTTGTCAAAGCAGAAGTGCAGACCATGAAGCGTCGAGTTGGACACAAGATCATCGAAATGCTGTTTGACTTTCTGTCTTCTTACTTCCTTCTCCTTTCTCAGGTCTAGCAATTCAGCATCTAGAGAATGAAGAATGCAAATATTGTTCTCAACAAACATGGCCAAAAACAGAAAGCTTTGAAAGGTTCATCAGGTTTCACTAAATAAGAAATACAGAAATAATGACTAACATAAAAAGTGGTGTTATACGTTTATTGATAAAGAAATATCCACAGTTGGACAACAAATTTTGGGATAGCCCAAGCATTCACTTTTAAAATCTAGCGCTAGATTTCATATGAACAAAATAAAAAGTTCAGCGTGTTGTAAGTCAAGAAATGAGCAAAAATTGATGCAATTAAATAACGACTTTGTACACGAATAAGAGATAAGTACGATGTTTTGAGCAACTCTTCAAAGTCTGAAAAAGAACTCTGCTCATTCTTCGACAGGCGACACAAAATTTGAAAACTTTGGAATCTTATTCTGACGTTTAATACCCGGATTAGTGTCAGACGAAATAGCTTTAATTTTGCTGAAAAATATTTCCTTTTTTCAAAGCTATTTATAAAATTCTTCATTGAACACGGGTTCCAAAAAAGGAATCAAAAATGAATAGGAATAAACAGGGAAGTCCACTTCGCAGGCTTCAAAGAAACTCACCAAGTTTGCTTCTTCTAAACTATTGTAAAGGTTACAATTATGTAGCTCTTTTTTAAAACAACGGTCGTGCCATTGGTAAAGTGATGAAGGCTTGTGGGATTGATTAGTTTCCACCCAATTCATGCTGAGTGGGCAAGTGCAGGACTTCCAGATATCGAAAACACCCTATACAATTACGTTATCAGTTCAGCTCATAGAATTGGTCGGCTTCTAGTTTCTTTCCATAGTCATCTTTTGGCAAAGTTTTGCCTTTACTATTAATTTTCCTTTTAAGTAAAGCAGTTATGAAAAGATGTTGAGCTGTTCCGAATTCGATGTATTAAGCCAAGGATCTAGAATTAAATGAAATCGAGAAAAACTATCGCCATTATCAGGGCGCAGCTAGCGGCCTTGTTTGTCGGTAAAAGCGTCTATTGGTAGGTGAAATAGCTTCTAAATTTCTCTTAATTTTTGTTTTTGTTGGTAAGTTTTCTCACCAATAACCCTCCACCACCTAGTCTGGAATTCAAGCTACGCCACTGGCCATTAATGTCGTCAACAAATATCGCAAAACAGTCATTTCACGTTACCCATGGCATAGGAACAGGCACAAAATGTCAATTAAAGTATATTGATCAAAGACACTGCTTCGTTGTTGGTCTAGCGATTCGAAAGTTTTAATTAAGAAAATCAACGAATATTTAATGAACGTAAGCCTGTCTTAAGGATTATGTAAGCAATTGTTCTCGCTTTAGGCCTTGCAAGCTCACCTTTGTGCATACTCATGAGATTAATATTTGGGAATAAGGAAAGGAATTTTGAAATTTGTTTAAACCGACTTTGCGGCTTTTAAGCTCTCCAGCATTGCCATGTCATTGAACTTTTAAGCCCTCTTGACTATCAATAAAGAGGATTTGTTTGCTGCATAATCTAAATCTAAATGTTTATAGCAAACACCCCATTGGCCATCTTATTTTTTGCCTGAAACCTATTAGGTTATAATCTTATAACTAATTTGTGATTCATATACAGCCAGGACTAGAGTATGACGTGCTATGCTATGCGAATGAATTCAGTGCGCATTCACGTAACAAAGTGCTTTATGACATCCATCAGTAAAGTACTAACGATGACGTGTATATTACACAAGTCATCAAACAATGGACATTTGCTAAAGATGTGTCAATTCGGGAAATAAAGATGTTATGGAAAATGTAGAAAAAATAGCCTTTGATTCATACATTTCGATACACCACAGAGACTTTCCTATGTTCCAATTAACTATGCTCACTTGTATTCCAATGTTTATTGAGTGTTATAGTTTTCACAGTTTCTAATAGGCAGTGATAAATTCGAAAGGTGTAGTAACATATGAACAATCGAAAGAAATAAATCAGCTGCAAAACAATCATCAAGGATTTCTAGCCCAAAAAAATTGACAAACACAGCATGATTTTAAAATAAAGTGAAGAATCAAAACAAGCAAATGAAAAAGAAGCTTTCAAATTATAGATTAAAGCCAGAACGAACCACAAACGATAAAGCTTATAATACAGACTCGTTTACATAAAACCTCGGTTTTATTTTTTGAATATTGAACAGAAGTTCAGATAAAATTTCCATAAGAGGCTTTTAATAAACATTACCAATTTCTTTCAAATACAAAGTGAATTTTACCGCTCTATCGCACGAGGGACAATTCTTTTGCAAAAAGCGTACGAGGTTTTCACGAAATCAAAAGAGCTTCTAGGGATTGTAAGATGAAAAACGAATTTGATCAAAAGTATACGATATTCCTATGTATTGATTCATCTTTCAGTATTGAATTACTTTTATTTTTCTTTGCTTTTCGAACAACAAAGAGTACTTTTTGAAATTGGGGCATCTAATACGAAGATCTATTCTACGTAATTACTATGTAAAGCATTGAAAAAGATTATCTTTGAAGGCCACTTTTAGTAAAGTAGCTAGTTGCAAAGAAAAGAAAGGGGGAAAATGATCCAACTGTGTGTACGTCAGTGCAAAACGACACTTGTTAGGGGTAATTGGACCATAGAAAACAAGTGGCTCATTTTTTCTGCAAATGTGAAATCACTTTGCCGGTTTGTTTGACAAAATGAAAACTTGCTTAATTGAATGAGTGAATGTGGCAATGCATTTACATGTTTAGACTGCGTTTACACGATATCGCTAGTTATAGCCCCCTTAATCTGTGACATGCTTCCCGGTCCTTGCCCCGCTATTCACTATGCAGCATACTTCTTTTGTTTCAAAGGACAGCTAAGACCAAGCCGATATGAAAAGCAATCCGAAAAGCAATCCGAAAAGCAATCCGAAAAGCAATCCGGTATCGTGTAAAAGCAGGCTCAGGGCTAGAAAATTAAAGTTGGAGAAGCCTCAGTGAACATCTGAGTTCTTCAAGACTACTCATAGCATTGAGGTCATTGTGTTAGCACAGGTTTATTCATCATTAGCCTGTAACGTATGTTAAACAAAGAGAAAAAAGGAAACAGTCAATGCATTTTTCCAGATAACGGTTTCTCCTGCTGTAAAATCCGATTCGAGAGGCGTGAAACCAGCGGGGATGCATTGACATTCAAGTATGCTTGCTTCTATATAAAAGCTTCTACAGAGCTCTTAATATGAGAACGATGCACAGTCTATGGATAATTGGCTAAGTACGGGCTAAGTATGGATGTGCTTTGACAATTATTAATATTATCTCTTCCAATCAGGCAGCCCCCACTGCATAAAATAAACGAAGTAATTCTTCCAGGCATCAGAACAGTGGGGGTCCCATGGCACACAACCTAGCTTATCAGCATATATAAGCCCTGCTTAGGCTTTTATTTTCGAGAAAAGGCAGAGAATGTTTTTTTTCTTCCACAGAGCTTTTGAAACCAAACAGAATACAGTTGAATAGGATATAGAAAAGCGCCTTGCAGGGTTGATGCTAATGTAGAACAGCAGGAGTACTTCTTTGCCAATGGATACCACCAAGACGTATTATCGTCTTCCCACTTTCTCATTCGTTTGTCATTTGTAAAACATGGCGTCTCCGAGACATTTGTCTAAATAGATACTTTGCCAGTACGTGAATCACTTTCACATTGGGTAACAGTGCAGTTTTGTTTCCCTTTATATCGTATGCATTCCTGATCATTATGTTCCACTGCACATTGCACATTTAATCCGTTTTACTATTTATCCAGTACAAATGGTTTATGTATAATTGTTTATGTTACACTACCTAGGCAAAGCGCCTTTAAATGTTTCCGCATTACTTTTAAATAACAGATTTCGAACTTCTTTTTAGGGAGATTGCTTCAAATCTGTTGTTATGAAAGAAAAGTGGAATCGTTACTAAAAAGTATAGTAATATTCATTTGATAATTTCAATGGCGTGAAGTGTAAAACTTAAAGGGCACTAAAATGTTCTGGCTTTTTAAGAATCGTTCCTCTAGAGTTGCAGAATCAGCTGGATTGATTCGGTAATCAGGAAGCAAACCAGTGTCATGTTGTACTGAAGATGTTGACTTATGACTTCATAGATTTCGTGGTTTGCAAAGAAAAAGGATAACGTAAAGATGTTTGAATACCGTAAAAGCTCTATTAACCCGCCCCCCTCCGGGGAGGGGGCTTATTTATTTTTTCAGCAGGGGGGGCTTATTTATATCTATAGGGGGCTTAAAAGAGAGGGGGCTTATTAAAAATTTGAAGCAAAAAAGTTTTAAAAATGCCCTAGGCCATTTTTGTCATGAAAATGTCATAGAAATGTTCTCAAAAAACGTTGCTACTAGCTTCGAAAGTTTAATCAATCAATTATAAGGTCCTCATCTTCATCAACATCACCAGGATAAATTGATAACCAATCCTTGAACATCTTCAAAACAAATTTCGACTGACTACTAAATCGCACAAGCAGTCTTCGCATAGGCCGTATTTAATGCACACGATCTTATCATCATCACACCCGTCAAGAGACCCACTAAATGCCCATGTTTTCTTTGTTTGGCATCATAGGCTTAAGAGGGGGGAGGCCTTAATAGAGATAGGGGCTTATTTAAAGTTCTTGTTTGATAAGGGGGAACTTAATAGAAAGGGGAGCTTAATAGAGCTTTTACGGTATCTATGATTGGAAGTAAGAGAGAGGAATGAAAAGTGTGATGCTCAAGAAGCATAACTTTATTATGTCCGAAAACAGGCAATCGAATTTTTTCGTATGGAACCTTAAAGAGCAGATAATCCATTGGAAATACCTAGGAATTATTACTTACGTGCTTCTCATTATCTGTTTTGTAGCTTACTATAGTCCGCCATTGTCAAAAGGTTTGCTAGCTTCAGGGGGGATTCGCTCCTATGCCTCCTTATAGGCACCACTGATCTGCATATATACTTATCAAATGTCTGTATCATATAGGAACAGAAGACAGAAGCCATTGAGTAAAGCAAAACTGCTTTTATGACGTCCCCTTGCTTTGTGGAATGCATAAAGAATACTTTGGGCGTGTTATGTGCTAAACCAATATCAAAAACAAAACAGACAATGAACAAATGTAGTAGTATCTAAGGATAAATCCTTAGTATCTAACGTTTGGGATTGCTACATAAATAATGAAAATTTCTTTAATAAAACCTCCATCCAGACAGCGACAAAGTTCCTCAAGGACATCAATTCTAACAATTAACAGTTACATACCACAGCTAAAGGTAGAAACGCCAAACAAAAACAGATGTATTGCATATGTTTGTGCATTAATTCTGATCATTAGGGAAGGCAAGGGACAGACGGAGGGTTTCTACCGCAGCTCAGTTATGAACAAGGAATAAGGTCTTTACCCTGCACCTTTCAGGAAATAATGATACACCCTTGAAGTAGTAGAAGACATAGTCCAAGGCCTCGTTCTCTGATTAAAAAGGAAAAACAATTCATAAAAAACCAAAGCCAACCCCTTACACTAGTGAAGAATGTCTTCAAAATTGTTTCGTGTCATTCTTGAGTTAAATTCATAATTAGACAATCGCTCTATGAAATCATTAAAATGTATAACTGAGAAATGAGTACACAAATGTTTCTTTAAAGGTCAAATAAAACTCCCGTTGGGAAACTTTTGCAGGAAAAGGTATCCTCGGACATTTTCGCTGAAATCTTGTTAAGTTGTGTGTTGAATCCCTGATCAGTTAAAAGAAAATTGGGAAAAACGTTGGCTACATTGTAAACGAAACATACCCTACCATGTGATTTAGAGCAGAGTTTCCTGTTTAGAAAAAGAGTGCATTATAGAAAAGTTTTGTTAACTTTCTTTAAATGTTTAGCGTTCGATGCCCCCTGTCTGACATTTTCCGATCTCACATCCCGCCCACTTCTAATTCATGTTATACCCACCTCTAAACAGCCCAACTTTATCCGCTCTACTTGTCATCTCGTAGTACACAATCAACCGTTATGCTAAATACTGCTTGACTGCCCTTAGCTGACGAAGAGCACAAGAATCAACACTGCATATATGTTTGCTTGGCTAGAAATCTTCAAGAAATCTTGTCACCTGCCTGACAAATAAACTCCTTGAAACTGAAGGTCTTGATTTGTGATAAGAAAAAGCTTATATCTATTTAGAATTTGCTTTCAAAGAAAGTTGATTTCGTCTTTGTTTGGTTTCAAGAAATGCTACGATCTTCTCCGATCTTGAGTTTCCCACAAACAAACGTTATCAGAAAATAAGCTGTTTGCTTCCCAAGCTTTTTGTGCTTCACACTTCAGAAAAGTAAGGTCAATATACTCTCGCTAATCCCTCGCGAAGCAAAATGAAGTAAAATTTGGCAAATACTTCAGAATTCTAGCAATAACAACAGGAAAATTGAATTGCAGAAAGACGTAAACTATAAACTGCACATCAAACTCGTGGCAAAATCGATCACCTGGCTGAGAACCCACGCAAACAACAGGCAAAATTGCTGTTGTATAGATATTTTTAATAGTTTGCAAATTAGCCGGCGTTTGGGTATCGGTTCCTTCTAGAAAGGAAATAGCTATGGGCCTAAGGCCCCCTCCCATCCCCCAAAAGGAATATTCTTAGCCCTTTCCTATTAAGGATTGACAGCAGATATATAGGCGTCCTTTTTTGGACAGCGACTGTAAATGCTTCTATTAGTTTTCGAAGATTTCTAGGGGGGAGCTTGATAGGCAGCTGCAATTTTGCAAAACGAAGAACGGAGTTTCATATTCAAGATCTTCAATTCACACAAAAGTCCGAAATATCATTGAGATCAATCTTTGTAATGCTCTGTTTTGATAAAAGCCCAGGCAACGGATTCTTAATCTATATTACTTCGAGTGTTTGATAAAGTGCTTGAGCCTGACTAAACTACGTTTTCTTATCCTGCTGACCCTTAACGCCTCTTATTTGGATGTTTTGCAGTAGTAAAAGTGATAGCCGGATAAACCGGATTCATGAAAGAGCAATGAGAATAGCTCATGGTGATTATGAATCAACTTTTCAACAACTTTTGATAAAGAATAAAACAATAACTTTACAATATCTTGCGATAGAAATTTAAAAAACATTTAACGGTTTGAATCCACCATATATGGATGAGATATTTTCCATAAATGAATGCCCATATTACTTAAGAAACTCCCAATTTAAAACAGCGGAGCCACATTACAAAATATATGGATTTAATACCGTATCATACAGATGTAGCCAAATATGGAACTCAGTTCCAAACGAGATAAAGTACTCCCCTACTTTACAAATATTCAAGAAAAAAATCTCAGAATTTACATCGTTTAATTGTACTTGTAATCTTTGCAAGGAATACGTTAGCAACACCGGTTATATTTGATTTACATTATATTTAGCGTTGGTAATTTAAATTAGTTGGTTTCAATTAGCTTGAGTATGCATAGCTAGAAATTGTACCAACTTTAAATAAAGAAAGAAAAAAAGCCATCTATAAAAGGGCATTTCCTGGCATTCTAGAAGGGGTGGTCTTACAAAATTTTCTGGGGAAAACTCCGGCACCCCTTGTTATTTTCTTTCCAGGTTTGTCCCACAGACGTCCCACATTGGTTACGCCACCGTCTGCATGTATGGCCTATCAGTATATAAAGGGAAAACGGAAGACATTAGCAAGTTCAACAAGGCTTGCCAATACCCTATTTTTGTTTGCTTGATACCATTGGAATTTTGATTACACAATTTAATCTTGGCTTATCGAAAGCCAAATTCAAAAAGATGGTTGCATCAGGAGACTAGGAAAACATTTAGGGAGCCTTTCATGCAATCATGCGCCGAAAATAACGCAAAATTTGATGCCAAAAAACTAAGAAAAAAATATTTGAGTCTTAGGGATCGAAGCGCAGGGGTGGCATCTCAGTCCATTGCTTTTCAGTGTATCAATCACATTCTTGTAAGATTCAATTAACTGCTTGGATCTGTTAAGTTCAAGTTAATTACATGGACTTCCGGTTTAATTGAAATAATAAACAAATTATATAGATATTGAAGTATAATTTCTGCCGGAGAAGGTTGTAATTGTCCACTGAATAAATTTCATTGTCTTGCAGTAGCGAATACAGACTGCATGCAGATTTACACATTGCAAAGCTAAATATAATTGTTATAACAGGAATCGTTATAACAAACATGATCTTTTTTAACAGTAAACAAGGAGACATCAACTTTCACACACATTCCCACTACAAAAATATTGCCAAATCGGGTGCGTAATGCACACCCGATTGTGAACATGATACCCCTCACTATTCCATGGCTTGTCAATCCAAACACAAATACATTTCACTTCCAAATGTATGGAAAAGTTGCACTTCGTTTAAATATGCTTGTAAAGATACACCTTCTGATAAATACACATCGAAATTGCTTTTGCTTAAGAAGTGGTAAGAATCAATAAAGTAGACGGTCATACCTGCCATGTGAGTCATAACTTTCCTATAGATATCTCTGTTAGAAAACTCATCCCCAAAATCAAAAATCCAGTCTACACTCTTGACAACTTCTTTTTCACGAACACTCTCGCTGTGACTATACATCTTGTATAGTTTTACAAATTGCAGGGATGCCGTTAAGAATTTTTTCCCAATTGAAATCTTAGCCTCCAAGCTCAGTAAGATCGATCTAATTTGGCAACCAATAATTTATTTCCAAAGAAACAAGTTTGAACAACTTTTCCTCGATTTGATCAGAATCGCAACTCCTACCGACAAGGTCAAAATACATGATATCTTTCTATGACAAAAATAATGCTTCTCTCACGCGTACATTTTAATAAATGTTTCGTAATGTCTTTAAATTGTACGCGCTCCCCACGTCTGTGTATCAAAAGACAAGAAGTCGGCAACTGGCAGATGTAAACAAGCAAAGAATTGCTCTGTTTGAACTATATTCAACCGTGACCTATTGTTCGCTTTCTCAAACTTCAGACGTTGATTCTCCTCAAATCCTACAGAGGATGATCTCTCAGTAAACTTGTTTCATATTTTTTTCTCTTTTTAGCCCATCATGTTCCTTATATGCATTCTGGATTGTTGGAAAATCTTATGGATTTCTGCAATTTTTTTTATATAGTTCGTTTGATTTCTGATATAAAGCATGCTGCAAAAAATCCAGACAGAGGCAAAATAATATGATACAAAAAGGGTCATTGTAAACGGAAATCATATCTCCATTGTTGCAAGTAAGTTAACGGACTTCTTATGGAAATCGGCTATATTAGTAATGGAGGTTTGTCTGGAGAATAAATACTCCATCAGCCCATCTATTAATTTTTTGACAGAAATTCTGTTCATAAAATTATAAACAATTCTAAAATATCCAAGGAATACTTTCCGGGTATACTTCATGTGATAATATTTGTAGGGCGTTATATCCTAATATTATAATACACTTTCATAATGAAAAAAGTTTTAATGCTTTCCAGTTGTGATGTTTGAAAATTTTGCAGATCACCACTACAAATCCCTAATGGTTAGATTTCTTGCACAAAACGTTTTATAGTTTAAGTTTAAGATTGCCTTCTCTAGTTTTTACTCTACGCCTTTTCTGTCAATATTCCTAGAGCAGGTACTGACAGGAAGGCAAGATGGATCGTTCGAAGAAAACAACTGAGTGAGTCTAATCGAAAAAGCGTATTGCGTTCTGAATTATGTCTGTAGACTAGCCTAGATGTCTATCAAATGTAATCATACCCGAGATATGAGTTGAATACTGCAAAGGCGGATTTGATGTCGATTTATGCTCAAACCAGGTTATGAAAAGTCAACAATATGCAAGTCACAATCAAGACAATGAAGGAATTAAATCGATGGCCTCCGTTGATCGCATTTTGGAAAAGCTATGAATTTATTTTAATGGATTATGTCAGATAGTTCTTTTGAAAACGCAAACTCGCAGGAAAACTTTGAAAGAATTTTAAATCATTTCCAACGATCCAATCAATACGTCACAGATATTATCTATGATGATCCAAAAAGTTATTAGTTTTTTAGCAGAAATTTTTGGCAATTGTCATAGCATCAGCTTTCCTTGTGCGTTTTAAAAAAACAACAAATAGGAAAGGATTTGTAACCCATGCTAGTATTTCTGACAATAGAGATTTAGCATTGGAACAAGCCATTAAAACCGCAGAATTTACGGATAGCAAGGGAAACGATGCATTTTATGAGGATAGCGAATTCGAGGCTTTTGTCAAAAGCCTGACCGAGGCCAGAACCTTGTATTGATTTCCAATGGATGACGTGAAAGCTATTTTGCACGTGGTATCTGCAATGACTTGTTTCAACCAAAAAAGATCCAAAAATTCTCAAATTGAATCATCAAATGAAACGACTAGAAGAAATGACGAACATTTCCCTTGCTATCTTGGTCACTATATTACCCTGTCCCATTTCCCTTACTATGTAGACAAAACAAACTTATTTATTGTACTTTATAACCACCGACCCACTGTTTATAGTATGTATACTACAAGACAACTAATGTAGCTGTTTTACAAAACAATTCAATTAGAGAACTTGCCCAGCTTTTTAAAGAATTTTCTTTATCGATTCCTTTTCGGCATTTCTTCCATGACCGAAATAATTTTGATTCATACCAATTGACTTTGAGTTTAGTTATAGCAATTTTGCTATTCTATAGAGTTTTATTTTAAAGAGTAAATTCAAAGAATGTTTGGTTCGAGCACCTAAGTCGCCGTCTTTTTTATAAATAATGCCAAAAATATCTTATTGAACGACATGCATGCTAATTCCAGCATACGGGCTAATTAACAGAGCTTCAAGAAATTTAGCAAAATCCCATTTACAAAACAGCAAAAGAATTATTATAGCAGTTGATTATTCTCGTCTTTCAAGGAACTAACTTAAATGAGCAAACAGGCGCTAGCTTAAAGTCCTTTCGAACTGTTAACCATGTTTGTACTTTCGGTCATGAGGCTTGGTTTGTTTACAAAAGGATTAATCTCCTTCCTACGAAACGTGAATACGAGATTACATCACGAGGTCAAATAGACATCCATTCTGCTTACATATCAATTTCTTGAAATGATTGAATGAGAGATTTAGCGCATACAGAATTACAATTTTTAATGTTTTTTCGCTTGGTTGGCCCATCTGTTTGGCTTATTGCTTGTAAAACTTGGGCCGTAAAATTCAACACTATAAATAGCGGAGGCAGCGGTGGAAGTCCAAGGCAGGTGTGAAAGTCCAAGGCAGCTGTGAAAGTCCAAGGCAGCCGTGGAAGTCCAAGGCAGCCGTGGAAGTCCAAGGCAGCAGAGGAAGTCCAAGGCAGCCGTGGAGGCCCAAGGCACCCATGGAAGTCCAAAGCAGCCGTGGAAGTCCAAGGCACCCGTGGAAGTCCAAGGCACCCGTGGAAGTCCAAGGTAGCCATGGAAGCCCAAGGCAACCGAGGCTTCTAGGGGCGATTCAATTTGAGGTCCCTCAATTATAAACATTAGTAAAACAATAAAGACAAAACACAAAAAACTAATCAACCAGCAGTCCATTTATTTGGACTTCCAAGTCATACAGATTTCGGGCCCCTTCCCCTTGCATTCGTTTATCTGCACATCCAGAATACCAACGTCAAAAGGACCAATCTTAATAAAAAGTCAAAATCAAAGAAGACAGAAAACACTATAAATCAATTTAACGAAAAAAAGTATCCCACTGAACCATAAACAAGAAGGTTCGCTTGAAATTTTGGTAATCATCTGCTAAATTAGTTTGCTGTCTGAATTTCGTGATTTGATAAGATATTTCTCTCAAAACGTTTAGTTTTATCAGTTCGAAAACCATTTTATATAAAATGCTATCAGAAGTTGCTTTACTTTTTTTGCATTCCAAGAAACCAGTGATATCTCCTCTTTGCATCAACTTTGCCTTCCATTCTGAGAAAACTTGCGACTCAAAGTTTTGCGCAGTTCAGTGGCGGACACTTGGGGGGGGCGAGGGGGGGGGCGACCCCCCCAATACTTTAGAGAACAATGGTATTTTGTTCTAAAACAATGGGAAATGTGTCATCTTATTCATACAATAGGCTTGCCCCTCCCCAATATTTGACCAAGTGTCCGCCACTGGCGCAGTTATTACTTCAAGACATACTATCTTCAACGCTCGTCCATAGTGTGCAATCTGGCCATGCCATGACGTTATAGATCATTTGTGGATTTATGGGGGCAGTTGCCCCCCTTACCAAGTCGTATTAATAATCATTGCAAGATTAACAGAATCCAGCGGACAGTCTATCTTGCGATTCTTCCTTTTTACACATGATACAATATAGTAGCCATTAATCTTTAATTGAGCACCCACTTTCAAATAACTCTTCCTCAAATAAGCCCCAAACTCCAAATCACTTCTGGCAGGTTGCCTCCCCCTCCCTTTCTCAAATAACTTATTTCTATTCCAGTATATGTTGATCTTTGCTCTACCGTCCGGTTTGGTGGTAGACGGAGTTTGTATTGCTTATCATGACACTTATGAATGTACTAAACAGTTTCATAAGCCCTCTTACATAATCCCTCCCTTCGAATAAGCACTCCTCTCCAATAAGCCACCATCCAGAAATTCAAGTTGCCAGCGAATACCTGTACAGAAAGGTACGGTATGCTGTTTAAAGTTTTTCTTCTTATGTTGTTTTCCTGAGAAATCCAATGACCTGGGTGAATCTTTTTTGTTTTTGTTGAGGAGTAAACATCCTATTCGCAGAAATTAGAAACAAATCGTCATGTTTGAATATAAATTGCTTGTTTATGCTTCAAAATCAGGATTAGAAATAAACTATGAAAAATGTCATCATTAGCTTGTTGAATCCTATTTATAAATAGATAGCAAAGCTCTTAGATCCTAGCCAATGTCTACGGACTGTAAGTGCACCCACAGTATTGAGATCAGGGTTCTAGAGCTGGGGGGTTCGGGGTACCCATTCTATTGTTTTTTCTAATTATCGCGAGGACCACATCTTTATTTTCCAAAGCAACATATCTTTGATTAAAATTAATGCATACTTGTCAAAAAAAGAAAGGGGGGGGGGGGGATACTTAAGAGAGTTACAGTGCCTTAACGTCACAAGTGGTCACGGTACCTTTACTAATTTCTACATTGACGTAATTGTATTGGGCTTCTTCTCAAAATTTAAGCAAGATATAAGATTTCTGGCTGAAAAACCTTTCTACAAACTCCTAAAGGGGTTTTATTGTTACTTGTTTTCTCCAGTGATGTAACAGGTATACCAACAGTCGTTCGCGGTCCACGGGAGGACCTTGGGACTTAAGCCGAGTACTCACTTTGGAAAACGATCCGCGGATCGGATCAGATCGTGTTGTTCCGATCAGTTCCGTTCGATTCGCGGATCGTTTCAGATTGGAATTCATGGCGCAAGTGCTCTATTATTTAAAAAGCTCTATTTCGATTTTGATCAAAAGAAAACTACTGTACAGAACGGTACAAAAAAAGTTGGAATGAATTAAACTTTTTTTCGATCCGTTTCGATCCGTCGCGGTTCAGTCATGTGACCATTTTTGCATCAACAGCGCATGCGCAACACAAAATCTGATCCGATCCGCTGATCATTTTCCGGAGTGGGTTTTCGGCTTTAGGACGACTGATGTATTATGAGGTTTCAAGAACCGCCGTGAAAACGGGCAACGACTATCTAATGCGCATGTCGCAAATGACAACAACGGTAAAGAGGTATCCTTCATGTCAACAAATAAACCAAAATTTTTAAGTTGAAGGTTAATGCAATTCTAAATCTAGTTAGTAAGAAATGTAAAAAGATGCGCATTTGAAATATTCACGCAATTTTGTCTTTATTTAAAAAGGTACTAAAATTTTGTGGTCATTCACATTTACCATTCTCTTTTTCATACTGAGTGAAGTTAAAAGCAAATTGTTTTATGCACAGTTGATTCCTGTGGTTTTAAATGTTAACTTTAAGGAAGATAATATTAATACATCGCAAACGAATTTTTAATACCGACTTGATTACAATATCTATTGCACTCATGTTGTGCTTATACCATTGCATTATGTACTTGCATTTTATTTGTATTTATTTCTATCTAG